GAATGAATGAATGAATGAATGAATGAATGAATGAATGAATGAATGAATGAATGAATGAATGAATGAATGAATGAATGAATGAATGAATGAATGAATGAATGAATGAATGAATGAATGAATGAATGAATAGATGAATGAATGAATAAATGAACGAATGAATAAATGAATGAATGTTGCTTTTCCTCTTGACCTAAGAGTTACATGTAACATATTATCATGTAATCGGTTGGTAATCTGCTGGTAATCAGGGGAACAGAGGTTTGATGTTGGTTTTCAATATAGATGAGATTGTGAAAGGTTTGAACCCAGCAGTCATTTCAAAAGTGGGTTGAGTTTGATCATCCAGGGAACGTAGTCCTGAATAGGACTGTTGTTGTTGACAGTGACTGAAATTTCAACAACCTGTGCAGTAGTCATCTTGACTCTGGAGTCACTGTCAATAACAACAGTCCTATTCAGGACCACGTTTACCCGGACGATCAAACTCAACCTACTTATAGATGACAATAGAAGGCTAATGATGGCCTAAGCATCTCATGCTTTACTATCACTGCTGCCAAGTGACGTTACAGTGTATTTTATAGAGTGCATGTATTACCAACAATAACACCTGTCTCTAAGCGATAAACTGAGCAACAGTGGTGTCTTTCCAGATGTCTCTAAAATTTAATGCTTACTGACAGCAGGTCTGTGTTACAGGTGGGAGGAGGATGGGGAATGCATTTCTACATATTACATACCGCTTCTAATCCTAGCACATTGCCATGCAAAGAGCCATATCTCAGCAACCTTAGACCTGCAGCATTAGTGGCAATATTTCCACCTATATGGCAACTACAATAATATGTATTACAAAAACAACAACATTGTCAATCATCAAAATATACTGCCAGTGGTATTATTATGTCCCTATCTTTTGTGGGTCATATTCAAATTTGTTATTTTTACTTTAAAAAAAATTGGCGGGTGTAAACCACAGTGGTGCAATTAACAATAACAGCATTTATTTAAACATGATTAAAAATTCACCAAAGCTGATGTGGTTGTATAAAAACAATAAAATACACTTGAGTGACTTTTTAAAAGTGTAAATGTCATGAATTGATCTCATTTGGTTTTCCAGGGCATTCCACCGAATACTGAATTGATTTGTATGAGCATGATTTCTTTACCACTTAATTCACTTTTAATTCACTTAAATTTAGGGGCAGCACCTCATAAACGACTTCCAAGAAGAAAAGTGATACCATTTTGATAGCCACTTTTTAACAAAAATGTTTGAGTAAAATCAAAGCCAAAACTCTTAGCCTGAAAGCTTTGTTATTAGCTTGACCAGTTGACAGTAGGACTACAAACCTTCCTTTTGCTCCCAAGTCCAGGGGCATTATGAAACCACGCTCCTCCATCTTATTGTCCAGAGACTCCAAAATACAACCACCTTGACACACGAGGATGCCTAATTTAATAGAAGCAATATTTATCATGTTTAGTGTACAGTACAGTACAGTACAGTACAGTTAAATCTCCCAGTCAGTAATCATGTAACCATGGAGTTACATTGGTGACTACATGGTCAACTGATCTGGGGAAATCACTCTAGCCTTATCTTGCATAGACCTCTTTGCCTACACAATAGAGACATTTAATAGTTTTGCAATATTTATCCAAGGGTCCCATTGGTATGGATGCTTTGACTTTGCAAACAGGATCTTCTTTGTCAGCAAACCTGACCAATATATTTTAAATATTGTCTCCTGATCACATTTCTGAGACTGTTTTTTTTTGTGTATTCCTCCCAACATCAATCCTTCAACACATGTTAAATATATTATTATTTAGCTCCCCATAAACATTCTTCAAATTATTCATTAACAACACCATCAAGTTTCTTTGACGTTAATAATTATTGTGCAGATACCTCATGTTGCAACAATCCTAAACCCATCATATTGATTGAAAGTTAAGTTAAGGTTGTTTTTCTTTCCACTGGCAACAAACAACATCAACAATAGTGTTCATTCACCTGAAACATCATCAAAGCTTAACACCTGGTTCATTAAAGACATGGAAATGATTATCTCATCAAATACTGGCACACTACCACCTACAAGAAAGTCATGGAAAATAGTGGTAAACTGAGCTTTGATTTATTTTACAAATTACTGCGCTTTTCACAAACATGCGAATTCTGAAGTTCAAAAGCCAACTGACGATTGCATTTTTCGCTGCCATCAATCATCTTAACGGACCTCTTTCAAAAGGTCATGGTTTGTGATTTGTGATTGGTGGATTTGGATCCGTTTTGTGTGTTTTTGTGTTTCAAGGTTCGTTTATTGTAATTATGATTGACAGCAGCGAAAAACGCAATTATGAAGGCGGCTTTTGACCTTTAGAGTTCGCAGGTTTGTGAAAAGCACAGTAAAGGTTTATTTATATTGGAAGTGGACACAGTTTTCCAGCTACATGTAGATTACTGCAAAATTATCCACTCTAAATAATTAAAAACAAATAATCTAAATAGAACATAACACGATAAATAACCTCACTGGCAGAAGACAACCAGCAGTTGGCTATATACAAGCATGGCTAAAGATTCAAATTTCAGGATGCCCAAGAACAAATCCAGCAAGTGATCAGAGCAGGACTTGATGGAACCCAGGGTTAATGCAAGGGACTGTGAGTGTAACATGCTGACTACTCACCCATGACTGCCTCCCCAAAGACTTTTAAACAAGTTTTGACCCCTTGATTTTAAACTAATAATTTAGACCTCATGAACAATTGTCATTCATTGACTGAAAGTATCCTTTTGATTCAACTTACCAACCAATCCAGTATTTCCACCCTGAGGGAGCACAGCTAATCTAACAACAAACAAGATAATGAAGAGTTGTGTGCTTTATACCAAATAATTGACAATGAAAGTGCACAATCAGAAATATGCACAAAACACAATAAATGTTGTTACTTTCTGATGGCCTATATATAAATATGTAGTAGATCCTTAATTGTCTAAACAAAACATCGTGCTAGAATTGTAAATGTTGCAGGGAGATGGTCATAACATCCAGCAATAATGTACTTATTAATATAAGCTGTATATAATTATAAGTTCCAGCAAATGAATTACAAATATATCCTTTTTAAAATCATATTATTCAAATTTAAAACAACTATCAAAATAAAAGCTACAAACAACAACACTAACCTCCTTGAATTACAATATGCTAAAATTTCTGCAACTTCTTGGGTAGTTTGTGGTCTAAGGAGTACTTTACTGGCTCCTCTGGAAAAGGAAAATACGGTTATTAAATAAGCTTTTTGATTTTGTAGTTCTAAATCACAAAGGAAAGCAAAGTTGTTTATCACAAGATATTTTTTAATATCATGCACTTTACACTTTTATAGGATAGTATTATTTTTACATCTGAGAGGGATAATAGACTAAAACCATTAGTTAAATTATAGTTGCCTATAGCTCAAGTTACACCTATTTGGCATTCAGCATTGCAGTAGCAACATTCCTTTCTATTGTTCTTGTGGATTTTATAGCAGAAAAAGATGTTTTGCTTGTCATTTAAATATCAGACATACCTGACCATTTTAAGCCAGTCTACATTGTAGGCCGTTATTTCTTCTGTATCTGTTACTACTCTAGAAGGTAATAAACCTTCAAAAACTTTTATATCTTCATCTGTGACCTACAAAAATAATGCTAATTTTGTTCATTGTTTACAGAATCCCGGTTACTGCTGGTATAGTGCTGATAGTCAATTATGGGTCACCTACTAGAATCTTTCTCATTGGACTAAATTAAGGTTTGAATACTGATAATAATAGAATTATTATTTTTATTATCATTAAATAATAATAATAATAATAATAATAATAATAATAATAATAACTACAACAACAAAAACAACAACAATAATAATCATAATCTTTCACGAGAAATCCATGAATTTTAACCAAATAGAAAGGGAGAAGAGGAAGACTAAAGACCAGATTTCAAGGCAGTATGAGTAAGCTCGTACCTGTGAATACTGTCCTCTCTTGACGTAAGGGTATCGAATACTTGTTAGTTCAACTTCATTGCACCTTGCTGCAGTGAATGAGATGCTGTACCTTGATATCAACTGCACTTTTACAGCTTTAGAGAGCCGAGATCCCACCTCACGAATACGCCACATTTTGAACCATTCACTCCACTTTCCTTACTCACATAAGTGGAAGCGTTTAAAAATTCCCTCTTACCTTGCTCAATGAGGCCTTGTATTTATTTGACATTTTATTTAGACATCCTTCAAACCCGTTGTTTCGCCATTTTGCCAGTGTTCTACTCCTCAGTCTCCCGTCGTATGCGGATAAGGCACTGGGCCCGAGGGCCCCACCTCACCCCTGGCGGCCCCTGGCGCATGATTAGCCCATGGACCCACGGACCCTTTTTCTGTTGACTTTTGCATTACAGTCGAACCCCGCTATTTCGAAGTCCCAAGGGAAATGGAAAAAAGTTCGAAATAGCGGGGTTTCGAAATAACCGGGGAAGCGTAAAGGGGAAGGGTAAATCCAGGGCATTCGATCTTCCTCCGAAATAGCGGGGAGTCCGAATTAACCGAGTTCGAAATAGCGGGGTTCGACTGTATTTTTAAAGACTTCTCAGTAAATCGGTTCCTGATACAGGCTCAATCTCCAGCTGTGGGTGTGAAGTGTTCCGGTATCCATGCCCCTTTCTTGTGCGCCCTTAAAGAAGGCTGAGACTGTAGACCGGGTGTAGAACAATCAGTAGTCGACAAGTAGCGGCCTTCATGGTTTCAAAACTCACAGTGATGATCGATTTCTTTTCCTTTGATAAATCAATCAACTGACTTCTGCTCAACTGAAATATCCACATTTTATGGCACCTAATCGTAAAGTTTGAGCAGGAAAGTAATAACTGAGGAAAAATGGCGTCGGGTCAGAACACTCACAACAATCGCGTGTAGAATGGTGCCAATACCAGACTCTTTCTATAAATAAACAATTTATTTGTCACTCTATTAGAATGGTTTATAAGTAACAATTACAGTAAAAAAAAAACTATAATACCCCAGTATATAAAAACTGGTAGAAAATATGAAACAGTAAACTGATCCTTACGGCAAGGCGAGGAAGCGAAGTAAACAAACTAGTGAAAACAAATTTGTTTAGTACTGAGAGAGTGAACATCGGCTCTAACAATGAGTTTGCTGCGCAGATATGCTGGGGCTAGTCCGTGCAAGCATTTAAATGCCATTACAGCGTCTCTGACTTCAAGTCACCGAGCAACTGGCAACCAATGGAGTTGCTCAGTTATGTAGTCAAATCAGCGCCGAGTGGCAGCCTTAGCCGCAAGATTTTGCACTTTCTAAAGTCGAGCAATGTTTTTCTTTGTTCTACTGGCCCGAACTGAAAAACAGTGAAACATTTTCATGAAAACCAGAAAATTTGTGGTGATTATTAGCGTTGATTTAATAAAATAGATGTTTTACACGATTTATTTGACATAAGCTAGCTATACACTTGGACACCACACCAGTCACATGTTCATTAAAACTTAGGTGTCCGTCAAATACAACACCCAAATCCTTAGAGGAATGTGACGGCCGTATCTATAAAATCCTCTGGCATGCATGCTAACATCTGCGAGGTTCCTAGTAATAGCAGCTTAGTTTCATCTGGATTAATAAGAAGGCTATGCTTGCAACACCAGGCGGCAATCGTCCTGCAGATCCGCATTCAATTGAGCTGCAGTCTGGTCCGCCTCCCGGACAGGAAACTACAAGTAGAGCTGCGAGTCGTCGACATAGCTCTTCAGGGACAGTTGGTAAGTCATTAATATAGATGTTAAACAGGGCAGGTCCCTATATTGACCCCTGAGGAACGCCATGCGCTACTCATACGGGAATCTGACAATTCAGTTCCAATTCTCGCAGACTGACCTCTATCTATAAAATACCTCCTAAAGCATTCCATGGCATCTCTGCACAAACACCCAGTTCTAGAAGTTCTATCTGGTTCTCAGATAGTAGCCTTCTTAACTCTGAGTAAAGATCTAAGAGCTGGTGTTTCATGGCGATCAGGATTTACTTTATCCTTTGCCGGGCGCAGGTTCTTTTGCTCCGCCATACCTCAAGATAATGATTAAAGTTGAGACAGGATTACTTGCTGGACCTGATTAGATTAGTCATGCGCTGCTCAGGGGCAGATATGAGGTGTGTGTGTAGAGAGGAGAATGGTGATCCTTAGGTGCCCTCTCATCTTACCTCAAAATGACCCCTGCTTCTCTCAGAAACAAAGTCTGTGTCTGATGTGCAGAGTTCCCTCGATCAAAACATCTCTAGAAAATTCAGTGTATCGGCTGCAACCCATAATGGGATAATTTTCATCAATAAGTATTCACGCTGATACTGTACTATCTATTAAGGTTTAGTTTCGAAAGTAACTATGGTGTTGCGTCTCAAGAGGGATTGAAATATATATAACATGATAATATAAAGGTTAGTAAAGTCATTAAGTTGGATTTGAAAATATTTTGGCATTTTCTATTTTAGAGTTTGAATGAAAGTTAAAGGACTGTAAAAGAGCCAGTGAAAACCTGCTCACAAAAGTGATATAATTTTGGTAAAGGGAACAAAAGTGCACCGTTTAAAAACCTGCTGCTACATGCAATTCGGACGGTAGATCACGAAACAAACAGATGCAGTTTAACACGTGAATTATCAATTACCGCTCAAAGCGGATCACATACATATAGTGCGAAGCAATACTCGATTAAAAAAAAACACATATTTGTATAAGTCGGTTTCTGTTTAAAATCAACGGTACTGAAGTTCCGTGTTGTCCCTTTTATTGCTTTAATATTCAAAGCGAGAAATGGAAATTAAAGAGACAAGGTGCCGGGGTAGGGGGTAAAAAAACTATTTATTCTTTTTAAATAACCTGATAAAAAACTATATATTTGAAGAAATATAAAATTCCATCCTCTTTTGTCTCTCAAACAAAAGACCTTTTCATCAGAGAGGAGAACACCATCAGGTAATACTCTCTCGAAACTAATTTGCCTTCAAAATAGTAATATTAATATTGCAACCAGTTGTCTTAGAACAAAAATGCCGACAAGATTCCCGCCAAGTTCTTTTAAAAAGCCCCGCTTATTGTTGGGCATCCCTCAACGCTAAGCCGCCACAAATATCGCTTATCATCAACACCCAATTATGCTACTCAGGGAAGAGCTCTAGGCAACCTGTGATTCTTAAATTAGTGCTTGGATCTATACTAAGACATTCATAAACTAGTCGGACGGCGCTGCAGAAGAGCATCTGAATAGCTACTGTACTTTTCCCACTGAGAGAGCAAGTTTCCAGAAACTTAGCCAAGGTAACATCTTACTCCAAAACTAAGTACCATTACTTTTTTGCCGCTGTGTCTTTTTTCTCTTGAATTTACCTTTCTTCTTCTTTTTTTAAAAAAGAGTTGACAGTACTTTTACAAAGATAAGCCCTACAATTGTTCTTTAAGAGAATAATTTTACTTAGCGACGGAGAAAAACGTTTTGGCCCTATCACGAAAAATTAAAAGCTCGTGTTAGGTGTAAAAATGGTGGCAAGTGCTGAACCCTTAAGCACTAACGCCACAAAATAAAATAATATTTACATAAGAAAAGATGGCGGTTTCTTTGAAGAGTCTGGTTTAATGTTAAGTTGCCAATTTAAAAAAAAGGAAATGGCAGGCTGCTGGTGTAAATTGAGGGTGATATCAGCCGTATCGCATGGGTATATCCGAGCTATCCGTTTAACTGCCGCTAGAGAGAAGGTTTCCAGGTTGATCTCTTATGAAATATCATGTCAACAACGTGTAAGTCACTTAAATGTGTTTCCACTGTGATTAGATAAATAACGCTAAGTCTGCTGAAAAATATTTATAAGCGTTGGCTGATTTACATTCAGTCTCAAACTACCCGGCGGCGGAAGAACGAATTTTTACTGAGCTGCCGGCACTTGCAGTTCCGCGAATTCTGACAAACAAAATAAATTATTTGTTGATTCTAAGAAAAGGTTTGGAATTAAAGCGAAGCAATGACCAGGCCTTATTCAATTGAGTTTATCCAACAACACCACATAACGGTGTACTTTCCAATAAATAAGCTTCGCCAAAAACTTGTCAGCTCAACTCGCCATTATTCCTAAAAGAATAGCCATATGGACGTCCCCTTCCCTTCCGACATAATTTTATCCTGATTTTGTAACCTTTATTTCCACGGGAATACATTAAATTGCTATCCTTTCCAGGGAAAGTATCCAAATCGATGAAACAGATAGATATGGGATGTTCAAAGAATATACTTAACTGTATTTAAATTTTCAAGGTGCTCGAGCCAAAAATATAGTGTTTACCTCGTTTAGCAGTGGCGGTGTGAAAAGCTGACGCCGCTATCTTTGATGTGCTTCAAAGACTTGAATTTTTTATGACTAAAAGCACCGACAAGGAACTTGTGCTTTTCTGTTTGAAAATCTGAAAACCGAAAATGCTATACACCAAGTCTCCAAATTTAAAAGAAAGAAGAAATATTGCATTTTGTGAAGATTTACACTACGAATTAAAAATGTTTGAATGAGAAATTATGCAGTGCAAATTTCTTTGGAAACGCAAACTTCTTTGAAAGCCGGCACCGCTAACAATGCCGCCACAAGTTGTTCAATCATCATGAAAAATTTAACAAGTCGGCAACTCAGTTTTCTTTTAGTCAAGGCAACAATTTTCGCTGTTACTCCAAATTCGTTTTTTGTGCTAAAAAGCCTTGAGGGCTTTGCAAGACACTAAACCCTATCGTTAGATCGCTTCAGTACACATATATATGCGCGTAAAGTTTTGTTAAATAATAAAAATGAAAAAGTCCATTAATTAAAGTATACTTAGTAGATGAAAGCATGGGTTGAAATAATCAGTACAGCTATAAAGCAGGGAAATTGCTTGAAGATCCTATCTAATGTCGGCTTCGCTCTCTAAAAAGGTGCCAAATTGTGTGACGCTCGCGCCCGCTAAATACACTTTGTACATTACTCCCTTAGCTGTAATTTTTGTAAAAATTCTGCTACAAAGAACACCGAAAAAGGGCTTTTAGCTAGGACAAGTTACAGTTGATTTTAAAACGCTTTTATTTATATATCAAATGCATGTAAGGTCTGAATTTTGCGAGTTTTCAGCTCTTTAATTTGGTCTTATAATAAATGTCCGGCGAGAGCACTTAGTTCCTTAGCCCGCACGTATCAAATTAATGTAGTTATTACGGGATATATCAAAGTAGTCAGGTTGGGCTTGTATATTGGCCATTTGGTCATTTAAAAGCATCTGAGTATATTATACCGCGGTCTTTGATTATTAAATCAATGAGAGCAGTGCGTGTCATCACGACCACACTATACTTTTTAAAATCCATTCTTATTGCCAAGCGGACTGACTAAGGACTCCAGGCCCCTCCCTCCAGGCGAGTTTGATTGACTCCACCTTTTTCAGAAGTTTTTCTTTTACATGTACTGTTTTCTTACAAAGTTTATGCAGAGAAGGAATAGCTTATGAACCACCATGAAGTTATAGGTCTACAAAGTCGTAGTCAATATTTCGGTTCGAGAATTTCGACAAAGTCATCCCAGCAACCTGGCTACATAACTTTTTACACGACCCAACGGACAGTCAGCCTGTTTGATCAATAAAGCTTTATGGCAAACTTTTTTGGTGTCAGTGCTTGATTAAAGAAAAACGAAAACAATTTAAAATCCCGTCACCATGATTATGGGTAATAATGCTTTTAAAGCAGCTTTAATGTTGGGCTAAAAATTTGAAAAATGAACAGAGAACCGACTGCGCTACTAACAACCAAATGTTGAGATGTGAGAAAGCTTTACTTCAGCTGTCGGTGTGTCAAGGACCCGAATGTTTTCGGCGGATGGCTTAACATTTATAGATCTAGACAATCCAGTTCGTTTTCTCCACGTTGCTTTATCTTATCCGGTTCTCGCTAGTCACTACCTATGAGGCGGGACTAAGTATAAATATTATAGAAGAAAACGCCCATTACGTCGCGAATGGTAGCCTCCCACGCAGGGGTTTTTAGGGGAGCTGGGGGAGGGACGAAATACGAGCTCCCATAAAACGTCCACATGAGAGGCTAGGCGAATGGCAACCTTCCTTCTTCCAGTGTTCTAACTCGGTAATTGTTAAAGGAAAAAGCAAGCTTTTCGAAGAGAGGTGATACTGTGCCGTATACAAAATTAAAAGAAACAGACTCCTCAAAAGTACATACTGTTCAGTTTCACACGAGCAAGAAGTCATCCTCCTTTCCAACAATGCCAGGCCAGTTCTCTCTTTAATAATCTCCAAGCTGTAACGATTATCTATTTATCTTAGCATAACTAATAAATTAACGACTCGAAGCAAACCAACTGGAGTAAGATAAATAAAAGCATTCAGTTTTTAACCTATTAAAAATACCACAACATGTCTTTTCTTCTTCAAAAATTATTTTTGGAACATTAGGCTATATGCACATGCCTTTCAATGTTCATGGTAAGCCTTCCAACTTCTTTAATTTCAATTACGTGTGCTAGCTTATAAGCCTCAGTTAAAGAAAGTTGCAGCCTGTAAATCTCAATTAAAAGTTTAACTTTTCACTAACAGTAAAACTGATAAAAAAGTTTCAAATAAACTCCACAAGCAGAAATTTATTTCTTATGTTATACGAACATTTTGTCTATAACAATTAAGTTTCTATTTTGCAGCTAAATGGGTTCAAAATGTTCTAAAGAGGATCAGAGTTTGGCTCCAGGTGAGTTATTTTGAAATAAATAAATAAACAAAACAGATAGATAGATAGTTTATTCACCTTAAAACCTTGCAGAAAAGAGCTGAATTGCGATAAGGTTTACATTAAAGCGCGATACAGCTTCTTGAAGAAGGATGATCTAACACCGTGATAAACGATTTTAAAACTGTTATAAAATCATAAATCCAAAAGATGTGTCACGATAAGTAACAAAATTATATATAGTTTTCAACTATTGTAAACGTGACTTAAAAGAAAATTATCCTTGCATCTTTCAATTTTACACTTTGGACAAATAAATGTTCTTTGTTCTCTCAGAGAGTAGCTCGGCTGATATTTACTTGGAAGTAGTTTGTGGAGACTGTGAGATTGATTAGCACCATTCTCTCTTGTTAGCTCAAACTTCATCGAACAACTTTGCCGCAATTGCCTCTCTTCTATCATAGAGTGTTAAAAGTTCTAGAACCTTAGTATGTGATAGCTCAGAGTAAAGAATCTTCATAGCGCGTTTTTGCTGTCCTTCTTGGTCTTCGCTTAAATAACTTGCTAGAGCGGGATAAAAACTGAGCTGCCGTACTCCAGAGTAGAGCGAACGCATGTGATGTAAAATAGAAGTAGCTTTCTTGTAGCAATACTCCGGCTATATCTTTGTGGCTATCCAAACCAACAAGAAAGAAGTAATGATAATGAACGTCATCATCATTATCTGGCAGGGAGGGATCGATCAGTGTTTACCACTGACCAGGTATTCATACAGCAGAACCCCTCCCCCCTCACTGTTACAATCACGGCGGAGAAGCTGTCTTATGATCCTGATGATAAGAAATTGCTAAAAATAATAACAATTTAATTCTAGACAATGAATCTTGGCGAAGGACGCGATATATTTGGATGAGTTACGCATTAAAAGCCACTCAAACGTTACGTCACACCCAGCGTCACACTGTAGTTTCTGTTCCTTAGCAAATTGGGTCATATTTTAGTAAAATGGCCTATTCTCCTTTCTATTTATTTGTAATAAATCAAGAAGCTGCCGCGCCTAATTTTCTTTTTAAATGATAGGCTATCTATTGTTGCGGATGTAAGGAAGGCCTGTTAACTTAAACTTGCTCCCCTGGTCGTACCATGTACGAATATAGATGTAGACAATACAGACGAACTTGCCAATATCGCGGTACTTGCCTACTACGTCACGTGCTGATGACGTTACATATGGACCGAGAAAAACGATAAGCTGCGGTGCGGAGGCATTTTTCTTTTGCTGAGTCCTGCGCGCCGTTCGCGTCTGAGCATATAAGCAGCCGTCAATTGATAGGCCAGCAACAGGATGCGACACTTCATTCACCCCCCTTTTAGCTCTCTGATTCTGTTTGATTATGAGCAGAATGCAACGTTTTCATTTTTCATAGTTGCCTTTTACACGTCCTTGAAAATAAGTGCATTATATACTTCGTTTCTCTGTGGTACAAGATGAAAGTGACTCAATACACTACAGATTAATCATAGTATCTCTGCCGGTGGACGAGATCCATAGCTTCAATTTTTTTTGGAACCAACCACAATCAACTTCTAAGAAGGTCCGAAGATTTCTCTCAAAATTATCATTTGGGGGGTTGGTCACCGGAACGTCTTTTTGTCATTTAAACTTGCTAAAAGCTTTTTCACAACACCCCTAAACAATCAGCCTAGCTATTTGGTTATCGTTAACACTTCTTAAATCAAGCTTTGTTGTCTCGTCTTTGAATTCACTTAGAATAATCTCTCACATCTTTCAGAGGACAGAGCTGACCATTACTCGCTCGACCCTTCTACTAACAGATTATTATATGCAATAAGTTTTCCACTTCTAAAACGATTAGGAATCTCGTATTGTATCGAATCTTGTGAGAATCGACGTATCGGTCCACAACAATTAACCATTTAATGGACTTAAGTTTAACTTTGAGGAGTCGATGTAGCCTCCGGTTTCCCGAAACATGAAAAGATTTCACAGACTAGGGAGAAAATCATGGAGTAGGTCTCGCCGAAACCAAGGTATGAATCCGTTAAATTTCCCTTTTTCGATGCGCTTGGCACGGGCCAGGGAATTCCATGTTTGGGCAAGCGATAGTTGTGTAAACATAACTTGCTGAATGTTTTATCAGACTTTTTAATCTTCAGCCTGTTCAACTCTTCAAAATTCAGTTTGTATAAGAAATCAAGGATTACTCGTGCCGATCATTTTTCTTATTCCGATAATTTATATAATCACTGGCATAATTTGTCTTTTTCACTATAGGAGGTGCCGCCATTGCCGGGTCTAACCAGCTCGCCCGGTTAGATACCCCGGCTACTATTAAACCTTACATGTAATCGTCGGAACGGTGTTGAAGCCACTATTATGCCGGGACATAACGACGAGCGGTGTATTGAACGAAAGCAAATATTCTCCTGCTCTTAATTTTACTGCCAATCCACATTTTGTATTCTACACTTCTGTCATTATAAATTCAAAATTATTAATCCCTTCTAGAGTTTGAGTTTTATAATTATTACTTTGTAAAACGCAAAATTACTCATTTTCTAACAGTTTGGAATATTCTCATTTTAAAAAGGACAAATAATTTGGTTTATTTTGGGAATAATGGTTTTAAAGAAAAAGAGGAGAGCCAAACAGGGAAAAAGGCAATTTGTGTCATCAGCATTTTTACACGGAGTTTGAATAGCAAAGAGACGGTTTAGACTAGTGCAAAAAATACTTAACTGAACGATGAGAACGCGGCGCAGAGAACTAGAAGTAGCAGACACATGTATTTCATAAAATTAGTACTCCACTGTAATTGGCTACTTTTAAAGCTAGCCAATCAAATCGCAGTTTTCTCTCATTAAGCTTTGATTAGGACAATCGAATCAATTTCTGTCAGTGGCACAAAGCATTAGGCCGCCAGATATCACAGCGTCAAACTGAGAGTAATGCCGAGGTCTTAAGCGAATTTTCACTTCTCGTTTTCGGGATTTTTGCCCCGTTACGTTTATGAGGATTGTATGGTTGTTATGAATTGAAAGCATTTTTGACATGGGAAAAAAATATAGCAAGCAAGGTAAGGTGAAAGCGCGCGAAAGTCGCAAGCACGTTCGCTCGATGGCTCAACTCTTCAACACAAGATGCCATAATTACATGTTTAATAATACCCCCGTACGTAGTCACGGCGTGTGGCTCGTTTCGGTTCTTGTTCTAATCTCAGTTTTGTTTCTTTTTTAGCCTGGATTTCAAGAGAAGGACCTGAAGGCAAGCAATAGTTTTACTGCGGAGCCCAAATCTGTGAAATTAAGCTTGTTTATTTTTCGTTGCCTTTGTTCACGCCGATCGATAATTTTTTTCTTTTATAATTGCGCTCTCTTGAACAGGCGACTGTGTGGTGGAAAGCGACTCGGCAAACCTTTCGCCAAACTTGACGGAAGATCCACAAGAGAAAAGTTCATGTACGGCCGACTTCACATACAAGGGATACCCTGTCAATGTCGTGAGTATAACATAACTTATAATTATATTGCTTCGTCCCTGGCGGATATGAATGATTGTCCGGCGATCACTTGCATCCACGTATGTTCAATTCACCGTCGCTAAAATCGACCCTTGTGTTTCAGTCACAGGTTGATATGTTATGAAGCAACCTTTTTTTATGGTCTTGAAAGCTAAGCTTGGTAGTTGGTTGTTATTGTTCGTGCCACTGATAGCTGTCGGTTTCGAGTGAAGTGATAGAACAACAGCCGCGCTAACAAAGGTCAACACCGTATCATCAAGCGGTCGCCAACATTTACGTTTTGTCATTTTTGCAAATCGCTTGCATCCTTAAACTCATGAATTCTTTGTTTCTAACAAAAACATTTACGATGGATCGCTTCGTCTCTGATTTCCCATGCATTGGCAACAGCTGAAATCAATAAATAGTGCGGGGATCAAGCCAAAAAACGGTGGTGTATCGAGAGTAAAAAGTTATAATACTGCCGTGAATTCTTCACACAAATTCTACCAGCACAAGAATACTTAGTGTGGGCATTAGATTAACATAGGGGCGTTTTTGGTGTTAAAATTCCAGCACTGCATCGGTTGTCTACGGCGCATGATAAATCAATAGCGTGTCTCTCATGAAAGAACCAATGTCCGTCCTCTTTTCCTTCGATAATCGCTATTTCGTGATACCATTTTGCTAAGCGCACCTTCTTGAAGTTTCCCGGAGTTATTTTCGGTCCTACATGTTTGACCTTGTCGTCGGAAGAGAGCGGCAGAGTAAAAGCGATTTTAAGTTTCCTGAAATTTGAGAGAACAAAATTGTAGCGACAATTCGTGCCTCGATTATGTTTTGATGTTTCCGTTGACCTGGTTCAGCAAGAGGAATACAACAGTTGTTCTTTTTTAATCAGATATAGCGAAACTGAATGAGAAAGAAAATAAATGATTTTGTGTGTATACCATGCTTAAGTAAGTGTATACTTGCTTCATAAACATGAGATGTTTACATAAGGTTGTCACGTCTTAATCTAATTCATGAAAAATACCTTGTAGTGGGAATCAGTGCAAAAGAACAACTTTGGGTGTTTAATTCAGAACGTTGTTTTCTAACGAAGCCTGGTGATTTGTGCATTTTTTGTATTTACTAGCCAAAATTCTTATAGATTTAAAAACTTACAAAGCACTTTCAATTTAACAGAGTCTTATTATTCTTCATAACTTGTTTTACTGAACCGTAGTCAGCGGTATTAGCAGTTTAGCTTGGATACCCTTTTTTTTTTCTTCAGTATTTTAATTATTATCGAAAGAATGTGTTAAAATGAGAAATTTAGCTTTGCTTTCTTCTATATCGGTCTTTTGCAAGCTATTTTGAGGTGAATGTTCCTAGTGTCAGTGCTTTGAATCTTAATAGGATTGAAATGCCTCTTTTTATCTAAAATAAGTGTTTCTGAATGCCACCACAATAGCAATGCAATTATCTTAATTCACGAATATCAAGTAACTTGATAATTTCAAGGATTTAGTGTGTGGAAAATCGGTACGCATATTAACCATTGCTCTTTGACTCTTCTCTTATCGGGTATGTCAATCACTGATTTAATGCTTTTTGACCATGAGAAACTGTTTTAAGTATGGATAGTAGTATTAAAGCAGAATAAGTAGCAAAGATCATATTTCCTTGGATCTGTAAAGCTCTTAGCTTATTTAATCCCCTTTTTGGATGTCATGCGTCATTTCTCCTCTGCTTCACCCGCAAGAACAACTCAATAATTGATGATGTCCTTACGAACATGCAGCCTTAAGGTTGGTTTACAGAAAAACGCTGGTCTTTGATAAGATTTTACTTTAGATCTAACAGTTCACCCCATCTCTAAAAAAGAGCAAAGTAACAATGCCTTGCAAGGAGATATGCCTTGTGATGCTATTTGGCACAATGTTACAAAATTCCTTTGAATGTAAATATATCTGGTGTATGGATTTATTCTTCTACTTAGCTTTTCATCATTCTTGCTCCAGTGCATTTAAGTTTAGGACCAACTGAAATGCTTTGTTCTTTTAAAGCTACAAGATGGATCATGTGAATCAGAAAAAGACTTTTGCAAGAAGTATTCTTACTATGACTATCCTATTGAAGGTAAGGTGTAAGTGGCTTGTACTTTTTAGAAGAAAATAATATCTCTGGGTGCCTTTACTTTTTGGGTTTGACTCTTGAGATTTAAGACTGGTATAATTTTCAATCCCTTCAAATATTTTAGTCAGTCAATTACTCTAGAGCACATTTTTGTGGTCTAAGACATTAACAGTTAATCAAGAGTGTTGTGTGGGGCTAGTTTTCTGGTTACAATTTATTGAAAATCGTATACAGCTGCATAGGAACTGCAGGGTGAAGAATTAAATGAAAGAGAAGATCATCTCAGTTATAGACGCAACTTTGTCAGATGCAACTGCAAAAGTTACATCTTTAACTGTGATGATCTTCTCTCGTTTAATTAAATAAATACTATTATACTATTCACCAAAGTCCCTCGGTTGCCTCCCGGCTTCCAGCACTTACCATTTCAATTTATGTGTAATGAACTAGAAAACCACTTTTAACTTACTTTCTTCAACAAAGCTTTCTTGTTTCTTTTCCCTCTGATTTGGAGCATTTTTTTAAAGTTAATTAATTTGACTATTTACATGTGTATTGTGCCAAACCTCTTCTTGTCCTACACACGTTAGTATACGCCCTTTTGAAATAAAGTTTGATTGATGTTTTGATTGTCTGACATAACTAGTTAAATTGTATTAGTTATAAAACGACTAATTATAGTTGATTATGAAATTAAATAACAGTTAAAAATAAATTTATATGCCTGCTTCAAAAGGTGCAGATAAGCAAAACATTTTTGTTTGTTTGTCTTTTTCTAACTTGAATTTCTTTTTTGGCAGTAGTTGAATTGCCAGATGAGCCAGATGGAAAGAAATTGGAAGTATATTTTGAACATGAAGGACAAGTTGAAGCCTCTACCCAGACCACAAGACCAGCTGTCACGGTAATACTAAGATTGTCTGTGCTACATTGTAATGTAATATACAGTCAAACTCCCCTTTACATACACCCACTTAATGCAGACACCTCATCATTATAGACAGATTTCTTTGTCCCCTTACTTTTTCTCTTAATTCAACCTGCTTAATATGGACAACCCGTTAATGTGGGCACTTTCTGTGGCCCCCTCAGTGTCCTTTTTAACGGGGTTTGACTGTATTACAGTTATTGTATTTTTATTGTAATGGTATTGTACTGCACAGGGCACCCAGAAAAGTAGCTCAGATTGCTGTGAGTCTATGCTGTGCACACCCTTGATTTTCATTACATAATATGCTATGCTATTTTCACTTTGTTCCTACAGACGTCTAGTGAATGTGGCCAGTCATTGAAATCGGTGGCATCAGATCGACAAGAATGGTCCTATACCCTTTATGACTTTGAAGGTCAAGGCCATGTCACAAGAGAAGTGAGTAATAGATTAGTAACACTGCTGTATACTGAAAAGCAGGCAGCACTGATATATCCACTGACTTTCTATCAATTGCATTTAAGCAATAGAAAACGTTTTCTGTGTTTGCATAACCGTCGAGAATTCTCCCAACGCCTCGAGTGTTTATATCAGGCTATGCAAACACAGGAAAAAAGTTTTCTATTGCTTTTATAAAATAACTTTCCCTAGAAAAAAACGCAAAACTCTTTGTATGGCACTGATTAAAGGAGAAATTCTTACCAGTCGCAAAATCTTGTCCACGAAGTCTTGCACGCGTAATGAGTTCTTGTTTTGCAAAAAGATGCTTTGCAAAATACGGAGTTTTCTCGCTTAAAATGTCAGCTTAAGCGAAGAAAAATTGACTCACCTTCTTTGTAACGATTTTCCATGTTTCAGCCGACGAAGGAATGGGTAAATAAAATAAACTTGTCGAGTTTTGAACTCGAAAACTTTTTCAAATTTGGTGCTTGCGTGATTAGCGCGCGAAAAGCCAAACAACTTGACGCCACAACCATGTTTACATACTCTCATGCAAACACTGCTCTCGGCCAATCAGAGCGCGCGTACTATCTTAGTTATTTTATAATAGTTGCTAGTACCATGTTCATGTGATAAAAAGATGTGATAAGTTGCTGGTTTCTCCTTATAAAAAGCCTTATGTTTGCTAGTAAAGGAAGGGACAATTGACACAATATGAAGAGTTACTTTGGGCCCACTCTTCAAATACTAGTGACACCTATATATAAATATGTGTCATGCAACACAGTCTCTGAAACAGATGATGGAAAAAGGATAAATTGTGGAGGAAACCCTATTGAGTATTAGTCCTATTAAAGAAAATTAGGGAAGGGTGAAGCTTGTAACTTAGTTGGTAGACAAGAGCAATTGTAGATCTAATCTGGACATTGTGGGCTTGAATCCCAGTGAGGTCAAAAGATTTTTTTGGCCTTGTGTGGTCCCCTAAATCCCTCACCTTGGGCTAATACCCAGGTTATGGGTTATTTGTAGCACTTGAAATTTTCACTCCAGACTTAATTCCTTCCTCTGTTTTTTAACCTACATGTAAAACTCTCTATGCCTGAGTGGTAATTGAAGAAAAAATCCGTGTTTGTTTGTTTGTAGGACCTCAAAAGCCTTGTTAAGTCAATTTATGAAGTTCTGGGGAAAAACATCTCTCGGCCCAAGAGTTCCCAAAGAGAGCCTGTTAAAAAAGTTTGTGTGAGACTGTCGGTATCAAAAGAGAGAAATAGAGACGGTGCCGACAAAGGAAAACAGGAATGTCTTCTGACAGCAGTTAGAGAACAACCAAGAAAAAGTAAAGCAAGTAGGTGTTTATCAACTGACAGAGAAGGCTCAATGATTGTTAACCCTCCATCTACAGACTACCTTAGTCAGATCAGACCACAAAGCAGTTTGTTGGAAGCAACAACTCAAGCTGAAGGTTACGCTTGTAAAGGTGCTCATCATCGCAGATCATCATCATGCAGAAGGTGTGGACAGAGGCAAACATATGAAAGGGACAGTTCAAAGAATGAAACCAGGAAAGATCCCGTGGACTCAAAGGGGATGTATCACTATCCAAAGAGAATGCAAACTGGACCAGGTGAATGTAATCCACCGGCTTCGGGCAGTAATGAAGTAACACGTGTGAAAGAGTGGGTTAACCAGTGGTGCCGCATGTATGAGGAAGACTCCATGAATGATCAGCCCAGGCACAAACATAAGGTTCATCGTCGGCACCGTGGGTGTCAACCTGACACCTGTGAAGCCAGTTGCCGATTGCGGCGCTGTCCTCAGTACCTGGATCTTGCAACAGATCACCTGACTTACCCTTATCATACAGAGAGTCAGTCGTTTGCATTTGGCAACGGTTCGCCAAGACCACAGCACCATCACAAACACAGTGAACATCATTGTAGACAGAGCTGCAGTAAAGATAATGGTGCATGTTATCATGATGGAAAACCAGTTATCCATGAACATCACCATCATCATAATCATCATCATTATCATCACTATGTTGGTTAAATGAATTAATATATTGGCCCTCAAAATTCACCAGAGAGGCTGAGTAGCAGAATTCCGCAGTTAAGTACCGAATTTCAGTGACTGAAAGCAAGTGTTTTGAGGTTATCCGAAGGTACTGTTGAACAAGTGTCATTTGAAGTAACTTTGTACAAACTGTACATTTATTGTCCATGTAACATGTTCACTTCATGACTGTTGATAATCATTCTCCTACTACCTTTGTGGGTCAACTTTATATTGAATTTTTGCCAGAATTTTTTCGGGCTTGTGATTTAGTGTACAATTTTTGTCAATCTGAATCGGCTCAACCAGTTTTCTGTTTGAATAGTAGCGAGATTCTCTGTTCATTTCAGAAATGGGCCAAATGGAGGGCTTTATAGACTTTTATATCCTCATGTATATGTAAGCGAAAACTTAACATTTTGAACAATATGAAATATGGAAGTATTTATCAAATAGTGTAGACATTATTTGGATGTTACCATATTGGTGATAATAAGCGGCAAAGCATACAGTTTGCAATATTCTGAAAAGAAATATATACAGTTCATGTAAACACATATATAAAATGCTAGGAGTTAACAGTTCAGTGAACCTCTGAAAGAAGCCATTTTAATATTTGCTTAGTTACATACATACTTTTTTGAAGTAATATATAGCTTTAGTCGAAATTACCTACTGTATAATATACAGATAAACGAAAAAAATTAAGTTGCTGCATTGCAGTTAGACTGACTCATCTCCTTGTGGAGGAGTTGCTACTTATCTAACGATATCGTTAGTAAAATGTTAACAATGCCAACCAAAAAACAAAATCTAAAAAACTTTGAATACGTGTAAGTTATTATAATTATTATAACAATTAAGAACTAAGTGTATTGTCATTGATGTGTTCTGTTCAGAGAATTAAACAACGTATTATGTATTTTCCTTACTTTGTAGAAAGTCATTATTTCTTCATTTAAATAAGACTAATATTCCACAGTAGTGATGCATTTTAAGTGCGTAGTGTTCTTACTGCTACCTATTTCACCGGTCAAGTAAAATCGCTTCAGCAGGCACGTATCTTGTAGTTGCAATCTAGTTCAGAAGTTTTCTAAACCCTAGCACGACCCAGTCAACAAGGCAAGAAGATGGCGGTCACGTGCCAGGTGTGCCCATCAGATATAGTAGTGAGTCCACAATGACAAACCGTAGAGAGGTGCAGAATCTCACAGTTGTAGCCCTGACTCACTACATTAACAGCTTGTATGCAAAGTATTAAACAGCAAACGATCCAGACGGCAAAGCGATGAGAGAGAAAACAAGCTTTCAACAAATTTACCCGATACTGATTTCGGTTTGGAAGGCTATAAAAACGATAAAAATGATTCATATTATTCGGTTTTTCACCCTTTTGTCTCGTTTCGTTTCGGCCTATTAAAAAGAAATATATGCCGAAAGAGGCGTCAGCTCTGACAGGCTGTTCAAAAATGTACTGTATTTGTATGGGGACTAACCTGACCTGTTCGTGAACACTCAATACTCACTGTGTCGAACAATTTTTTTTATACAGAGATAGTCTCCGCGCCAAGTACTTGAGTTTTATTTAATTTGGTTGGTAAATGGACAAAAAGCAGCGCGTAAAATCCGACAGTGAGAAACAAATAGAATAATTGACGTTCTTGTATTAAATCTTGACATTATTTCCCTTTTTCAGAAAAGAGGGGTTCATAAATAAGCAAAACAGACTAGAGGGATTGCGCGAGTTGCATTGCGCCTTGATCCAAATTAAATAACGTATTGCCGTGATCAATCTCACTCCGCGGAATTTCAGTGATCTTCTACGCTACAGTTCATCAATGGAAGTGGCTGTTGGTCTCAGCTTGAAAGTTTTGTCTATAATACCTGACAATTCAGAGCAAATTATGTCCTGCTTAGTCTCTGAAAAGAGAGTATGGATCGTTTAAGTGGAGTTAAGTTTTACATGCTTGGAGTATCATTTAATCGTCTCAAATATTAGGCCTTCTTCGCCCGCCGATAGGCTTATGATAACGCGTTTTTCGTGACTATCAAAGAAGTCTGAATGCCGGCAGATAAAACAGATTAGCACTGTATTAGTTGTCGTTAAGGAGCTTATAGGCTCATCCAACAGCTGATAAAATACGTCATCCAGTTGTAGTGAGCCAATTTAACTAAGCTGGGCCGAGCTGTAGCCTCAGAACAATGAAAATCCCACAGAGAAAAAAAAGAACCCCTTCTTAAAGAAAGCTTCCGTGTATCAACTGTGATAACCAGAAACTCTGGTTGCAAAATTTGAGGCCGAAGAGTTTTGATGCATTACTAAGGTCTTGACCTGGTTTGACCACGAGACTAATCGTTAAAATTGAAACGTGTGTGTGTGTGTGTGGGGGGGGGGGATGGGAGGAATGACGGGGATGCTTGTCGTCTCGCTTCGGGATGTAAATTGCAAATTTTGGTTTCACTTAGGGTGTTTGGGATGGAAAGTTACCATACCTGCCCATTAAGGTATCGCTTAGCACTGTACATAAAGAAATTAACAAACAATTTCCTGACACTGACCACACAGAAATCTCCATCATATTATAGGGGTCAGTTTAAGCTTGAGCCAAACCCACATTGGTCTCCCTTAGGGGTTTAACTTGAATTTTCCGACGAGCAACCCCGTCACTTTTATATGGGAGATGGGAATCCCCCCCGGGGACAAATCATTTAGTGCAGCTGCTCCAAAGTTAAGTCAGTTATTAAATTTAACAGTCGAGACAGTGCGGTACCAAAAGCTAGAGAAGCCGGCATACCTCATCGAGAGAGGGAGCAAAACTCTTGAACCCTTGGGTATTAATAAGAGAGAGAAAATGTGAAATGCAATACATTCCTTATTCAGGCTTCCATTTTTATTTATTTATTTATACTTTTTTTAAATTTCAAATTCTTTCATATCACTAGTTGAACGGTTATTGTTTTCATATACTTTGAATATTTCCTTTTTTCTTCTTTAAATTTTCCCGTGTTATCATTGTATCATTTTGCACGCTATTCTTTATTTCAAATTGTAACGTCTTAGCTTAACCTTATCATTGTATGTAAGACCCTGAAGAAAGATAACCTGAGATCAATAACATTCCGGCGGGCATGGCGAAACGAATTTTAGCGGTAGCCGTTAGAGAGAATGTATGAGAACCGTTCAAATTGGGCCTGATCTCAGGTTAGAAGAAAGAAGGCCGTCCTTCCTAAATATCAAAATCGGCCTTACTTCTTTTGTCCAAAGTTATGGAACGTCTTACCGGACTATATTACTGGACAGAGAAGAATTTCGATAATTTTAAGAAACTCCTGAAGACCTACTGTTTTAGAGTAGCCTACAGTGCCTCTGTTTACGTTTTCAGAGGTTCTTTTGTTTTCTACTCTTATTTCCATTTTTTATCTCTTGCTCATTTTTAGTCATGCTAAATTACTGGTGTAGCCATTGACTGTAAATAGTTTCAGTACATACAGTAGGTAGTACGTATAACTTATTTTCTTTATATGTCTCATTTTCTGGATGTGCATTTGATCATATACCTTTAGAATTATTAAATATTATTATTATTATTATTATTATTATTATTATTATTATTATTATTATTATTATTATTATTATTATTGTTATTATCATTGTTGTTGTTATTAAAATAAAATACGCTATAGCGGTTTGGTGTATCGTTCCAACATTTAACCGAGAAGTGTTCGGAACTCTAGCAAACGAGTAACTGGTTTATTTAGTCATGAACAAGTAAGCGGCCCAAAAGTCTACTTGATGCGGGAGCATAACTGTGTTTTAATATGAGGTTTAAAGAAAAGAAAACAGAAACAGCTTATTTCACCGATAGACCACAGTGAATAAATTTTGAGGAAAACTGAGAGGCCACAAGACAACCAAAAAAAATCAAGATGAAGGAAATTAATGGTTGAATTTCAATTTAATTTTTTATCTCCCCATTCTTTGACGTTTATCACTGATGATCACGATCTTAATCCTCCAAGAGTTTCAGGAATGGACCAAGTATTTTTTCAAACATTTTTTAAAACTGAAGTGCTGGTGAGAAAGGTTAACCAGTTTGGATTGACCGCAGAATCAGGCGCCGGCTGCTGCAGCATAATTTACCGAGAGTTATCACTCTGAGTAGATTGGGGATTCGGTACAATATGTGAGCCAGTAAATTACACCTGATTTACCAAATCGTGAGTTCATGATTTGGCGTGCAGAATATTAAAATTTCAAGATTTGACTTGCAAACATTGAAATTTTAATATCTGACATCCAGAATATTACAGATTCTGACCTGTAGAATACTGAAGATATGACATGCAGAATATTCCACTTTCAAGATCTGATATGCTATTTTTGTCCCCTTGTATGTTTCTTTGCAATGATCAGTGATACGGTGTAAGAGAATGATAAACCGGTCGTAAATTTATTTATGTTTGCGTTGATAAAGTTACCCATATACGCTATATCGGAATTCAGTCGAAATCTCTTTGAGTGCGGGATAAACGGGAATGGTACATATACATTGCAGCTCCTAAGAATGCATGACGCATTTGTCCAGAGAGAACACAAGAACAACACAATTGCAATGCATGCACTTGCAGACACAAACTAATTTAGCTATAAGTTGTCACCATTCAAAACACAGTTAATTAGATGTTGGTGCATGAATGTATGTCTCTTGCTCTTTGAAGCTTAAAACAAGGCTGAGACCAGACTCTCATCGGATAGTGCTTCTACTGTATTCTTAAGCAGAAACTCATAAGGGGTTGGAACGTGTAACTCTCATATGTTTGCTTTGTCCGATGCTCGTGATTATTCGTTCTCCAAAGTACCATATTTGGAACGAAAAGAAGAGACAACTGACCAATCAAACTTCGTAAAGAACGTGACGTAATTTTCCTTCAGGTTCCCGCGCCCGCTTAAAAAAATGGCCGACAAAAGGGGGAAAAACTCCCGAAAGCCGAGAAAGCTTTTAAAGGTTGAAACCAGGAATATTATCGAAACACTGAGCAGGATATTATTGCCTTACCACCCGGGCCAAACGTAACATTATGAAACCCATTGACGGCCTCGCAACTTCTTGAAGTTGTCACTTCAAAAAACGATGCCTCGTTTGACCCTCTGCACAGGAAACTTATACTGCAAATAGGCTTTTAAAATTCTTATGTTAAAAGTCTACAATAAACAGTGAAAAATATTTTCGAAGAAAATTCATTAGCTGCGTATCGAAAGTGTCCAAAACCTGAACCTGACATCTTCGCAAAAAGTCATGCTTGTAATGAATGTGAGAAGCATTTTAAAAGCTTAAATTAAACTTAGATGTTGTAGTCACGATCGTGTTTTGAGCTAATTTTATGAACAAACTCAAAACAATAGACAGAGAAGCCGTTCCTTGAAAATTTTTATTCAAAGTCCAAAAAGTTAATCCTTTAAAGCAATTCGGAAAACACTATCTGGATCGTGGATCCGTTCACGCAAGTGACATCGGCTAAGCACATGGCAAAATTCAACACAAAATCCATCTCAAATCAGGGCACATTTTGTAATTTTTCTTTAGCGCCGAAGAGAAAAATTTATAAAACGTCTATGAAACATTTAAAAATACATAAATTCCCTTTCAAAAACGTAATTGTCTTGGCCATAGAGTGCAAAATGTACCTGAAAATTCAGCAAAATCTTCGCTGACTTAGTTGCATTTCAAAACAGACCATGGGCTCCGCCGTGAAGAAAACAAGGTTGAATTCCTCGAAGGACGATATCTTGATGAAAAGCTTCCCTTTCTCCACAAAAAGAAAGCTGAGCATTCTTTTGAACTTTCTCTTTCCATTTTTTGTCTTTTAACGGTGTATTTTTAAACTTGAAATGCAGAACTCTTGTCTTAAAACATCTGCATGGTGATCGCTCAGCAGCCATTTTGTTGAAAATGGATATCCGTCACCAAGATTTCCAAATATGGTCAAAATGAATATTCACAAGCATTGAACGCGAGTTACACGTTTCAACCCCTTATGGGTTTCTGTCTTAAGTCAAAGTCTCTTTCAAGCATTTGTGAAGTGTAAACTACTCTATTCGTCATCATAAGCAAATGGGTGACCTTAGTCTTCCTCAGGAAGATGTTTCAACCTTGTTCCCAGGCTCCTCTCCTGCTCGTCCCCCGGAACCGGCGACGAGTAGGAGAAGACCTTTGGAACGAGGTTTGAAGATGTTTTTGACCCAGAGGACTACCCACAGGGATTGCTCGTTTAGATGGCTCGATGCAGTTTTTCACGGTCAATACCTCCCAAGTTTGAGTATAAACTACATCGCCATAAACAAAGATTTGAAACAATTGCCGCCACAGTTGTATTAGATAAAGATGAATATTTGTTATGATCGGGGTTGCAATGACATCGGAGTTGTCATAGCAACGAAATGACGCCATTACCTATTTTACTTGAAGCAATATTTCTCGGCACTGCGAACTGTTCTTCCAAAATCGTTCACCGGAGCTTTTTCCTCCAATAGTCTCCTCGATGTTCGTGAAGTTAAGGCGAAATCTGTAGAAGCGTTATCGAGATATTTTGGGAAGAAGTTTTCATGGTTAGAAATACGGTAAAAAATGGACAATCTTGATGTTCGACTGTTATCTGTAGAAAACGAAGCGCTTTTGACATGCAATTTCGTCTCATAGTAGTCATAGTAGTGTCAATGGTTTTAAAAACGTGAGTGAAAGATTATGGAGATAGCTTCAGCCGATTGCTAGAAAGAAGGATTTGCTTAGTATTTCATTTTCAAGTGAACAGCAGTAACTGACAATGCATTTGAAACATGCATATCAATCATCTTGAAACTAAGAAGTCATATAAAGAAACGGTTAATTTCAAGATTCTTAATTTAAAAAAAAAAACTATTGAGCGGTTTAAAAATTATTCGCTAATTTGTTAAAGTAGACCGAAATGTTTACAAAACCGCTAACTAGAGCGCCTCGATACATACTAGTCAAATCCCTCTTTCTAGCAATCGGCTAGAGTTGTCTCGGTCATGATCTTTCAAAAAGTTTGAAACTACTATGAGGTGAAATTGCATGTCAAAAGCGCTTTGCCTCTTACAGATAACAGTCGAACATCCCAGTTCCCAGTGCCGAGAAATACTGCTGCAAGTAAAATAGGTAATGGCTTCATTTCGTTGTTATGACAACTCCGATGTCATTGCAACCCTGATCTTGACAGATTTCCGTCTTTATCTTATACAACTGTGGTGGCAATTTTTCCACATCTTTGTTTATGGCGACGTAGTTTATGCTCAAACATGGGAGGTATTGACCCTGAAAAGCTGTATCGAGCCACCTTAAACAACCATCGAAGAAGCAAAAGATTTCATTGGGATCGGAGTCTGGTTAAAAAGCCCCACTGGAATGAATTTCCGCCCTTTTTGTTCATAACCTAGGGGCAAAGATTTCATTCAATTAAAAATGCCTCAGTTGGGTCGGAGTAACTGGTTCAATAGATGTTTGAGAATTTTTGGATCACTTTTCGAATACTTTCAATCGTTAAAATTAGGGATATATTTTAAATTATGGAAACTGCATGGGAAAATATTGGATTTGGGGGTTGTTGAAATTGAAAACATGAAGGGAATAATTAGCAGACAAATAACAGATAGTCACTACGAGGTGCCTGTACCGCCACCGAAGTGATCCCCACCATCGAAATGATCTCCGCCACCGAAATGCCCCCCAATCACCACCGAAATGATCCCCACCACCGAAATGGTACCTATTCGCAATCGAAATGATCCCTTCATAAATTTTCGGAACCTTGGCTTAAATGGACTTGGGACTTTGCTATGTATTCTAAATTCTTCGTTTATTCATGCAAACACGATTCTAAACAGAGGAAAATAGAGAAAGCAATTAGACTGACAACAGTTCTATACACTGATTTTATTTTCAAAATTTTAACATTTTTTTAAGGAACTACATAAATCCGCCTTGAACAGGGAACAGGTTTATCATATAACGTGATAACGAGCAGATTACAACTAGTTTTGCGTTAAAAACTTGACAGTGTTAGAGCATGGTCCGGGCTATAAAATGTCAGCACATTTTGTCACACTATTCTTTTATGTCAAAAAGAAATTCACAGATATAAATGTCGGCTCACTCCATGACATCAGGGTGAGTTTTCATGTACTGGCAAAGGTCGCACCCAGTCTGGTCGTCACAATAATACCGAACGCAACCTCTTTCACTTACATGTATACCTGATGATACGCTCTGGTATTTCTTCCCGCACTCTGAGCAGTACTCTTCAGTTATTTTTCCCTCGCCATACCTGTCGATCAAGAAATCTACAGCACTTTGGGAAGACCTTGTAGAAACCACCGGCTCTAAAGAGTGATAATGGTATTCTGCTTCGTGACCAAGTAGAGCCATACTTCCTATATCTTGGCTTTTCATTGAGCTATCGGGGCTGATAATTCGAAGAGCATTTTGGCCTAAACTGGATTTTATTAAGAAGATTTTCTTGCAAAAATATAAAAAAAAATTCGAAGAAATAGAAGACATAAGTGAATTGCATCTTTTGAACAAGTATTGTCTAGTGTTAAACCAAAAAAAAACAAAACAATTTACTGCAAAATAAAGTGCGGTAAAAGGTAAATTACACACCGTAAAAAAGATGCAATATAAATAAATAAAAAGCACGCACTAAATTGTTGTCCAGTTTTTGTAGTCCTCTTAATTCCATTCCCGATATTCCGGGGATCATTTCGGTCGTGACCGCCGGTATCATTTCGGTGGTGGGGATCATTTCGATGGTGGGGATCATTTCGGTGGCGGTACAGTGCCCCCGGCTAAGCTCATTAGCGAAACAACTGCATGCCTCTATCCTTTCCTAACCATATTTATATTCTACCCCCAAGAAGCAACCTGTAAGGATCAGGGTTTAAACCAACCATATCTGTTTTAGTTAAGACTGACTGGAAAAGAAGCTAGGCCGATTTTTAAAAATTTTTTGCCCTTTTATATTCTTACATTGTGGAATATTTTCAACTTGACAAGAGTTTGCCAGGTTTCTTTGTTGTTTGTTATATCGGGTCGGCATGGAAACTAATATATCTAACCTGCTGAACAAGCACTTAGCCTACGTGATGGCGGCAACTTTATTTTTCTTGTGCTTTCAGCTTTTGTTTTTCTCGTAGTATATTTGTCTGTGGGTGAGAGTGAACACAAATGGCTTCCTTAATTGACTTCCGTTGACCATTATAAGCTCTGTTTTCAATTTGGCCGTACCTCCAGAAGCTAAGGACTAGTTGAGTTGTTTGGCTGGGAAAAGGATAAACGCGGTAAATAATCGGTAATCTTGTAAAAAAAAAAAATTATAAGAAATAAAAAAAAGGTTCTTGTCGTGTAAACGAAAGTAAGACGCCTCCGCATAAATAAATAACAGCGATTCAATTTGTAGTTACTTTTCTTCCGTTCAGTAGATCATTTTGGTATTCAATCTACACACTCTTCGTTGTCAGCATCAAAGCCATGCCAGTCAGTCGTATTCGAATGAAGGTTCGGACTTTGATAACAGTACAAGCTTAACAATTTCAAATCAGTTTTACGCATCATTTTCTCTGTACCCGAAGGACCACTGTAGGATCTTCATTGGTGTACCTTTTGTTTAAGGTTCCACGCCTCCTTGCCTATAATTATTCTATGTATGTATTGAACTGATTTCAAAGCAGCACTCTTAACACGGTTTGCTTTGAAATAAATCAATAAAAGCGGGGTAGTCAAAGGCCCTCGCTATTAATGAGTTCACTTGGGAGTCATGTTGTTCAGAATAAATACTCTAGCTTGCAAATTTTATTTTTTGGCAAGCCTTCTTCGGCTTGCTTTCGTTTGTGGCAAAGCCCTGAACTTCATTCCACTTTGTACAAAGTTACTGCAAAAAGTGTTTCTGAAATGGTCAAAGTGTCGAGTGCAACCGGAGGATTTCTGGCCCACCATGTTCAGTTCTGAAATGGAAAACACTCTCAGGTATGTGCTGTGGAGAGATATGACAAAGAGAGTGCGCCCGGGTGGACTAGCCATTAATGTACCTTTAGTCGGTCTTGATGGTAAAAACAAAATGTTGCTGGACTTTCAAAAAGTTGGAAGACCTTTGGTTGTTAACTTTGGCTCTTGCACCTGACCCGAATTTATGGCGGACCTGCAGAAATTTAGCAGAATTTGCCGGGTTTTTCAACAAGAGGTTGACTTTCTTCTTTTATACATCGAGGAAGCACACCCTACGGATGGATGGGCGTTTGAGGTGAGACCACTTTTTGGTATATAAAAGAAGCGGATCATATCAGGGCCATTATTGTGTGGAGTGCTCTGTAGAAACAAAATTGGACAGCTGCAGAACTAATGTTTGATATACGAAGGTGTTTCCTTGTGCGGCCATAAAAAGCTCTAATAATGTTGGGTAGGGTATGAAGGGAGCCTTTGCAAACCAAAAAACTAGTTCACGAAGGGAATTAACTTGCAACCTCTTTTTCAGTATTTCATAACTTACACTTTTGATTACGTTTATACAACTTAAATTAATCTTAGTTCCCTTTATACGTTACACATTGTAAGATGATGAAGATTTTTATCCAGTGCTACATACTGCAAAATAAAAGGGACAAGTATCATTTTGCTTTCAACGGCCCGAAACTATCTTAGACTATCTTATTACGTAATACAGCCTATGCATATAAAAAGAACTTTATTTTGTCCAGGATAAATGAATGACATTGTCAGTTCCTCTCAGGTTTCTCAACTGAAACATAATCGTATCTCAGAGCCCGGCTTCCGTAAAAGGTGCCCAGTGCCGGTAAATAAAGTTCCGCGTTTATGCGCCGACCAAGGTAACACTTTGCAGCTACACATTCTGTTTTTATGATTTATCCTCTAAATTCTGTTGTATCATAAACAACAACAAAAATTTGACTCCTGGACGCGCGGCAAAACAGCGTTACCAGCCAGTCGGTCAGTAAAAAATAGCAGTCAGATACTGTACTTTCATCAAATTCATTACTGGTATGTCTACCTTTGTCTTTTTCATGTACTTTTCATGATTCATGTATCCATCAATTTTGTAATGAACACCTTTTAATTGGTTGCATCAATTATCCTCACGAAAGTATATCTCATCTCTATATACAATGCTTTAATCTCAAACCTTCACCAGGAGGACCACCATAACCCATTTCATCCTTTAAGCCCCAGTTTGATGAGGTTTCAGTACAAACGCAGCTTTCGCGATGGATCCTTGCATCTTGAGCTATGACAAACGAGAGCCAAGTGCAATACATTTTTTTTCTCAGGGGAGAAAAAGAACAAAACATGCGTCATTAGTAAAAAAGGTGAACAATTCCTCGTGTTGATTTTTACTGGACTAGAAAGAACAAAAAGATTTGATGTTTATTGCCTACCAAGTAGTTATTGTTTTTTTAGAACAACTACAACATACCACAACATCGTACCACCCAAGAGAGATGCCAAGCTGCCAAGTTACTGCAGGCTCAGTGTCCTGCTGTTGAGGTTCAAGTGGCAGTCGATACCATGTGGAATACTGCTAATGCTGTTTACGGTGCCATACCAGAAAGACTTTACATCATCAAGGATAGTACAGTTTTGTATCAGGGGGGAGTGGGACCTTTTAGATATGACCTCAGTGAAATGCAGAATTGCCTAAGTCATATGATTACAGGCGGGGACATTAAATTTAAGTAGCTTATAAATGGATGTCATGCTGTAGCAGGTTTGCCTGCTTAAACAACGATCAATAGTGTAAAAATTATCTTTTCCTGACGTTCGCCAATCATTTGTATTGCCATGTTTTCCTTCTTACTGTAAATGTGAAAAATATGGCATTTTTTCCTTCTCAAGTAAAAACTTCAAGCCTTATCTACTATAGCAAGTTTACCTTGGCAAGTTTTAGTGATAGCGGTGCTAGCGGACAAAGACAGACGCAGAGTATAAGTGAGGGCTACCCTGCATAGTTGGCGGATTTGTTCCAAGAGGGGAGGGGGTGCGGTAACGCACATGTTTTAAGGATTTTTTAAGGTTTTACTGATGATAGTTTACACTTCAATTCCAGAAGGAGCAGTGCAGACTTGAATGTTTTTAAAACACTTAATTGATTTTTTTAAACACGTGTTTTAAGTGAGGTTTAAAAGAAGAGGACCGTAATGCTAGCATTGGGATCAGTAATGAATATATGTTAATGAATTTTGTTTATTTGTTAAAGAGCATTGTTATAATAGTTACCAAAAATTTCACATGTTTTAAAAACAAAGATGGAGAAGATCTTGATAATACAACTATCGTACCAGACCACAAACTGATCAGAATTCAGTACTTGCGTGAAAAAATATGTAAGCAGGCAGACGACCAAACTATTAGCTATTAAAGAAACTTTGCCCGCTGTCTTTATGTCCTTTTTACCGGTCATTGCTGATTTTCTTGACCAGGTAATTTGAAATGAACAATACCAATCGCCATCGAATATAGGAGTTGCGGGTAGGTATCACTCACAAACGTAATTTGGGAGAAGTCAGATGAAGCTCGTCGGAATTTCAAGCCACCACCCGGCTAAACACATTCTGATCCGAACTTGTCAAATAATCCCCACAACTTGTCCTTCACGTGGCTGGCCGGAATGACCACGTCGAAATGCCCAACCCTTGTCCTGTGAGAGAATTATTGCTGCATATAAACAGTCACGAAATTGATCTCATAATTGCCGGAGCAGAATTGAACCGGCCTTTCAAAGCGACAGAAGTAACCGCAGGTTCAACATAAGCTGTTCCAGTTAACGGCATTTCGACTAAGGCTTTGTTCACATAGCTTTCAGTTGGGACTTACGGATTTTCCAAATCTCGGTGCCGGAGAATGACTTAAGTTGTTGACCAGTACAAACTATACCTTCGTGGCTTAACATGGCCATAAAACGTTAATATTGCGGCGTCCGGTTTTTGACCACGCCTATTCTTGTATTGCAGAGCTTTCCATATTAAGAAATAACGGCGGGCTTGTGCAGACTTCTCTCTATGAACAAATGACTGAATTAACCGAATAAATGATCTTACTAGCGGTGTATGTGTTTGAAAACACAGTGACTGGTCTGTTTAAGCAACCCATTGATCTGGAGATTTTCTGATTTTTGATTTAAAAATCCAAAATGATTCAGTAACGAGTCAATAACACTGGATTTCCTACAACAAGATGCGAAATGTGATTGAGAATATTCTCGACCTTTGACACATGCTTATATTAAGTAGTGGCTTAAGGACAAGAAATCTAAACATGTTTTTATATTCTCTTTTTTTCTAAAAGAACTCGAACCGAGATAAAGTGTTCAACTCAATATGATTATTTTTCATCCAATTCCTCCCTCTTTTTTCTACTCCGTGTGTTCTTACAATGTTTCGTTTCAACATTGCCTCACATTTTCGTCATGTGCAACTTATTTGAGGAGGTCAGTGGCGGATCAAACCCTCACGGGGTAATCAGGCTCCGTTTGAAGTCATCTTAGTGTAAAAAATAACTCAGTATGGGATTGTAAAATCGTTGGTCTAAAGAGCGATTCAAAAACTATAATGACGTCCATTTTGAAACTCCATTTTCCCTTTAAAATGTTGTTTCCGAATATATCGTTTCCTGTAAGGCGCCTACTGACGGCGTCATTTCAGTCACGCTACTAGGAAGTCTAAAGAGAAGGGCTCTGGTGATGATGTTGTTTAGTCAAGAAACAACACAGAAATGACAATTCAAAAGCGAATGATCTTTAATGGACGTAACTTGTCATTTTTTTTATTGCTAACGATTTTTAACTCCCATACGAAGAATGAATTAACTGCAAAAATCGTGGACGAGGATCCTGCTGGTTGTCAACGTTGGATCTCTAGAAAAGAGATCTAATAAGTTCAAATATTAGGAACAAAAAAAGAAACGAGAAGTCCAAGGACTACTGCCAACGTGTATTGCTTTTTCATACAATATTTCGGCTGGCCATACCAGCCATCTTCAGGTTTACAGATATTACTGAAACTTAAAGAAGGCTGGTATGGCCAGCCAAAATATTGTTATGAAAAAGCAATATACGTTGTTATGATAAGCTTTGCAGTAGTCCTTGGACTTCTCGTTTTTTTGTTCCCGTACGAAAGTCCTGTCTGCTCTGTGATCAACCCTTTAGGTTCGCCGTCTGACCGAAATCCGATGTGGGCCTCAGTTTTGGTCTAAAATTGGGGGGTGGGGGGAGGGGCTAGATATGCTCTATTTATTCCTGAAACTGAAACATTAGAAAGGGCAATGTTTTCCCCAGAAAAAGACTAATGTTCGAAGACTAACTGCAACGGACCGCAAACGAATAAACCAAGTGAACATAAATCTGCAAAGTTGATCGTACTACGTAAAACTGATTAAGCAAGACAAAAAACACGGTTTGTGTAGCCGATGACAGCTGTCCGGGACAGCTGTTTCGCTATTATGTTATTGTGGCTCATCAAAGCGTTAACTGCGCCCCAAATAACAAAACACTCGCACACTAAAATTGGACCTTCACCCCCGTCGAATCACGTCGTTCATCTATTACGTTTGACCCAGGTACTCATCGTTCACTGGTGTTCATTAGTCTCCCCTGGGGATGGTGGAGGGGAACGGAAGGGGTGATTCTTGAGCGGAAAAGAAATGATGCGCATAATCCAATATGGCGGAAGTGTGTTGTGAACTCCCTAGACCAATAAGGAGCGGTTTGATACTTTAAACGAGCTAGAAATGACCTGAAATATTCACCAGCATAACGCTGTATTTGAGACTTTTATTCATGAGAGATAATTCAGCCAATGTCGTTAAAGGTAGGTGTGCAAACAAAGTATAATTACAATGTTCTTAGACATTCATTCGAACGTCTGTGCTACAGCACGAACCTGGATTTCTTCAAAGGTAATATTATACATAGCATTGCAGGTTGTATGAATATTATAATTCCTAAATTCAAGCTAATTCTGTACGCGTGCCAATTTGAAAATGAAAAAAATTCCCTCTTGGTAAGGACCAATTATCCAGCTATTGTAAATAAGCTGTTATTTCTCGTGTCCTGCTATGCTTTGTTGATTGCTCATTTGGTCACAGTTGGAAAACGCTAGCAATATATTATCTTTTGAACATTTTCTTTTGTATTCACTTGTTAGAAACCTAAAGGTGTTTGACTTTCTCAAAATCATTCACAAATTATGTAAGCTTAAAAGCTTTCGTAAGCACGGGATTAGGCGTATCATTCAATTGAAGGCATGCCAACTTTTTATTTGAATAACGCGCTCAGGCATTTTTTTCCCAAGCGTAGCAGTAATGCTGGCTTTCCTTCGCCATGAAAATATTTTGTCCAAGGGGATTATATTCATTTATCTATCACTCCTCACTCAGCCTAACCCTGAAATGGCAAAAAATGCTTTAAACCAACGATAAAAGTAGTTTAACCTAATAATAAAAGGATCAAAAGTCAAGCTTTGGTTACTTTTGGTAAATACGTTTAAGCAAAGCATGTAGACATTGGATAATGATGTTGATACTGTCAAATTAAGAAATCCGTGAAATCTTGATTTTGGGAATGTTCGTTGTGTTGTTATGAATTTATCAGCAGTTATCCCAGTCAAGGGGGGGTGGGGGGTGACCCAAGGGAACCCCTGGTCATTTGCACAACGACATTTACAAATCCCCCCTACCCAAAACCACGTTTGTTTAACAAAAAGCTACTAACCCTCTCTTGGGGGTAAAGAAGTGTGCCCTGCTAAGTCAAAAGGTGCAATATTTCAAAAGAGTTCTGTTTGCCATAATTAATTTCCTATTTGCTACGCTTTTTTATTATACATATAAGAGTTAATTAAATTAAGCAAAGAAAGCTATTCCACCTGTTTTCTGCACATGATGAGGTTCAGCTTACCTTGTAAGTCATGGAATGGGAAAGGAGAAAATATTTATGTTTCCTGGTAATGAAGAACTAGGATTCCTTGAACATATTTTGAAATGCTTTATATTATAAATATTTATAGATATTTACAAATCCCGTGGGTCTTCTCCTGGGGAGGTGTGAGAAATCTGTTTGCTTTGAAAGCCTGTAGTGAGGAGGCCTTCCGACGGGTGGAAGTGACAGGTGACATGACCCCAAAAACTGGCAACAATCTTCTCGGAAAGCATGGGACAATGAACAGAAAAGGAGGCAATAATTCTGACAATGGCAATCTATATTTTAACTAGTGAAAGCGACATCTGACGTCCGCAGTGAAACAACAATTTCTCTTCCATTATTTTCTAACATTTTCTGTTATTTTCTTTGAATCGTTTTTTAATGTTGGTATTTAATATTAAAGACCAGTCCCTCCAGCAAGAACGGTCAATAACAGTTAATTCTTTCCAGCTTCTATTTATTCAGCTGTAAGTTCCAAGTAAGTTCCAAAATTGAGTATAACAAAAAAGTATGCTGAATGGACAGCAACATTTTCTTCCTAGATAAAATGCAACAGCAACATTTTTCCTAACCTACAAGGCATCAGGCAGTCTCAGAAATGACGGACTAAGTGACAGCGGCATAACCCCCCCCCCCCCACAACTGGACTGCCTCTGTAGTCTTTTGTATAGAAAGTACTGATTTTGCCTACCAGTACTTCCATTTTGTGGATTCCTTTCACATAGAGTCTTTGGGCTGGCTCGGGTAGTACAGCAATATTATTGTTTATACAGACTGTATATCTTCTAATTTTAAATGGGGTCTTCTAACTTTGCCATAGGAGTAGCGTTACATCTCATCTAGGCTCAGGGTGCGAAGAAAATCAGTTTTACAGCTTGCCATTCAGGCAAGCTGAAGCTAGCATTTACTAGCCTGGACGTCATTTCAGCTAGCTCCAAAAGCTTTTTGACGAGCAGAATTGATTTCACAGTTCTTCTCTTATTTGAATTCCTCAAAAAACATCACTTGCCCGTCGGGCAAGTTAAAAACAGAATTCAGTAGCCTGATAGCAAAATCCACTAGCCCCGGGCTATTGAACACTAGTTTCTTTGCACGTTGCGGCTAAAATATACTTTGTTTTTATTCCATATTGCTTCTGGTTTCTTGTGGGAAAAGGAAAGAATTTCACTTAAAGCCCTTGTCATGTTAACCCTGTGTAACTGAAAAAATACATGTACTGAAATGCAAAGATTAAAATGTATAAACAGACTTACAAATATGGATGACTTGTTGATCTTAGGAAGAAGAGAATGATTGGGACTGGCGATCCTTGTGCCAGGACTTCTTGTTTGATTCTCAAGTTCCACATCTAGAAAATCTCTTAAAAACTCACTATGCAGGAGATGTAAAGAATTTTATTCAACAATATCTGGAACCTGTTTTAGCAGTTCTAAAGGACATCAAACTATCAGCTGAGGTATGTTATACATGTCATGTATAAAGAAGATTTTTTCTGGGTAGAAGGTTGACCCTCCCAGCCAAGTCAACTTAAGCAAGTGTTTATATGAGAAAATGGTTGATGCCTTTGCCCTGTTCAAGATTACTCATGCATGCTCTGATTGTCTAAAACCAAAGTGTTTATATGGAGAAAAGTTGGCGTGGATACAAGGATGACCCTGCCATCACAAAAGGGTGACACGGCTGGACAAGTCACCCTTCTAACCAAGCCAACTTTTTGTTTCTCATGTAAATGATTTTTCACATTTTGTAAGGAAATATATGAAAAGATGGATCACCCAGGGTAGCTTGGGTGGGTGAGTAACCCTTCAGCCAAGGACAAAAATCCTCCACATCATTTTCTCCATAATGATTGGAAAACATTATGCATGGATAGATCTTGAACCTTGACCTTTCTGCACCAAAAGCAACACAATATTGTCAATGTTCAAATACTGTTCTTTTATTCACGATTCTCTGTCATCTATTCATTACTGGGTTATTTCATTCATTTGTAGTTCACTTTATACAATATTTTTCTATGCATTCATATTCAGTTAATTAAAACAATTTTTCTTAAGTAGTTGTCTTTATTTTAAAGAAAAAAAACAAGGCTCCTACTCTTTGACTGTTTTATTTCAGACTTTTTTCTCTGGTAATGGAAAGGTAGATGATGCCTGGATTCCTTACTACAAGAAATTTGTTGGTAGTATCATTCATTTAACAAGAATAGACCGTAGGCTTCATAAAGGTGACTTCTACATAAGCACCAGTTTTGCTGTTCCTGGCCATCTCATTGTCAAATATCATGATGCAGGAAATGTTCGGTCATTTCCTTTGGAGGCTGAAGATTTTCCTGAAATGTGGAAAACAGACTGGACCAACAAAATGAGAATGGAGATGCAAGGTCGGTTTTTGTTTCTGAACTGTGTTGTTAACACCAAGAGAGGTTTAGAGAGAAGGCCTTGGAGGTACCTAATGTCAGAATCTGGAAATGTTAGTGTGAAGCAGTTTAAGGGTGAGTCATCTTCTGAGCTGCTGTTTTAATGTAGAATTTTGCATCGGTCATTGTATCATAGTCTCTTTAACTAAAACCAGGGCTTCAAAGCTATGACAGGAATCACTAATGTGAAAAGATCAGTGCAGCATGTGGTATTTCTAAAAAGAAAATGGCTTTAGGGGTTCACTTTTAAGGAACTAACGTTGCTGGGGAGGGAGAACTTGGCTGCTGCTCCCTTTATATTATTATTTATAGTAGAAATTTAAGTATATCCTAATAATTTATCATTTATTACCCCCCCAGAATAATAAAATCTTAAGTAGCTGAGTTGTATAAAGGATTCAGCACTGTTTTGCTGGCTACTTTCTCAAGGAGACACTGACAATCCAGCTATAAAATTTAGGAGAAGAAAGTTATTAACCTCGTCTGTTTGGTCATTAAGGAGACATCTCAGACCTTGGCCTTGATGTATTGACCTTGCTATCTCCTTGTCAATACATCAAGCTGGGCGTCTGTTTGAGATTTCCCTGTAATGACCTTACTCTGGTTAATAAGTGGTATGTAATGCTAATATTATCTGATAAAGAATTAAAGGTTTTCATTTGATCAGGGACAATTTAGAAACACAATGATTCAGACTATATCATTTTTTTATTGCAAGTTATTGTCTGTCATATTGGATTGCAAAATAATTTATGAACACACAATAAATGCAAATATAGGACCGGGAAAGAAATGTTTTCTGTGCACATTAATTCACAGTGGTGGTGGGGTGGGGGGTCGTTTGGATGCTGTTTACTTTGGAGGAACCTCTGTGTTTATGAAGAAAACCCTGAGTAGTTCCCCAGAGACCTCAAAACATTCATGATTTACTATTAAGCATCTGATTTACTAAATTACATGAATTTATGCCTAAAATTTACTGATCTTGAGAGTGAACTTCCTTATCTGAAAAGTATGTTAAAAAAATCCTCCAAAGCAAGTTCATAAGTTATTGGTTGAAAAATTTGTACAAATTATGGCAAATTATTGCAAATTGAAAAATGAAGTTAGGTTTGAAATTATCTTACGTTAATAAAGAACTTTAAAGAGTTGCAGACAGCAACCAAAAGCACTCTTCCTGTAACTTGCTACCCACTGTAACAGTGCATTATAAGAATCTACCTACAGATGACATACTTTTTCCTTCTTTGTAAGTCATCTACTCTTGTCATTTTCTTATCTCAGGGGCATCTACTTGAAAAATCTTTCTTCCATAAACAGCAACTTAATGAACACTTCTTATATGGCACTATTTATTTTATTTGGACTACAGCTGTTTGTGTCAAGAAAAGATCATCAATCTAAGTGCCTCTTATATTGAAAACATTTTGAATTTTCAAAGCCAAGTACTTCTAGTGTTTCTTTATCACATGTTGTTTAGGAATCTTATTTACATAAGTATTTTTCTGTTTCCTTTTGTTTTTACTATTACTTTACTCATATCTATTATCATATTAGTTTTTTAAGTATTAAACTCTTTATTTTAATTTGAAGATCAAGTGCACAAGTTTACTAATTCCAGTTGTTTATATGTCTGTCAAAGAAAGACTAGCAATATATGCAAGGATATTCATCGTAATAATAATAGTTGTTATTCTTCATTTACATTTCCGTATCCATAGTAATTGAGGAGGAGAGCCTAGAGAAAAATGTAATGAAAGTAAACCGACAGTCTTTGTTTATGGAAAAGCCACTGAGTGCTTTTGATGTCAACTTCGAGCTTCTTCATAGTGGTGTGGCTTCTCTACCAGGTATAATTGACTTATATGTATATATTATTCATCAACTGTACTATATCACAGCTATTTATAAGGACGATGCTTTATAGTCATTTAAGGGATGTTTTTAGTTCTGGCTGTTTTTTTTTCCTTACTGTGCGTAGCAAAAATGTGTGCAAAAACTCGGCTGTCTGTAAGTAATGTTTCGACCTGTGATGCCACTTACACTGTTTGTATTTTGTGAAGTAAATGTGACCTTTATCTATTGTATGTTAATTCCAGCACGTGCTTTCTCTTGTGGAACTGATTCTTTAAGTATGATTTGTAATTTCTATAACTTCCATAATATTTCCAGTTTTGTTGCATTTTTTATTTTGCTATTTCATTTACTGGTGGCAAAGCCAAAACTTGAGATGTCTCTGTTCATTCAAGTATCAAAATGGGTGCTAAAAACAAGTGCAATATCACTTGTGTTTGTAATATCATACTATATGGATACTAATATAGGTGCTCATTGGACTCATTGGTTAGTTTAAGTACGGTAACTACTTTGTGATTTGCAGTCAGGAAATATTGTGTTTTTGTTGTCCTTTTTGTTTGGCTCTATTTCCATGGTTTCCTCACCAAACAAATTATCAATAATTACATCAATAATACTATGAAGCACAATGGGTATCATTTCTTAACTTTAAATAAACTAAGATGCATTCAACTCAAAAACATCAATATTTCCATTGCAACTTGCTGATTCATTTTGTTATAAATAGTGTTGAGCTATTTAATTTGACAAGGAAGTTTAGCATTGATGAAAAAGGGAAGTTTAATTTAGGTATCAGCTGTATTAAAAAGGCTGACACGTGCTGGTTATTTTCACGTTGTATGTCTTAGATGTACAATTTAACTTTTTATCTTTAAAACTTTTCGTCAATAATGTATTATGGATATTCAAGGTTTAGTTTGCTAAATGATGTTTCTTAAGGTCAACAAATTTTTTACTTGTTTTACCCTGAGTATTTTAAGTGAAGGAATGCCAACTACTCACAAACGTGCTATAGATGACAGCTTATTTAAGTGGCGTGACAATAACACACTCGGTCTACTTGAGCTGTCAATTGAAGGATTTCAAACTTAGTTCTTTAAAACGCGTAAAGCACGTTTGTACTTTCAATTCTTGGCATAGGATGGCTGTAAGAATTAATTTTGGAAGTTGTGAGAGAAATTTCCAATTTTAAATTGAAATGCACAGAATACGTCTTAAAACTACCTAAAAAACGGGTGGTACACTCTGTTAAGAGGTTAGCTCTGAAAAAATATTATCTTTTCCTGTTTTTACTTAAAATGAATAAGGCTCGCAGCTTCGCGATATAACAGGGCCCGCGGAGCAGTTTTTAAAGTACGGGGGCCGGTGACCACTTCTTTTGAAGTGGGGTTGTTGGGGGGGGCGGGGGGGGAAATTTGGCCGTTCTCTCTTTGTGGCTGGTTAGAACAGTCAGATTACCGAACCTTTCTTGCGTCATTGTTGAGCGGAGTCATGTTTATAAATTTCAAGCCGCTGAAAAGTACCTTTCTCCTGCTGAGCCTGATTGCACATGCAAGATCCACCAGTAGAAGTTTGCTGATCATGATATTACACTGTAGGTTCCTGTAACCCGTTCATTTTGTCTAGTACGTCATCGAAATGCGTCAGAGACTATACCATCAGCCGATATAATTTGTTTTAAGAAACCGTAGTTCCGTGGAGTAGTCTTCAGATTTAAAAGAGAACCTTCGTACAAAAGACTCCATTCCGCATTGTTGCATATCCCCCCCCCCCAGCCCCTCCCCCTGCGCGGGCCCTGTATAAATGTTTCTGTGTCATTGTGAGTGAACATCCATCTTTTGATTAAGACAAAAGGCTAAATTACGTTTCAAACAATTAAGCTATCCGGTGATTCGCTTGAAGGTGCATGAGATCAGATGCAGAAATATCTGATCTTGTTTTTATGCAGCTTAAAAAAAAAACACTGCAGCAGTAATTACGCACCTGGCCAGAACTCATTAACGTTTTCAAAGGATATATTTTAATTGCACGGAAGAACTTTACCGCATTAAGCTCAGACGGGACAGCAGAGACGTGCACAGTTAAAGCTACAGTTTAAAGGTATTTACCGTTAACTGCATGAACGCAATACAGGGTTTCTCTTGGTGTACACATTCATTCTTCAGGAAAAACTGCCTTATCGTTAACAAAAACTTTTTTGGTCTTCAATTTTATGCAGAAGCGTTTTTGAAAACAGTCCTCTGTTCAGTGCGCTACGACTCCCAAGAATAGACCGCGTGTGTTCAAGATTAAGTTTTGGGTTTCCTGAAATTTGTTGGATTAGGACACAGAAGAGATTGCGATTTTACTAGAACGTTAAAGATGTAGATAGATGATTGACAATTTTATACCAAGAGTCTACAGTGTGAAGCATTAGTAAAAGCACCGTGTAATTAAGCAGAAAATAATTTTAATGTGATGGTTATCACTGTTCACTATGACGATATCAATGACGTCAGATGGACATTAATCAAACGTATTGCAAACAATTCGTTTTGTCAAACAACTTTTCCTATCTTACCCATGTATATGGCTGACGTTTTTGAAAGGACAGTTTCAGTTACCTAATTAACTTTTTAGTTGTAATAATAATACAGTATTTTCATCAACTGAAGACAGGTGCAGGCGGCTGGCCGCTAAGGAAGGGAGGGAGGGCATGATACTTTTATAGTAGGATCACCCTTTTAGCAAGTTTATGTATTTTAAGAAGGGAGTGGTGGCGTTTTTAACGTTTTTGTATCCAGGAACCTCTACTTCCCAGTCTCTGGAGTTTCTAGATCCGAAAGCAAGGTTGTAAGTTTTGTCTTTTGTAGTCGAGCGCATCCTGTGTCTTAGTTGGCGAACTGTTCCCTGTCAGTCGTGATATTTAGTTTCTTAATCTACCGCATGAAAGGAAGTAGAACGCTGCAGTAAATGAAAAAGTGTGAACTAAAAACAATATCTATTTGGTACTGAAGGAGGGCCGGCTCTGATCAGGTTAGTAATTAAAGAAGGTAAACCTAGGAAACGGCACCTAATAGGAACTGCGGAAAACGTTATACTATGTAAGTCTTCCAGCCGGGAAAATGCACTGTTTTTACTCAAACTTGTTCTGTTACTAAGAGAAGATCAGACCTTCAGCTCCAGCCAACTACTCTAGAATGACTGTATATTAGAACTTTATCACCTTAGAGAAACTGAACACACGAGCATACTCACGTTGGAGATACATGCGACCAACATTGGGGTTAAACAGCCAGGCGATCGACCTTTAACCGGCACCAACTCTCAGTAACCTCACGCAACCAAAATAATCTCCCTTGCGAATTACAAATTGCGGCATTCACATTTAAACACACTTATTAAACTTGAGAGGAAAGCATACGACCAAATGTTGGTCAAAAAAGCTAAACTGACCAGTTGAACATATAACGATGTAAAAAGGCCGTTGGAGCGCTTTGCTTAGTTCACGTGGGGTACGTACCACCATTTTCGCAGTTCTGTCCGCACACGACCTTACTCACGAGACAAACAAACTTCCGACGGGTCAAGACTGAAAACAACAATACCGTGAGCCTATCCCACTACAAACCCAACAATTAAAATGATGTATGGCAAATGAGTAATAGTAGACAATGAAACAAAGGATGAAAAAGCGACTTTCCGCCAGTGTAGCAGAGTGGGAGGAAAGAGTAATGCCGCATCCAGATCTCGCGTTCAACTTATACCAATTCTGCAGCCCTAATATTTTTATATTTCTTACTGATGTGATGTGTCTACGGCGCCAATTTAGAGGTTAGCAAGACTAAGACTGACCACCAGGAGGCGGCCGAGGAGGTGCTAATCAAGCCGCCTTTCAGTCTTCGAAATAATTCACTTTTGTAGAAGCTTAAAACCGAGGTCCAAGACGCCCCTAGACATTACACTGAAAGGAGATTTGGTGCGGAAATTTTAACAGTCAGAGTAGTGGTGGATACACTAAACACCAAATTTATCTTAATGTATCCGCACGCATCCAAAGAAATGTAGGCTTGTTTCCAACGTTGCCACGAAAATCGATCAAACTCTCTGAGGCACTTGCACAACTAAGCTTTGGGTATTTATTGGTGGAAATCATACGTCCAGTACAAGAGATAGAAAAGAAGCTCGTCTTTCATAGGTTCAGGCGAAAGAAACTGGAGAGCGTAATACTGAGTAGTGCAGTCGTTTGTTGGCAGGGCTACTATTATTTTGCATCGCTTTGAAGAGCCTCAAAACATCTTTGTTAAAGAAAAATACAAATGATGGCTTTGTTTTGTTTTGTCTTGTTCATGAATGACTACAACCATCAGTCAGATGGCCCAAGTGATAGTAGATTGTAATAACTTGCGTCTTGCAGTTCAAATTGCTTAAAACTATTAAAAAGGTGCTCGTGGGTGATTTTTAGAGGAAAAATTCACTGTCTTCCCAAGCTAACAGTAATTTATTGAACGAGTGGTATGTATATTTAAGTTTTTTGTTGGCAAGGTTTGAACCCTAAAAGGTCCGAATTTCTCGTGATAAAGGCCCGTTTAATCCGATTGTTTGACGTGTAGTAGCGCAAAGTAATAGATTGAAGCTTCTCCCTTTTGATTTGTCATGTTAGGAAACAGAGACTTGCGAGGTGGACCAATTCTTGTTATTGACACATCAACATCTCGGCAGGATTGGGGAAATGTGGCTTATACGAGCATGGAATTAACAAGACTCTTCATGTACTTCCATACCATACCAAGGTAAGTCAGGCCAAAGTAACTAAACTAATTACATAACACTCAGTACTTTTCGTGCATTTATCCTAGATCACGAGGACCTTTCAGCAGATTCTCTTTAAAGAGAGATCAACTTCTAGTGTACCATGGTCCAACTTGACTTTTTTGCAAACTAGATTGATCTCCTTCTAACTTCATCATTTGCAGCCGCTACTTAGCCTGAAATTCATCCGATTGCTTCGAGTCCTTTTGTCCTCTCAACAACAGTAATAACGACTGGAAGTAATCGGATGAAATTCAGGCTCGCCGCTACTTGATTTGACCTCAAATTAGTACAAACAAAAAAACCTGTTGTCACGCAAGAATGGAATTTTGACAGTTTATCCGAGCAAGATATTCAACAATTTGTTAAATCTTCAAAAGATATCTTCACTCGGACCGGAACTATTGAAAATCGAATGTCGAACTAACTAGGTTACCTTTTTTGATAGTCGCCCAAGTGATATGTGTTTGTTTCGTTTTAAACACCACATTCTAAACTAAACATCATTTATCTTTTCCTATAAATATACTTATTCCCGTACAATTTTAGTCGTATAGTCAAATCGTGCCTTGCCAGCCATTCAGCCTGGGAGCAAACTAAGCAAAACCTGCGTCACCCATGCGGGAAGTATTGAAAGGGGTGTACCCCCCGTCCCCCCGGGGGACTCTCGTATAAAAGAGGCGCGTATGCTCGTCGGAAAATTAGAATTAAACTAAGAAGACTAACTGGGCGTGGCTTAGGCCGGCTTATTTTATCCAGCAGAAGACCTTTGTTTTTTTATTTCGGAAGTCCTTTACCTAAAACCCAAAGCGACACCTTTATAGGTCAAAATATTGCTTTTCCGTGCAGAATAACCTAAGTGAGAGCCTCCGGTGAAAATGTACCACGTGGGAGAATAAATTAATTTTCCCTTCTGTGAACCTTTTTTTGGGCTGCCTGGAGCTTATCTGCCACGATAAGAACTGATGATATTTAGCTATAACTTAAGGGTCAATAGATGCAATACCAAGAATAGTTCATTAGTGTCTACATTTCACTGGTACTGTAGAAACTTACAAAAGATATCGGAAATAACCTTACTATCTTACAGTGCTCGCAGTCTAGTCTTTTCACTTGAAACTAGAGATATCCGGTAAGATCTGTTCATGCGAGGTACTGGTGCTCCTGGTAGATGGTTTGCTAATATAAGTGTACGGATGTAGAATATTTGCCTCTTTCACACGAAATGAATGTCAAATACCTTACTCAGTAAAATGCTCAGGCGATCTGATTTCCAGTAAAAGATTTTATTGCCGTCTAAAAATGAATTCTGATGTTCTCTGTAATATCTTAAGCTGTGAATTCTCTTTCTTTGTTGCTTCCCTGTTATTTATCTATTTCATTGTAATTGTAGCTATTGTTGAAGAACTCTGATTTGTGTAAAATATCGTGTCGCAGTACATCATTTCCCCGCCTAGCGTCCATTCTTTATTGTAAGGACATATTTAGTAAAAAAGATTGTTGTTGTTCCTGCTGCCGGTTTCTATGTACAAAGAAATCTTATCTTATTGTATTGATAACTTGTATTGGTTTCCACGCCCATCTGTGGTATGGTTCGAGTTTTATTATCTACCGGCCCCTCCCTTCCTTACGCCACTGTCTGATCAGTGAAGTAGTAAAGCTTGGTGTTGGATCCATCTACAGCTAAACTAGCGATACAAGACGCTACACTGAAAAAATCAGTGTTGTCAGTAACTTGCTTCAACCTTTACGTCTCGACGCCATTACTTGAAATGAGTGCAGCATTTGGCCAGGTGGGTTATTGTGTTGGATAGACATAACGCTGAAAAGCACTCACAACATGTTTATACACCTGTAAACTAAACAATGATTAACATAAATAAGCTCACATGAGCGGCTTATGATGACACTTGGGATCTTTACTCACGACCGGTTGTTGAAATCCAAAGCTTGTCCGATCTTTAGCAGTGATTTTGCCACTTTAAGGCGGGAGGTATGGTGAGAAGTAAGACAAGTAACGTAGCCCAGTGTGAGGTATGAGATATTGGTCGGTATTATTCTTTCAGTGTAGGGCATATGAGAAATATCAGTCAGTCAAGGTCATGCATAAAATATTCACCAACTGTCTAAACTGCTTTATCTTTTCTTGATTATAATTCGCTAATTCGTTCGCTTTGTTGACATGCAATAATATGCCCACTCTGTTGTTTCCCTTAATTTTCTGGTGAAAAGTGCAGAAAAACAAATAATAATAACAGGTAGAAACTCAGAATTGTTTCCTTGCTTCCAAATCTAAAATTCTTGGAGGTGACGAGAGGGATAGTATCCCGGGTTCACTGCCGTCTGGTGTGTCAGCGGTGTCCTCCGGCACTTCACTGTTATCATGTTAGTTTCCCTTGTTTGATAACAGTGTTGACAACTTGAACAGACTCAATTTGTAGTTTATTTCCTTCCTTTCACGGTGTGAACTGCATCCTTATAATCTCCTAACTCTACAGTCAGCCTTGCTTTTTTTATGTTCGCTTTCAAAAAAATATTTTACAGACCAGAAGGTAGACAAGATCCATCAGGAGCCGATACCTTTGTTTTGTACGTTGGCCCTTACAAATGTCTTAAAAAAACCAAGATATTCCCATACATGTCGTAAACTGCCCGGAGCAAGAACACTTTTGGAAGCACGACTGGCATGGTAACATGATCACATCGTATACATTGTAGAAAGATTGATTTGTCTACAGTGACCACATGTCTGAGTTCAGACTGACCAAGTGAGTTGGTGGCACCTTGATTTGCTGGAAAACGTTAATTACCGGATGTTCCATTTATCCTAGCTTGTTTGCCTCCTCATTCTCACATCCAATCGAAATCAGTCCGCTCACCAATGTGATATCATTGTTATAAATTTTGGCTGATTTTTAGAATACCGTTTTCCACAAAGTCTTTGATGGCAGAGTCAGTAATCATACTAGCGTAATCGTTTTGAGGATCCTTCTGTGTTATGTCACTAGGCCATATCAGTGCTGAATCATGTGCAGTGAAGCTTGTCTAACATGGGCGTTTTTTGTCCAAGCCCCCCTCTCTCTCCAATGTATGTTTGCCATTGTCGGCCAATACGTAACGTTTCAAGCTTTGTGCTGTTTTTGTTCCTTGCATGAGTGCGTGTCGCATGCCCTGTAGCATGGTAAGAACATTCCATCAGACACAACTTGTATCCACGATGTATGTGAGTTTGTGACGAGTTTCCGTGTATATAGCAATCGTGTGTGGCTAGTCGCGGTGCTAAAATGCTGTTTTGAGAAGGCCGGAAATCTGAACTACTTTATCTGATATCTTTTTCTTGGTGCGCGCATTTGTTTAATATACGGTAAGAGAGATACAATGGTTGACGTGCCATTTGAAGGGCAAGTTTGAAAGGGTCGTGAAACCGGCCACAGTGAAATGTTGTTTATCTTACACCGTTTTCTCTCGCGCTTGCTTATCTTTTCGCTTGTCCTGAAAAACTGTTTGCATTTGCTTTTCTCAGTACTCCAGTAGTACTCCAATGAAATCATTTTTGATCAAGTCTTTAATAGATCAAGAAATAGAAGTAAAATAGAGGAAGCGCGCTTTTGTGGGGCTATTATAAAGCTTTTTGTCTTTGCAACGCGGTGAAAAAAACCTAATGGCAGATTTGCGTCTTTCCTGCTTCTATGTCCGCGACATCAACTCGATTTATATACTTTGTGTTACGTTTTGCTGCCAAATTGATGCATTGTGTCAAGTTAGAAACACTCTTGGTCCTCTCGCATTTCCCTTACAACATGATTTCCAACGCTGAACGCTCTCTTCCGTGTAATAACAGTTAAAAATGTAGTAACTCGAATGTTGATTTATTGTTCATGTTTTTGTAAAAAGGTAAGATCTGTAACTTTCCCACGATGATGTCAGTATTTATCACAGAATGTACTTGTTTGTTTATTGACAGTGTGGCTCCTTTCGCCGGAAATTTGAAAAGCACCATAAAACATGTGATAAAGTGCTGTCAGTGAGGTATCAAATGTCGTGCACGAATTTTAACGGCTGTTTCATGAATGTTATCTTACTTTTCTGTTATTCAGGAGTGACTGCCGTAAACTTGGATTTTCTGTCATCATCGACGCTAGAAAATCGACTACGAAACGAAAATACCTTGAAGAAATAGTGGAGGCTATGGTCTGCTTTCAGGTTTGAGATACGTTTTGAAATATTTTGGGCCGTGAGTATATTGAGTGTACTGCTGTACTGTAGGTACATTAGTTCAGTTTTCTTGTACACTTAGTATCTAACTGAATAATGGAAATACTGTAGTTGTTTTCTCTTTCTTGACTTGTTTTTTAGCTATTCATGTTAGACTATTGAACTTAATAAATGAGAACAATTTAAAATTAACTTGTACTTTTCATGCAAGGTATGAATTGTCAAGCATTCCCCTGTATTTTTAGAAAATTGCGGACGCAATTATGTTATAAAGTTGCTTATGTTCAGTTTATGATTCAGAGCGTGAAATTTGTACCTCTTTTTCTTCTTTTGGGCTTTCTAAATTTGTCACTTGTTCGCCAGAAATAGCGCGTTTTGAAAGTATACAAAGCACAATTTACTATATTGCATATAAATGCGTATTCCACTACTTTTGTACAAGAAGTTCATGATAGCCCAGCATTGTAAATGCGCTTTTCAATAGATCTCGCCCGCATGCAAAGTTCTTCATTAACAAATAACAGCTTTTCTTTCTATAGTTCCTTTTGTTGGCGGCATTTTTGTTTATAGTTGAGAAATAGCGTGACATAGGCGCAAATCAGGCAAGTTTTAATGAAGCACGGCATTGTAAAGAGAAGTCCTTGACCCTGTTCTGCCATCCACTTGCTTCAGCTTACAAAGCAATTTATTTATCGGGAAGCAAAATTTGAGGAAAACCATATCGATGCTGAAGTAACTTTGCCGTTTCACCCATCGCCGCATGCTGTTCCCTCTCGGTTCCAAATATAAATATACATAACGATGCGTGACCTCATTTGCTTTTCAATTGAACAGAAATAAATCCTGCTGCCGAAGTAAGTGAAGACCCCCGGAGTTGTTCTTTTATTATTTATTAGTTGGTTAAATACGGTAGTTAGTTAATAACCTCATATATATATAACCTTTTTCTAAGAATTTTATATTTATGTAGAAAAGGGTATTTCGGGTGTTTGAAAAACATAGACTTTTAAAATTATAATACAAACTTGTAGCCCAGAGAACACAATGTACAACTTCATGATTAGGCAATTATCACGGGTTTTCTTCCTGCGAGCCCGCGCGCGAGCCAGCTTACGGGACGGGTACGTGCCCCCTTTTGCTTTCAGATGCTGAAGGTGTGGAAGTGATAATGAAATGCTAATGCCTCTGTAAATTTTAATTTACACCGATATTTTTTATCTGTAGTTCTTATTGCAATTATTTGGATTGTAAATATTGTTTCATCCCATATTTAAAACAGATTTCACGTTTGTTTTTTATTAGGAGAGTACTCCAGGAGCTGTTCACGTGGTGTACATCCTAACAAAGAAGGATTCTCCTCTTATGTTATTTAGTGGATCAAAGGTCAAGGAACAACTCAATTTTGAGGTAATGATACATCAACTATCCTTGTGATAAATGCTACTGACTTATTGTAGACTGTGACTAGAGCGAGTAAAATATGCAAACTCGTGCGCATGTCACCTTCATCGAGGGTGGTAATTTTCACGCGCGCTCGCGTCTTTTGCCCCCTGTTTAGGGAAATGATGTACTTCACGTAGAGCAGGCTTATGGTTAATCAGCTTATGAGGCTGATAATCCCGTGAAAGTCCCGCCGTGGCTTTTTCGGTCCAGAGACTTCAAGTAGCTATTTTATGTGTTCATTGAAAACTTAAATCTTTTGAGATATGTGGACATGAAGCCGGGGGGAAGGGGGGGCGGGGGTACTCATTTTATGTATGTATGCATCCGGGGAGGCTCCGCCCCGAGTTCCAACCCCTTACCCCTTTCTCATACCTAATTTAGAACTTTGGATCCCAATAACTGCTGTAAATGCACCAGACTACAAAACATTCGTTTTTTTCTCAAAATCAGTTTAGTGTAGCGTAAGAGTAGCGTAAGAGCCTCACACGCCCGTATTTCCCCAGTCTCGCTCCAGACCTTTTGTTTGCAGTGACTGTTCGCATGTACTTGAGTATGCAAAAATGCGAACTGTTTTGTAGACTATAAAATATGAATTAATCAATTAATCCTTTTTGCGATATGATACATGAAGACTGCATGTACTTTATATGGCAAACTGTGTTCTGTAGCGTTCTCTCTCCTACAATGTACGTAAAAATACACAATAGTTTGCAGTTCTTCTTTTTTTCTTGAGTAGATAGTTCGTCTTTTTCGGTTACCTGCTTCATTATTAAAAATGAGGTAACGTTTGAAAAGAATGCTGCAATATCATGGTTTAGTTTCCCTGGTCTCCCGGCAGAGATTTTCTATCTTCTGTTGCCCATTGTCGAGGCTTTGCAGCTCAAGCTCATTTCAAGAAAAAGAAGAAAGAATACCCCACGAAGCGGGGTGCATTGTTAACCGTTCAGTTTGTTTGTTTTTTGTTGTTATGATGGCCAGCTGCTTTAGTAAAATTTCATATGCTGTATACTGCTAGCGTGACCTAGCAGGTTAACACATTTTAATGGTCCATACTTTTTCCACTGAAACGCTTAAGAAAATTAAATGCTAATCAGTCTTATTCATCATATCATTTCCAGCACACCTGCCGTTAGGTCAAGTGTTTTCATTAACTCTGAAACAAAGGAGACAATATCTTTCAATTTAGGGTCACTTAACTGAAGGGCCATACTATATTATTGTTTGCTAAGTGCAGTTTAAGGATGTTTTGCAGACCATATTCTTAATATCACTTCATTTCTCGTGCTTAATGCCTGTACAATGCTATTTAAACTATGCACTCGTGTCCAGGCCTAAAAACCTGTCCAATGTTATTAGTTCTACTTGTCTATGATTTTCGCGCCCTCATACGCCATACGCCATACGCCACTTGCACATCCCCCATAATGCACCTTATTTCCCCCACCCCAAATTTTGCATAACCTTTGTTTGTTCATTTCTCCTGGGTTTTACAGCCGCCGTCCCAACAGAAATTGAAAACAAAGGTTGTGCAAAATTTTAGGGGGTAAAAAAGTGCATTATGGGAGATGTGCAAGTGGCGTATGAACCATTTCAAATAAATAAAACTTTTTAGTTGTGGGTAATTGCGTTCTGGTGCAGTGAATTATCTTCTAGTCGGGCTTATTTAGGTGAAGGTGGTGCTTCTGAACTGTTATCTTCGTTTGTTGTGTACAGGAGTTTGAGATTTGTAAAACCAGCCCAAAATGAGTTATTTTTTTTATTCATTTTACAACAATTATTTCATAGCAGTTGGTCTCTGACCTTTGCTATGCTCAGTCGCGGGTAATAAAAGTCTCTTACTGCGACAGCAGAAACAATTCGTTCTAAATTAAGGCTGGAAACTTGCACCATTCTTGGAGTCTTTGTACTTCACGCGCGTTTCAATCGTGCACCGCGCGAGTTGTGTTTAAATGTTGAACACTCCAAATCTTTTGTTCACTTTGACTGCGGCAACAAACTTTTTCCGGCTTAGTCCGCAATAGCTATATTATCACCTAACGTGAACTGTATTCACAATAGCAGTATTGCCTTTCAGTTCAAATTGCTTACTACTGTGGACCAACTCAAGTCGTTCGTGGACAGTTCACAGCTAACACCTGAGTTTGGAGGTGTATTTCATTATGATCACGACGAGTGGATCAGATTTAGAATAGTAAGTTATTATCTCTTATTACCTCTCCCCATGAGCACCTTACTTGATTTTCAGATACCGTCACATTTTAGGCTTGGTTATACTCTATATGGTAGTTCATCCTCCTGTCAACTTGGTTACGAAGCATAAAATCCCAGCCTTTATCAGTACCTTTTGTTATTAAATTTCGAATCCAGGGCTGATCAATAAAATAATCATTCTTTTAAAATTTGCTCTCTTGAACAACACGTTTGCTACATTTGACAGATACCTTAACCATATAGCCGGCCTGAATCCAATATTACGGCAAGATACACACTGTCCGCAGTCTTTAATCGGTGGGCAAAATAATACCGTTCTTGAAAAATGGGAAGACAGTTGACCCATTTAGAAATACGTGACTGTAAATTTACAGAATTTAGTGAAGACGTTTTTGAACTAATCAACTAATCGACTGCGTGTCTGTGATTTATTCGCTTTTTGTTGCTTTCGTGTCGATGTCAGACGTGAGTCATTATCGCATTTGATTTTTTGAGAGCAGAAGGTTGTATTGAAACTTCTTGAAAATGTGGATTTGTCTCTTTCAATTGCTATCAATGCATACTACTTTTTTAAATACCATTTACTTCTCAAGAACATTAGCTAAAACCGGAAAGGGTAGAGTTAATAACATAATTGTCACCCATTGATTTGCTGTAATTAATTTTTCTTTTGAAATCGTTCGTGCTTAATGGGGGTAATTAATAGTTCCCTGGATCATATTAAAACTACTTCGTGTTGTGAATATTTTTGCAAATACAATATTTAATGCGGGAGTTGCAAGTCGTGTATGCTAATAATGTTCCAGAACTGCCGTTTTTCTATTAATATCTTTTGTATATTGGTCCGCTTGTGCGTCATTGAGATTACTTTGTTGATTCTTGTGTTATCTCAAGCGTATATGTTTGTCTGTACCTACAGTGTTCTTCAAAGACATGAAAAAAAGGTTGAAAAAGCAGCACAGGTTGTTTATATTGAATTGACGTCATTTGGTTTCCTTTGTTCGTTCTTGGACATCGCTAAATTGATCGCTTTTAGCTGTAAAAAGCATCTAATAAAGTTATGCGGTACACAATCTTTCCCCTCTTCTTACATTACCCCCTCCCTCTCCGTTACCACCGTTGTACTTTGTCCCACGGCCGAATATTCAGTTTGTTTACACCATTGCTTCTGCGTTTTTGCACATTTAGTTATAAAGGCTGCAATATAACTAAATAACTCCTAAACAAAAGGGAAAGGCGACAAATTGTCTTCCTTCAGTTCCAGGCTTGATTACTGCTCTTCAATTCTTCTAGCTATTCTTTCCCGCGGGTGATTTTAGAAGATGATGTTAGATTAAGCAAAAAACTCGGTTCATGCTCCCGCTTTCTTTGAAATCGGTTTTCCGTTGCGGTCATGTTTATGAATTTTGAAAAACTAATCCTTGTTAAGACTCCAACAAGATGTAATTTATATAAAGAGAAACAATGGCTTTCAAAGAAACAACCGCTTGGTACTGTTCTTTAATTTTTTATTTAACCAATTCGTGCATTTAATTTGGACCAATTGTACATCTAGCGCTCTTTTGAAAATATTTCATAAAAAGCAGTCCTCTAATGGACTTTTGTACTATGTGCGGTAGCGTTTTTTTCAATTAAAGGTCGACCGCTACTTAATTGAAGGCTAATTAAGGAAGAGTATCTCTATTTTTAAGAAAATATTCCTTTGTTCCCATGAGTTGAGTGTTATAGAAGAAACCGCAGCTTTGATTTTCGGCTCTCGTATAGGAGCCGATTTCCGTTTATCCATCGCAAAAGTATTAAATACTGTGTAACTGACAACTCGTATGTATCAACATCACTTCCGTAAAACCGGCTTTTTAGCTTGTGCTATACTAAGCGTAGCGCAGGCGGTTTGATCCGGCGTTTCTCTCCCGGATGGAGTCAAGTGGTTGCCCAGTTATTAACGCCGTCCACGCGCGCGCGCACGCAAGGGGAGGTACTCAGTTCACAATTATTGAGCTATTAATGCTTTTAATTGTTGCTGTTATGTTTCAGAAACTAGAGCCGTTCATGACTGGATGTAGAAGTGCAGCCAAACTTGCCATGGGAGTGATGCAGCAGTTCACAAGCAAAAAAATCGGGGATAGCATTCAGGAATGTAAAAATCTACTCGAGGAACATCATCAAAAAATCAAGGATGTATTTGAGGACAGTAGATTATCAGCGCTCCAAGTTGAAGGAGAGCAAATACTGATTAGATTACAAGAAGATCAAAGTGTGTTACCTTCTGTGCCTGACTATATAGAGACAGTCAATTGTGTGACAAAACTGTATCATCAAATGAATGAAGTGTTTTGTAAGCTGGAGATGCTAATGGAAAACAGAACCAGGAAATTAGAACAGTGTCTGGCGTTGAAAGAGTTCGAAAGAGATATTGACGAGGTAAAGCAAAGAAAGCCAAAGTTATGTGAAGTATGCTGTCGTTTAATAATATATCGCTATATTTTTGCTACTTTGTTTCCGACCGTTATGAGCCAATCAGTTAACAGTACGAACATTAAGAGTACCCGACTATAGTGACTGTCCTTCCGAGGGTAGCGAAGTTTTGATCTAATTTAGTATCGCTATGAGTAGTATCATGTATTGCTTTTCGCTTCTAGCGGAAATCAAGGCTCAATAACTACTAGGCTGCGGAATTTGGCTTTCCCGTTGAAAATAGAAGGTTATATATAAACAGCGGTAGCAGTAATTTATAACGGTTATGAATCAAGTCATGTTCTCGTATGATTCTCCTTTCGGTTCGGTTTAGTTGGTTTAATTGGTTTCCCCGTGGTCGTTTTAGTAGAAGGCAGATTGTGACTGCAAATTGTTTTGCGTCGGGGCAATGAACAGTTAAAAACTAAATTACTGTTGTTTGAAAGCGAGTGCTTCCACAAGGCTCGTTTATAGTTTGTTTTTGTGGAACTTATTTTAGCTGTAGACTAGTCAACAGAAAGCTGTCTTATTGTTAAGTTGTTTCGACAGTAAGAAAGACCAAAAACTGAAACTTATTTGTAAATGCCAGTTTTCATTTATAGTGAAAAAAAAAAACCTTATCTACGGCTGCGTTTTGACAAACTTTGAACGATCTCAATAAAATTAGTTTAGCTTTCAGCATTATTAACACTGTCAAGAACATAGAAAGATGTCTTTAAACGAAATGAGTTCTCAATGTTCGTTCAAATGAATCAAATGAATGTTGAAGCAACGTTTCTGTTGTGTACTAGCTATCAAAGTTTATTCAGCTGCCTAAGATCAGTTTTGATTTATAGGTGATGAACTGGATGTCCACAAAAGGGGAACAGTTTTTAGACAAACACACCGGGATAGGAGACTCCATTGGACACGTTAAAACACTACAAGAGGACTTCGGAAATTTTGAAAATAAGGCCAAGGTATTTATTAACAACGTTTGTGACATGTTCTGTATATTTACATTAAAGGAAGTTTTCATGTGCACACATGTACGCTCGTATACAACATTTTGCATTTGGCTTTCAGAATTTCCGTTTTACTTTCTTACTCACTAAGTTATAAAACCACTGCGATGAAGTTATTCCAGTTTTTATGGAAACTGCCATAACAAAAAAATTTGTTTTTATTAAAAAAGACAATGTCCCTAGTACTAAGCGTCACTGTTGTAAGCATAATACACTTCTGATCCTTCAGTGTATTTTGATTTGTTGCTTAATTGTCGGTTTTTAAATTTTGTTAGTGCTACTGTGACCGAGTAGAAAATCTTCTTGAGGAGGGAAGCAGTATGTCTCAAGGAGGCCACTACGAAGGAATTGGAATCAAAGAAAGGAAAAGAACCTTGGGGGAGATGTACAAGAGATTTTGTAGAAAGCTGGAACACAGAAGGCAGCAGCTAAATTCCTGTATGGAATTTTATCAACTTGCCGAGCAGGTAATCTAATCATTGAGTTGTTTAAATATGCAGCTCGGTCTTGAAACTTTCACGGCTAAGCTAAGCATATAAACTGAACGAGACTTGCTGTGTGGTTCAACATTCGGATTTAGAATGTTTATATCCCTTAATGTGTTCGTTCCCCGTTACATTTATTATTTTTCATGATTGTTGCCGGGTTCCCCGCTTCCCCTGTTCGAATCCATGATCACGTGGCAGTTGAGCTTGTTTGCTGAGACTGATCAGTGCGTTATTTTATGTTGTATCGCAGGCGTCAGAATGGTCCATGGCCACACTCAAACAAATGGCAATGATGAACATGGAGGAGATTCTTCATTTGGAAGGTGTGACTGCACTGACTCGCGGCTTAGAAAAGTATCTTCAAGAGACACCAGTTTGGACTGAGAGTAGACTCAACAGAATATCAGAGCTTGCTACAAATCTGGGCAGCGCTAAGCTTGTCAAGGAAGCTGAAAGTATACTCACACGCTACAATGAGATATTAGACATGTTACACAAGAGACAAGAAACACTTAACAGAGCTCAGGAAAGACTTTCGGTTAGTACCATTGTGACCGACAGAACTAAGATATGTCATATATTTAATAGACGTCTTGTCGTTATCGCGAGCTTTATGATGCTGGTTTTCTGTTACTGCACCCCTGCGTGTGCACGTTACCGAGCTCGTGGTACGGTGTAATCCCCTTTTCACGAAGGAGTTAAAATTTATGATTATTACAATTTAACTTTTGATATTTTTCAAATCACGAAAGTCGTGTATCCTGCAGATTCTGCGGCCTTCAATTTTCATGCTGGCAATTCTTAACCGAATAGTCCAACCTGACATTTGTGCTGGAGCCGCGCGTTTGCTTTACTGGACGAGCATTTATCTGAGTGTTGCACATTAATGTCTTTCTCCTAACTCTGTGTCATTTTAGGGCCATCCCTCAAGTGAAGCTAGTAGTACTGCCACTGGTGGTAGTGACGAGTCCACCTCGTCCAGTCCTGGCCAAGAGGAGGATGAGGACGAAGACGATGGGGACTTGTTAGTTGAAAGCGAAGACGAAATTGAGACCCAACCCATCACGCAGGTGGATGCTCCTGTTCGACGTAAAAGCTCCATTCCAGTCACCCCACCCCCATTGTATTCATGGAAGGAAGTACGTATCCCTTCAAAGCCAACGATCTTTTCCATCATCAAAAGATGCAAACTTCCATCTCTGACTTTTTAAGACTAACTGAATTCAAAACGGTTTGTTTCTCTTTCAGACTGAAATGCCAGTAATCGAGGAAGTTCCTGTTCTGAACCCGCGAGTAGAAGAGTAAGTCGTACATCTTACGTTTGAGTTTTACCTCCAGTTTCGTTTCTGTGCTTCTCCTTTTTCTGTTGCTGTTGTTATTTCTATCGTGTATTTTTCCCAGCAAAGCCACCTTTCTATAATAATACTGAATTACAAATAACGTAGTACCCGCCACCCAAAGGTGCTGCCAAAGATTTATTGGATTGTTTTATATTGTACTCGGCAATTTTTTGTTCTACCCTTTCAGAAGTTGTAAAGATATTTATACATGCCCCCAAAATTAAGTCAATCCCTTCTTGTGTTTCATCTTAGAAAACTGATGTACATCTTTCAAGAGATGATTGATACGGAAAGAGATTACGTGAAGTCATTGCAGTATATAATGGATGTAAGTCAACCCCGCTTTCTTAGAATTCAGTTTTTTATCAGTATTTGGGTGTTTGTTGAGCTTTAACCTGTTATCTCGGGTTTTTTTTGTGCTCCGTAGAATTATTTGGTGGAAATGGACAATCCTGTGTTACTGCCATCATTAAAAGGGAAAAAGAATATTCTGTTTGGGAACATAGAAAGAATTCACGACTTTCACAAACGGTAAGGGTCTAAACATTGCAGCCGGTGATGAGGAAGATTTCTTTGTGGGGTGTTAGTGTCTAAATCGTTTTCAGATCAAGACCGCGCAAAATTCTGACGCATTAGGTTGGTGTATACCCATACTGCTAATATATGGGATCGTTAATCCTTCGCGGGGGGTGGGGTGGCGGCAGATCTTAGTACGGGTAAATCTTTCCACTCGTCAGATGCAGGTTGTAGTGTTTCAGTCTAATTCTCTTATGTGTCACGTTGACTCTTGATCTGTTTAAAGCGCGACACAGATCCTCCCACACGAAACGTTTAAAATCAAAATCAAATACCACCACTACTTGTCTTTTTAGGTATTTCCTTCAAGAACTGGAAGCATGTAAGGGCAGATTCCTTGATATAGGAAGCTGTTTTTTGAAATGGGTAAGTACGGAAAACATCGACATCTAAGACCTTGGGACTAGCAACCTTTTTAGCAAAACAAGTCTGTCGCAAAAGCGATGGTTTTCCTTAGCAATAATCGCTTTTAGTGACCAAATTAGAAGAAGGCAACTTAATTGATCTAGCCAGCACAGTAATATATTCTCAGTACCAGGAACACCCGAGCACAAAGCCAAATGAGCCTAAATGCATAAGATATGGGAGAATCGGCCCGCAGATTTGTGAGTCGGTGGACAAGGAGAGAATACTAGGTATGCCTCATCGCTGCGGGGAGGAGGGTGGGGCGAGAGCTGCTATCAAGGGTGCCAAGACCTACGCTTTACTAGAACTAGCAGAATAATCAAGCTGCAGGCTGCTCTGGAAACTTATGGACAAGGTCTGTGGGTATGCCATGTATTCCCCTGGGCCACGCTGAGAATTTTAGGAAGTACATTGATGCTAACTTAGGCATTTGTGCGTGTTTTCCTTAGTGGAAATAGCGAACAAATCGACTACGAACGGATCACTAACTACTGAGGATCAAGGATTTTTTTTACCTTTAAAAGTAGTTGTTCTGTTTGAGATGACCGCTCCCTTAAACTTTTTAAATCCATGAAATTCCCGCTTCTGAAAGAAAGCTCAGTAAGGTCCGTCAAGGCTACGTTAGCTATTTCCATGTTTGCAATACTTGGCTGAAAAGTTTCTTTCCCAATTTTTTGTTGTTGCTGCTTGTTGCCGGTATTGAAGTGCTTTTTGTACTTGGTTCCAGGAGCGACAGTTCTACCTGTATGCATTGTATAACAAGAACAAACCGCGTTCGGACCAACTGCTATCCGATCATGGAAATGTTTACTTCCGGGTAAGCACAATGTTTTGGGTTGTTTTTTTTCCTGTTTGTGTAACTTCTTAATTTGTTTAGTACCATAGCCTTTCCTCAAAAATCTCCTCCATCAATTAAACGAGCAGTGTCACAATAAGAAAGTATTGTAATAGAGGGTTGCTTCAAGCTCAGCTGTACTTCTAATCTTACTTAAAATCAATCACATTTATGGTCCCTAATTAAACTTTCTGTAACAACCAAAGTTATCTCAGGGGTAGGGGGGGGGGGGGGGTTTGACCTGTCGACACATCATGTGGAATGTGTAAGCTGGCGTTGTGCGTGTTTCTTTTGGCCTTTTTTTCTTGGGGTTGCTGACTGGCCAGCGGTTTCTCCTTAATAATATATCCACTATGACGGTTATAGTTTTTCTTACTTTCTTCTCTGTTTTTTTATTTTACATTAAAACATATCTTTTTTGTGTCCTAATATTAATCTTTTTTAAAAAACCAAGTTTTTCGGGGGGGGGGGGGGGGGGGGGGGTTGTAGCCTTGCCAACACTCTAGGAGATTTGTGTATCCATTATGTTGCTTTGTTTTTTTGCATGTGTTTTTAGTGATGGGAATGAAGGTCCGCGTTTTCACTTGGAAGTAATTACAAGTCTCTACTAAATATTGTTACACTGATTTTTCAGGCTCGTCAGAAAGAACTTGGTGACAAACTTGACCTGGGAAGTTTCCTTATTAAACCAGTACAAAGGATGGGAAAATACAGTCTTCTGCTCCGGGTGAGTATATAGCTAGCTTTTTCAAAAAGATAGATATGGACATGTATTGAATAACTTTTGGTAATTGATTTAAATTCCAGGATATGATCAAGGCTCTGGACGTTGGACATCCGAAAATCGCCGAACTGAAGGTAAAAAGAACCACACAGTACTTTTTAGTCTCGTCGGAACTGAAGCTTTAAATGGCCGGCGTTTCGTAGATACAGCGCTTACCACAGTAGTTGTGTTCACCCATTTGGAGTAAGGTCTATTGTTAGTTTTCCCTTTTGATTAAAATCCAGAAACACTCCAACTTGCTTTGGTGGGTCCAGTTATGGACAAAAGAGTGGAGTTAGTAACTTGTAGGCTCGGATAACCATATATTTGCTTTTTATATGGCAAGCTTCTGATTTTGTCCTACTTTGTTAAGTATATTTAGTAGAACTGAACTAACAGCATTGCTTTGTAATTATTGTTTTATTGGCAGGCAGCAGAGGAAATGGTGAAATATCAACTGAGACACGGCAATGACCTGTTAGCTATGGACTCTCTCAGAGGATGCGATGTAAGTTGTTACAGAACCACGGACTATCGACACTCATAGCCGCGCATTTGTTACGACGAATCCTGCAATAGATTAGTCCTATTTCTTTTCGCGAAAGGTTTGAACCAAGGAATCATTTCTTAAATAGGCTAAGTATGATGTCCGTGTGAACGTAGTCCTGAATAGGACTGTTGTTGACAGTTACTGACGTTTCGACAACTTGTGCGGTAGTCATCTTCAGAGTCAAAGTGAGTTGTATCACGTCAGCTGAGGGTATTGAACTCTGGTTATTGACCTGATTGGTCAATTAAGTCTCGATGTTATTGGTCGTCTTTAGGCAGTTTCAGCTGTTAAGCCACACTTAAGGTCGGTTATTTAAACGAAGTCTAACTTAGACTTAGACTTAGGCTACTGAGTAGCCCCTCAGTAGCATCTTTTAAAAAGACACTCAAAAGACATTTTTGTTTCAGAAAGCTGTTTTGTAATTTTATGTGCTTTTTAATCTCGTTTTTAGTAGGTTTTATGCAGTTTTTTACGATTTAAGTAGTCTAGGTAATTTTTATAATTTTAGTGTTGACACAATTGTTTGAACTCTTTTTGGTAGGTTCATGCACTTTGTATACTTTCTGCAGTCATTTTTTTGAAATATTTATTTTTAAGTGCTGATGAAAATAGCAATAATAATATCGGCGCTATATAAGATTTATTATTATTATTATTATTATTATTATTATTATTATTATTAGACCGCGGTTTAGGAAATCTTTAGATTTCTAGTTCTCGTCCATAGTGGGTTATTTTAAGAACATTCTTTTTTAGTCTACGCCATATGCTTTCATGAAACTGTTCACGATAATTGATGTTTGTATAAAAAGGGTTCGGCAACTCTAAATTGTTTAGAACGTGGTTTTGTTAATCACTGGCTAAATAACTGGCCCTTATAGTTTTGTAAGCTGTACTGAATTCTGGTATTTCCCGATATCACGTTTTTAGAAGATATCAAGCCTGACCAGCGCTTATTTGACATTTGTAGATGAACGTGAAGGATCAGGGTCGTTTGTTACGCCAGAATAATTTCACCGTGTGGAATGGCAAAAAGAAACGGCAGCGGCGAGTATTCTTGTTGGATGACTTGGTTATCTTCAGTAAAGTCAGAAAACAAGCTGGAGGAGTGGACCTATTTTATTACAAGAACTCGCTCAAGGTTGGTTAATTGAGCGGAAAACAGGGTTTGGTTTGTACTAATGTGATAGGGAGCTCATTCGGCTGAAGGTGAAACACAACTGAATATTGTTATCATAGTGGGAACAATAAAATGTTTTTCTTGCTGGCTTAGCTTGCAAAAGAGGCAAAAAATGAAGTTTTCCTGCACTGAATGGAACCTGCGCTCGAGTGACATGTTAGTGTATTAGTTTTCATGCTCATCACGTGATTCAGTTTTTATTTCTTGCCGTACAGTGCAACAGCTTTTTCCCACCCTTTCGCCTTTTGCCAATTCCAAAAAGAAATGTGTGTTAGTTTGACAGTAGTGTGTTAGGTTCAGGAAGGGTTTTGTCTTTTTTCCTTTATCCATTGTAAATTTTTTTTAGCGCTAGTGATTAAAGTGCTGTTGCATTGTCCTGTGGCACTGAGACAAATGCCATTCACTGTGTGAGAAATGTGGATTGTTGGTTGCCTGCGTACCTGGCGGCATTTTTCGCGCGTCATCGTTTCATTCCACGAGTGTTTTGTTGTCTTTAGTTTGTAAAGACCGCAGAAGAATGAGGATGAGTCAAGTGGAGGTGGGATTCAGTTCCACCCCTCCGCCCCATGTGGTAGCCCCCACGCCTGAAAAACTCCGCATTCTAATTCTGCTAGCTACGCAGGCCAGGTTGCACGTGGTTTTTAAATGAAAGAAATGAGAAATGTTATGTTTTTGTTTTTTTTCATTGATTTTGTTTGATACTGGTTTTGTCCAGGGAGATGATAAAGTAACTTTTCTACATATTTTTCATTGAGAAAGAATTGATACTGATTGTTAGCCGTCTTTGACCTTCAAAAAGTATTTTATCAAGCATTTTGAAGCATACTGATTTTTGTTGCTTATCTCTTTTTATCTGTCATTTCTTTTATTCAGACTACCGATTTAGGTCTCACGGAAAATGTTGGTGACAGCGGGCTCAAGTTCGAATTGTGGTTCAGAAGAAGGAAGCCTGAAGATACTTTTATTCTACAGGTCAGCGGATTAGCTCTTCAAAATAGATTGATTGTTAACCTTTTCATTGACGTGGGGGAAAGGTGAAAGACGGTCGTTCATGCTTTTCGCTCATTTCAGGAAACAGAGAACTTTGTTCTTAATGGCAGCATTTGATGAATAAAGAAGTAGGTTGAATTAGCAACGTACCCGGGGGTAGTGGCTGGGGGGGTTGGGGTTGGGAGGGAGGTGGGGTGGGGTGGGTTGCGGATACCACTTAGTACAGTGTGCATTATAGCAAGGAACTCAGTACAGTCCCCCATAACCCTCGGTTTTTTTTCGTGATTCTGCAGGCGCAGACGCTGGAAGTAAAGACCGCTTGGGTGACGGAAATTACGCGATTGCTATGGAAACAAGCCATGCGCAGTAAAGGTACGTGTTTTCTAACGAAACCACCACTGCGTAAGTTCTGAAAGTACTTTTTATTTGAAGGAGAAATCAGTTGTTAAGACGCCCTGAAAGTGAGCATTAATTTGTTACTTGCTTCCTTGATTAACAGAGTATGGTTTAACAGAGGCGTCAACTGGAATCAGTGTGGGAAGCCAGCCGCCGTTGGTGATCCCGAGCACTCAGCCAGGAGATACCTCACCGTTCCAAACACCTCCTTTTCAAGCATTATCCAACTTAACCCATAGTCATCTCATAAGGAGGTTCTCCACTCCGTCAGCTGGTTCCAGTCCTCGCTCAACAAGGAAACGTTTATCACTTGCCAGCAATGAAACAACTTCCAGTGTTGAATCATCCAGCAGCAGTGGTGTTCACGATTTAAACCTGGCTACAACAGAGGAGGAGGCTTCCATTCGAAGCTGTATTTCAACACCACTTGAAGAAAAACTCTCTAACGCTGTCAAACGAAACAGGCAGCGGAAATTGTCTCGTGAAATATCGCCAAAGACACATTCAAATATTATAGAAAGACTAGGTGAGCAAGCTGACCATTATACTGACAGACCAGGGAGTCTAAACGTTGAAGAAACGCTAGCTTTAAAAGTTGGTAAAGATATTCTTGAAGAGGACAGGAAAAGAAATAGAACAGCTCCGTCTCTCGCTGAACGAGAAAGATCTAAAAGTACGGAGGAAACTACAAGTGAATCACCAGTTTTACGAAGAAACACCAAGGAAAAGGACATAAATAATACGGTACCTCGTAGGCGCTCTTTCATCGAGAGGATTTCTATTAAATCACATTTTGACATTGTCTCAAAACGACGAAACTCGCTGGACATGTCATTTGCCAAAAATGGAAGAAGTGGTGAAGTTGGCGAGAGTCAACCAAGGAAACGAAGTGGACAATCTACAGAGGTACAGAGAACTTAGACTAATAATTTGTTTTCTTTACACATGTGCGGAAGCTTGGTTAATTGATCAAAGTGATTTTCACGATTGCTCTGGTTTTGCAATGTTACACCGCGTGATGGCTTATTAAAAATATCTAGCGTCACTCACTTTGCTTCGTTTGTACTCAAATAACAACAACATCCGCCAGGTATCACTATGTAGTGGATAAATGTTCGCTAAACTTGAAGAGGAGTAAAACCACGCGATCGCCGGCTGTATGCATTAGGATTCTGATTGGTTCTTAAGATGATTGGCTAGAGTAATTGCTTGAGTTTTGGTCAATACGGTGCTGATGATGGTAATAATGAAGTTAATGATGGTAATAATGATGGTATTAATGATGGTGTTAATGATGACAATAACAAAGTTAATAATGATGATAGAGATGATAATTATGGCAGTAATTATAGCGCTGATGATGATGGGTAATAACAACGGTGATGAAGGCTATATGCAAATTTTGACTGAATGTGCAAAACATGGAATAAAAACATTAAAACATGTACACCTTGACCAACTCTGAGGGTAATGCTTATTGGAAGATTATCAATAGTCTTGTCAGGAAAAATAGAATAATTTTCATCACCCAAGTGTTTTTTTTCCTTTCGTAGGTATGACGGGTTTGTTATTCCTGTCGGCTCCTTGTGAGTCACGAACACGAACAGGTTTGATCTAGCTAAACTGGTTTAAAACTGGTGTGAAACAAGTCTGGCTGAAATCAAGAGAGTTTTCGCAGATTATTGAACGATGGCTGTGATCCATCTAGACAGGCTCCTTGTACGATGCCAAATGCTTCATGGTGAAGTTTAATTGCTATTTGCAAATGAGGCTAATGAGTGTATAAAACAAAATTTAGAAATATTGAGTATCAAGAGGTTACCGTTTTGAGATTATCGTAATTTAAAATTATTGAGATGATGAATTGTTAATGTTTTATTACAATGCTGTATAATGTGAATATGAAAATATATAAGTGCCACTTTATACTGAGTCGCACATTGTATCTTATAAGAATATTGTCTATAGTATAGTGGTGAAATTTGATATTTTGTCATTGAACATTTTTCCGGTTCAAATACGCTTATTACTGAGTTATATTATAGAGATATATCAAAATAATGACATTAATTTCTTGAGGGAGGCTAGATTTAGAAATGTAGAGTTCGTCTTGCTGAAGATCATTGTCGGCGTTGGGGTCAGCACCATTCCAAACCGTTTTTTGTCTTTTTTTCACAAAAATCTTTTTTCACGTTCTGTTTTTACCTTCAAGGTGTCAACCTGCGCTAACGTAGGTGGTCTTCAGAATATAGGCTTTATAAAGCAATATTCGATTGGTTGATTAACTTACAGGGAGGGTTATTAAAAGTGAGATTAAAGGTGAGAAATGTCAAGTCGTAGGTCCGTGTTTTTTCAGATTTGAGGCAACGCCAAAACTCATCCAGATTTGGCCGAGTATTTGCCTTCTAAACCTTCGCCCAAGGACTGCTGCTGCTGAATGTCAGTTTTAAACGTTCAGCTTTTAGAATTGATAAAAGTTTTTGTGAGAGCACAAGGCAAAGAAGTACAAAGCTCTTTCCTTGTGTTTCGTTGTGGCCAATACGACTGTAACTTTGGACGAACATTTTGTGCCTGTGTTTTCCCAGGGTTACTACTAACAACTTAAGTCAAGGAAAGACGTTTTTCTATCAGAACGATTCTGTTTTAGCAGTGTATAAAGTATTCAAAAACTTCATAAGATCTTCCTTCAGTTAGCTTAATTGAAATAGGTCGATCAAATAGTATAGATGCGAATTTAACGACCCGTCTCGATTGGAGTTGGGAGTAATTTAGAAACATGTAATGATGCTCGTCTCGTAAAGCTGTATCAACAAAAATAATAAAAAGAAATAAAACATGTATCAATATTGTTAATAAATTCACATTGACTTTGGTTATTTTAAAATGATATCAACTGAGGTAAAAATAATACTCGGTACTTTAAATAGTCTCTTCCCGTGGCTATCTATCTTTTAACCGCGGCAGGATTAGCTCAGTCGGTGGGAACATGGGGACGAGAAGTAGGAATTTTAGCCTCACTTTTTAAAGCTGGATAGCGTAGTGTTGAGTGGCAAGCAGCTGCAAATTTCTCTTTTATTTCTACAAGGTTGCTCACTTTTCAGTTCGAGTTATTAAAGCATGAAAGTCGTGATACAAGAAAAAACTTAATTTGAGTGTCAATGTATTTAGCACGAAGGTACTAATTTATAACACCATATTTTCCGTCTCCTTCTGGAAACGGAGCCGCCATTTCACGTCGTCATCCCAGCTACGCGAAGGTCTAGCTGTTTGCAGGGCAAAGGAAGTACCCTCCTTTCTGAGTATTGGTACAGCCCAGATAATCGAACCCACGACCTCCAGCTCTGCAGTCAAGCGCTCTACCAATAAGATACAAGGGGCGCGATCCATTCAACCAACATTCAGACCGGTCCGACCGGGAAAAGAGGACCACCTCAAAAGGTGGACCTGTTTTTTCGAAACTTTTCCGGTTGGACCGAACCGATCCATTGAGTTTTGGACCGAAATTTCCGGAAATTTTGGTTGAATGGATCGCGCTCAAGAGCTCCAACGAGTCTGGCATATAAACCACACATTACCCACAATCCTCTGATTCGATCTGACGCCGGCGCTTGAAACATCAGATCACAGGCAGACCACCCTCTGATCGTGTGCCCGTTGTTGTTATTGAAATCTCAGCATCGAGCTCTTTTTTATAGAGGAAATACAGATGAACATTTCGGAGGCTACAATTTGCTCTTAAATACAGATTATCTCACAAGATAACTCTTTAAACAGCTCGGGACGGCGAAAAACTTGATACATGAGTCAGTTAACATATTTTGTTTGAATTTTTATATTGTTTGTTTGAACTTTTATATATTGAAACATTTATATTCGAATCTGTACTTGGCCAACATATCTGTATTTCTACAGCAAATTACTCAAGTTTCAATGACAACAACGGACACACAAACAGAGGGTGGTCTGCCTGTGTTCAGATTCTCAATTCCCCTTCGTTGGCCATATCAACTTTGTTGATGAATCCAAATCTTTGTGTATCGCTGTCCCATTGACGCTTCATCACAGTTTCTTTATAGAAATTGACCCCTCGTCCTTTTACTTTCAGATGGTTTACTTCTAAAGTGAAATTAAAGGAAATGTTTAATTTGAATGTTTTCAAGTTCTCCTTTTTTCCTAGATCCATATGTGAACGGAATTCTTTGCCTTAAGATTGTAAATTCTAAGTCACTGAACTGTTTTAAAACAAATGTAGCAAATTATCTTAACTATGAATGAGACACCGGATTAGGACTTGTATTTATTAACACTATTTATTTCGAGATATTTCTTTTTATTTCTGTACATACGCTCACCTATTCTAATTAGCTCCTTGCCATCTGTTTTATTTCCTACAAAAAGTTGGTGTGATGGTCTGTGATTTCTAATCGACTTAACAACGCATACATTAATTTTAGCTAATTCCTGCTGGACCCAGTTTTGAGGAGAAGAACCTGCTATATCAGCTTCAGAACCTGAAACAGAAATAGAAATAGTAGATTACATTTGCACGAGGCAAGGCCCTTGGAAGCCTGGGTATAAATGAGGAAATGTTTATGTTTTTCTGTGTCAGGCCGCTGACTGACGTATCACGTGATTCAAAGGGGAAATATGGTGGCCTTGATTTGCGCTGTCATAAATAGCACCACAGATCTCTAAAAACTTTAACTTAGTGATTTGAGCTGTTAATGGAAAGTACACATTTTGTCTGAGGATGAGCGCAGTGGAGAACGCGTACGGCTCACCGCCGGGTTCATCGGCGGGAATTGCAATTGGCGAGGAGATGGGACCGATCATAGCTGCTTTGAAAGAGGGTAGCGCCATGACTAGATACTACGCTAATAGGAAAAGAACGGCACCAGATTTAAGGATTTTCATGTTAAAAATGGAAGAGTTTCAGCTTGTATGGTGCAGGACGGGTAAAGAGGGAGGCAGACAAGAGGGTTCAGGTATTCAAAATCTGTGCGCCACAATGTTGGTTTGGTCTTCTACACCTTGCCTCGGCCACGGGCTCCGATGTCTAGCTGTACATCTACACTGTTCATTCATTCTGTTGTTGTTTGCAGTTTTCATTCGAGAGATCAAGGAGGTCCGGCGCGGTTTAGGTTCTAAAGACTTCGACAGAAATGCAGAATCAGCGCGGAGGCTCGATCCAAACTGCTGTCTGGCCATATTTTACGGCACTGAATTCAAGCTAAAAACTCTCAGCCTTGTTGGTAAGCTCAATTATGCTCTTTGCCGGGATGTTTATAGCAACACTTTTTGGGTAGAGAGTACTGAGCTGTAATAAACTCCACATCTTTAATGATTTGGTTCATTTGTTTAGCACACAGTCATAAGGAACGAGAATTTTGGGTCAAAGGACTGGTGTATTTGATGTACGAGAGTCTTATAGCAACACAAGCTGTGTTGATTCATAGGTAAGAACAGATCTTCGAGGAGCGATTGTACTTTTTTTAGGTGGACTAGATGTTGATGATAAGACCATTAAATAGCATAGTCCAATCTCTCGTTTTGTCGAAGTGAGGAAAAATAAGTTGTCTTTAAAATTAGTGATGTCAATAATTTAAAGTTATTTTTCCTTGTCACCTCGCTTTTTAGCTTACTCCAAATTACTTGAATTGGTGTCTGTTTTGTAATTGAACAGGATATACAAGTAAAAGAAAGACTATTTCCTTGAAGCGGCTTTTCGTTAGTGTTTTGATAACTTTTAACACTTATGTGGATCGTGCGTGTGGTTTTTATTTTGTTATTTTATGATTTAGGTGGCTGTTGCGTGAATGGAACGGCATGGTTTCTATCACATCGGCACCAAAGAGAAAGTAAGTTTTGTTTGTAAGATTTTTCTGTAAAGTTGACATTATCCTAAGTTTAATTAATTTTATGGCAGTTCACGGAAGAGAATAAATAATAAGGAACGGCCGCAGGTGATAATTCTTGACAAGAACATGTCAACATTTTCAAATATAGCTTCAGCTCTAACTCCAAGCAAATGTGCAGCTCAAAGTTTATTCCTGTTTTACAGTACTTACTGATATAAACTCTCATGTGTGTTAAAACATTTTTTAAATTTGTTGAGTGTAAAAATAGTTATTTTGTCTTATTTCACAATTTTTGCCTTTTATTTTCAAGCCCTTGACATTGTAATGTAAATATGCATAATTTGGAAATATTATAAATTTTTAGCCTTACTGCCTCTGGCAGATCAGTCAGTGATATATGTATGTGATGCTACTGATCTCTGTGTTATGCATGGAAGAACATTTGAGATGTACCTGCATATACGTATTAGTTTTATTAATTTCATATTTGCACTGAGTATTAAAGTTTGTAGGGAATCAAGCTACTTGTTCTTCATTCAAATGACTCTGTGTATCCATAAATTTTTTTTTCTTGCTGCTTATTTTATAATACAGGATCCCTTAAAAATTAAAAAAACCACACATAGTGTGTTCTCTGTTATGCTTATGTTGCAGATGAAATGTGTTACCTCAAATATTAGCATGTATCACAGTTTGAAATAAATAATAAACAGAAAGTTAGAAAAACAGAAGTAATAGATGCAATGCATACAAATGAAGAAATAATTACCATATTGGAAATATTATTATCATTATTTTTACTTTATGTGCTTGAATACATGTGTGTTTTAAAGCACTTAGAAAAATTTCATATTAACTTTTTTAAACAGTGCATATTCCAGGGGGATTCTTTTTTGTGTTATTCTTTTATTTCGAAAAATCGTTAAAAAATAATATGTAAACAAAGAAGATAATAAATATATGTTTCTATAATAGTGAATCAAAAAATAGTTTTTTTTCATGAAAGAGTTTTTCAGGTTGTTTAAATCAAGTCTTGTTTACAAAATAATAAATAAAATAGCAAAGATTTGCCATAAACTGTTTGTACTTTCTTCAATTCTCTCTCTACATTGTCTTGCGAATTAATATTTTATTTTTGGATGTCTCTTTGTAGCACTTTTGGTATGAAGGAGTTGCGAGCATTCTTTCAGAGAGCAAATGTAAAGCTGAGCAATTCAAGATTAAAAGAACTCATTCAGGTTAGAGATTTTTGGTTTTATTAATTCACGCTACCTTCTGAATTCCTGACGTGCAGTTTGACAGCTTGTAGGTTTGACTCCCAGGCACCACACAACTTATCTTAATAATTTATTATTACAGTAGGACCCCAGTAACTTGAACACAGTTAACTCAAACTCCCCTCTAACTTGAACTAAGTCCCATTTCTCTTGGATGTGACCCTCCTTTTTAGCCCCTTTTACTAGGATAACTTGAACATGGATAAATCAAATTCTCTGCTAACTCAAACTAATTTTGTTTCCCTTGATCAAAAATTACCTCGGTAACTCAAATTCTGGTTCTTGCAACTGACCGTGAATGCCATCCCCTTAGCTCTTCTTCTTGTGCAATTGGTAAAACCCTTAAAACTATTACTACGGCAATTTGTTTTAATAAGTGCTATGAACAGATCATGTATTTGACGGCTATTTTTTACTACAATAAAAATGCATAATTGTGTTACAATTTCTGATGAGATACGTTTAACCCATTCGCCCCTGAACCGCCCGTAACCGCCCGTGCGGATCCAGGTCCTTTCTACCCTTTGTGACGTCATCAGTTTTAACGGTCAGGGACAACTTTCTTCGGTAACTTGTGCAGAGTGAAGAGATCTTTCAAACCATACCAGAATGACCACAATTCAGTCAAGGACACCGGAGAAAGAAGCAAAAAACCACGTGACAAGGACCTGAAAATCTCCATGAAAATCTTGTTCCATTACCCACCTACCTTTCCTTTCACCTAATCCTAAGATCCTAAAAGCTTTCCTAAAAACTCTTCCCACCAAAATGAAGCCTACTAAATGCCCAGCAAGAGAAAAAAAAAATGAGGCAAGAAAAGCGAAAAAAGAAGGGAGGAGAGAAAGCGAAAAGTAAAAGTCAAGACTGCTGTGTCACTTTTAAACCCAAAAACTATGTCGAAATTTTGCTTTCTGCGCATGCCCGAACTTCGCAAGCTGATATTTTGCATCTGGATCAGAAGGCCGCCAAGTGTACGACCTGTAGACCGGTTTGTGGTAAGTTTTAGCTCTTTATAGCACGACAGTGACCAGAAAACCACTCGACTAGCTTCAAAACGCGTTTTTCGGCAAAATCTCCAGGAGCGAATGGGTTAAGCAAAGTACCAAGCTTTTTGAAAAAAATCCACTTTTCAGCATAAAACAACCAAATCTGTCTATTTCAAGTAAAATCAGGTGAAAAAGTTGGTAAAAGGCCATTTTTAGGTTTTTTGATTAACCCATTCGCCCCTGAACCGCCCGTAACCGCCCGTGCGGATCCAGGTCCTTTCTACCCTTTGTGACGTCATCAGTTTTAACGGTCAAGGACAACTTTCTTCGGTAACTTGTGCAGAGTGAAGAGATCTTTCAAACCATACCAGAATGACCACAATTCAGTCAAGGACACCGGAGAAAGAAGCAAAAAACCACGTGACAAGGACCTGAAAATCTCCATGAAAATCTTGTTCCATTACCCACCTACCTTTCCTTTCACCTAATCCTAAGATCCTAAAAGCTTTCCTAAAAACTCTTCCCACCAAAATGAAGCCTACTAAATGCCCAGCAAGAGAAAAAAAAAATGAGGCAAGAAAAGCGAAAAAAGAAGGGAGGAGAGAAAGCGAAAAGTAAAAGTCAAGACTGCTGTGTCACTTTTAAACCCAAAAACTATGTCGAAATTTTGCTTTCTGCGCATGCCCGAACTTCGCAAGCTGATATTTTGCATCTGGATCAGAAGGCCGCCAAGTGTACGACCTGTAGACCGGTTTGTGGTAAGTTTTAGCTCTTTATAGCACGACAGTGACCAGAAAACCACTCGACTAGCTTCAAAACGCGTTTTTCGGCAAAATCTCCAGGAGCGAATGGGTTAAGCAAAGTACCAAGCTTTTTGAAAAAAATCCACTTTTCAGCATAAAACAACCAAATCTGTCTATTTCAAGTAAAATCAGGTGAAAAAGTTGGTAAAAGGCCATTTTTAGGTTTTTTGATTAACCCATTCGCCCCTGAACCGCCCGTAACCGCCCGTGCGGATCCAGGTCCTTTCTACCCTTTGTGACGTCATCAGTTTTAACGGTCAAGGACAACTTTCTTCGGTAACTTGTGCAGAGTGAAGAGATCTTTCAAACCATACCAGAATGACCACAATTCAGTCAAGGACACCGGAGAAAGAAGCAAAAAACCACGTGACAAGGACCTGAAAATCTCCATGAAAATCTTGTTCCATTACCCACCTACCTTTCCTTTCACCTAATCCTAAGATCCTAAAAGCTTTCCTAAAAACTCTTCCCACCAAAATGAAGCCTACTAAATGCCCAGCAAGAGAAAAAAAAAATGAGGCAAGAAAAGCGAAAAAAGAAGGGAGGAGAGAAAGCGAAAAGTAAAAGTCAAGACTGCTGTGTCACTTTTAAACCCAAAAACTATGTCGAAATTTTGCTTTCTGCGCATGCCCGAACTTCGCAAGCTGATATTTTGCATCTGGATCAGAAGGCCGCCAAGTGTACGACCTGTAGACCGGTTTGTGGTAAGTTTTAGCTCTTTATAGCACGACAGTGACCAGAAAACCACTCGACTAGCTTCAAAACGCGTTTTTCGGCAAAATCTCCAGGAGCGAATGGGTTAATGTGCACTCTGCTGTATACTGAAGAGCTGAAATATTAGTAAACTATCAATATCAACACAGGCAGACCACCCTCTGTTCATGTGGCAGTTGTTAGTCGAGCTTGCTTTAGCAGAGCGAGACTCTAAAAATGCAGTCGTTTCTTTTTTGTCTGTGGGACCTTGTTTGTAGGCCACGCGTTCCTAGCGAAGGCCGTGGAAACTGGGGATAAGAATCGTGGCGACTTTCACTATATGCAAATGAGACTCGTGATGAGCAAGCGGTATATTTTTGGCGATGAATTGACTGAAATGACGCGTGTAAGTTTGGCAATGATGTAATTTTCCTCGAATGGAGGCCCTTGATTTTCATGTAATTATGCACGACATGCAGGCACTGAATAAAAAGGAAATATTTCCAAGTAGGATGAGAAAGTATTGTAGCGGGGAAATCCTATTTTGTGGTGATGGTGTTACAATTCTCAGAATATTGTCGCAATTACTGGAAATCTACGGTTAAATAGATTCACCTTGGTTTATGTATTTAATTGATCAATACATTTTCACAGTTGTTAAGATGTTAAGTCGTGTTGCTCTTTATAAATACTTGAGATATCAAGTATCCACTGTCATGTAATTTTTATGTACGTACATGCATAAAATTTGCGTTCGCAAATAAAATAGAGGCAATGTATGAAAGGGCGCATGTACAATTATGTAAGCGTAAAAGAAGAAACTCGCTCAACTTGACGTTTAATCTCAACACTTTATATTTTACCTCTATTTTATTTACGTAAATTAAATTTACGTGTGTTAACGTGCGGAGCCAAAAACGCTTCAGTGGAAATCCACTCTAACGTTACGAATGTGTCACGGATGTGTTTATACGGGTAGCTTTGAACTTGACTATCCACGCACTCTACTTGCAGCACTTCATGTCCATAGAATAGAAATCCCATTTCTGGAACTGGTTGCTCCAAGAATTCTATCGCTTGAAAGTGTTAATTATTTTGGAACAACTGATCACTTCACTGGTCGAAAAAAGAAAAGAATAATCTTAATGAGCAAAACTTCAAGGTTTACTGGAAAATCAAGATCGAGGATCGAGGAATCGGGGATCGAGGATCGGTTAAAGAGAACTTGAAAATAAAATAAATAAATAAATCGTGGATCGGTGGTGATGTGGGCCGCAGACTGTAGGTAAATTTGACAGAATATAACCCCATTCGCTGTCCTGAACACTAAATTCTAGTAAAGTAATTCAAGTCTGTCTGAGTCAGTGATTGTTTTGACGAGAAAGTGAAATTTTCCTGGAAAATGAAATGCTTTATCCCAGTGATACTGTAATAAAAGAAAAAAAAATTAACATTTTTTAATTTTTAATTGTATATTTGCTTGCAGTACTCCCTATTTTTCTTGTAATTGTTGTATGCACGACCCCACCAGGAATGCTGATCTTTTTATCGTGCTAAAATAAAGTTCTTATCTATCTATCTATCTAAAATGTATGCTGTGTACAACTCTAAACTTTGTACTCTGAGACTGTACGGAGATGTTAAAAGTAGATACTAAGCAGCTGTGGAAAATGTAATTACTTTCACGCGATATTAATATCTTTTAAAAGGGAAAACAAATTCAGGAGGGAATACGCATGAACTGAATTAACTATGTGTTGTATAAAGTTCTGTTAAACTTACACATTTTTCCTGTGCTGAACATATACTGTACCGAACCGTATCTTGGTCCAGTACAAAGAAGCTATGTATATTTATACTGACAGAGTCATGGGCCCCTGATACCGATAACAATCATCGTTCAATTTTTTGAGCGTAAAATCCCTGGAAAAGTACTCCTCAATGGAGCAATATCAATATGTAGAAGGTTTACAAAGGTTTCACACCGGTTTGAGGCTAAGATGTGCGGCCTGTCTCTACTTGCAAGTTTTACTTTTTGAGTATTTACATTATGACATATGAGACTTGTTTTGTATTCCAAATGAAAAAGTAGTATAACAGCACCGCCGCCTTTGACAACAATATCTCCAAGCAAGCGAGACTCAATGCTACTAAGAGCGTTCTTGTTGTTATTGAAATTTGAGCATCAGTCTTTTGTACTCAATAGAAGATTTTTAAAATTTGTTTTTCACTTTTAAAAAATTTCATGAGACACTATTGAGCAGCACACATACACTTCCAGTCTTGCAACATTTTTACGCCCCAGGGGAGAATCGAAACTCATGACATCCAAATTCTAAATCAGATGCTCTAACCAGTGAGCTAGCAGGGCTCTGCACTGTCTGTTACAAACTGTAACTTTAGCTACCGTAATCCATGTAAGTAAGATATTTTTGGGTCCCACTGTTGTAGCTAAAATTGTGGGCACCAAAACATTACAAATGTCACACCTTGCAAAATTTTTTTCTGCCTGTTTCCTAGACGTATAACCATGAGGTTTGCAGTTCCTAGACGCAAATCTGTAGGTGTTTTGTGTTCAATGTAAAATTCAGTTCGTTTTTAGGTTTATATACAGGTACTCTTAGTTGTATTGTAAAACTCCCTGATGATGTGTTCGCTAGTCACGCAAAGGACGTGGGAGACAATAAAACAATTTTACAACTCAAGAGGTTCACAGAAGTGCTGCTCACTGGTTTATCCTTTTAAAAATACAGATGAATGTTATGGTAGTTACAATTTACTCCAAAATTCAGATTTGAGACTAAATGTTCAAGTGAAGGTCTAAATGTTAACTTAGTCACCTGTCATTTTTTTTGCCTTCCTGAACTGTTTAAACCATTATTTTGCAAGGTGATTGTTTGACCTGTAGTTTAGGACTAAAGGAGACCAGGCTGACAGTAATCAGCGACTGGCACGTGACTTAGTGCACTTAAAGCTGAAACTGATGCCAACCATTGAATTTCACAGCTTGCATTGGAAACACCTGCATCGGATCGACGAGATATGTCTTTATGTTCTCGCCAAACCTCAACTTAATCCTTCCAAAATCTACCGAGAAAAGCGATCCTGAAGTTGCAAGAGCATGCAGCTTTCTCAACATGATCAGGGCAAAATTCTTGACTAGTGAAATTTGAAATACCCAGTTTGCACAAATCATGTTGAGAAAGCTGCTCTTGCAACTCCTAGATTGCTTTCCTCTGTAGATTTTGTAAGGATTGAGTTGAGGTTTGGCAAGAGCATGGAGACGTATCTCATCCATCCGATGCTGGTGTTTCCAACCCGCAAAATTCAATGGTTTGGCATCAGTTCTAGCTTGAAGTGGACTGGGTCACGTGTTGGTGGCTGATTGCTGCCTGCCTTGTCTCCTTCTTTAGTTCTAACCATCACTCAAATGATAATCTCACAAAATAACTCTTTAAACAGCTCCGGAAAGTGGAAAAACATGACAGTTGACTAAGATAACATTTCGCTTGAACTTCTCTTGAACATTTAGTTCCAAATCTGTATTTTGGAGTAAATTGTAGCCCCTGTAATATTCATCTTTATTTTGTCTATTGGATACAAAAGACCAATGATTTCAGATTTCAATAACAACAACTGCCACACGAACAGAGGGTGGTCTGCTTGTGATATTAACATGGCAAATTAGGGATTCAACCGACCCCAATAACTCAAACCCCTGCTAACTCAAACTGTTTTTCATTTCCCCTCAGAGTTTGAGTTACCAGGTAATACATGGATACTAATATGTTTACAAATGTTGCATTTGTTTGACTTAAAATGCTGAATTGTGCCAGTGAATACATTTACCTTATTCATATCAACTAAACGTGTTTAATTGAACCAGGTTTAAGAAATAATAAAAATAACAGTAAAAACAGTTGGGGAAAACTCCAACACCAGGCTTTACATAGATTCAAATGAACTCCAACATGTTTTGTAATTTTCAGCTAAATTTGCAATCAGCTTTAAAGTCAGTAAGCAGCTGTTTTGAGGGAAACAATTTTAACTGTTTAAAAAAACAAGTTTTTTACATGTTTATGTGCTTTGGTGTGAATGGGATGTATAGACTGTTCCTGATAAAGTGATGATTTTCATGTTGTTGTCATTATTTATGTGATGTGCTTTTTTCCATTTAAAACACAATTTATTGGTGTCCTAACATTTTTAGGTGTAGGGGATCTCCCAAAATATATATAAAAGTTATGAAGCTGTCAAAGTCACCTGTAACAGTCACATACAACTTTCATCTTGTAGCTTAAAAAAATAAACTTATTTTGTACATTTCCCAATTAATGATGCATCTTGATCAATTGGAAGAAATTTGGACAAAGTTTTATTTCAAATTGGGGTCTCTTAATTGTAGAATGTGACCTGAACTGCAAGTATTGTGACACCATAGGTCTACATAGTGAAAGCTAATCTGTTCTGTTATGGATAGATGGAATGTATTGTCACAGATCAAATTTGAATTAACCTAGGTTGATTTTGTATATCCTTTGTCTCCTAGCACCACAAAAAACAAAGGAAATTGAAAATCAACCTAAGTTAAAAAAATCTAACCTGAAATCAAATTTGACCTTGATCTTCACCTGAATATCAAAAAAATATCGATTTTTATATTTTAGCAAAGTTATACAAGAGGTAAAATTATGCCACAGGTGTATCCAGCCATGTACATATAGTCTTATAGAATGGCAGGTTGAACTTTCATTTTGAGGTTATAAATCTCATTTATAGATTATATATACAGTAAGCTAAAACATAAATGATTGCTATAATTTTGTTGCTCAAACTATGAAGCAAATTAACTGAAAAATGCTACTATAAACCAGTTAAACTGTTTTTTTTTTCTTTTTGATATAAGTGTTTGAAGTGAAAGTTACTAATGTTCCTTCATTTTAGGCAAATATAAAATTGAGAGTTTCATTTCTACAATCTATAATAGTTATAAATGAGAATATTAATTTTTGAATTATATCCATAAGCTTGATAAACTCTATGAAGGTGTAATTTACTAACTTTGGTTCTTACTGTTATTGGTTAGCCTACGGGTATACACTGTAAGTCTTGAATGCCAAAATTTCCTCCCTCTATTATCTTCTAATTTCAAAAACTGCTCTACAAAGTTTATCTGTTCTCACAGGGCCAATTAAGCTCAATTGCTGAAAACTCAGAGTATTTCTGTTACACTTCTGTAAGTAAAATACTTTATGGGGTTGTGAACAAAGTTTTACTGTAGGTATAATTGAAATCTGCATAATTGGTGACTTTTCATTAATATAATAGTAGTAATATAAAGTATTGTAAAATAACAAAGAAAGTATGTGCATTCTGATTGGTTAAAAACCTATGCTTTATTTAACCTGAGATCAGGCTCAATTTTCATTTTGCTTCGTAATAACATTCCGGCAGGCAAGGAGAAACGAAAACAGAGCCTGATACAAACCTTCTATGAAACGTCTGCCACCCACTTTTTTGATTGATTGACATTTGCTGAATCAGCCAACCAAAATTACTTGCGTTGCTTGTTTTTCTAGTATGCAAATTTTTCATGCGTGGGAAGAATGCAGACTGGCTGACTTAAAAGATAGCTTTTAGCTGTTAATTTTTTCAGCTAAAAATAAAACAGTCAGCACAATCACTTTTAACTTCTTGCGAAATTAAAGATCTCGAAGGTTATTTCTGGTAGGGCAGAAGGTAAAAAAGTTTTCGAAAAGACAGCGACACAATGTTCTACTAGTTTTATTATTTTGGCTAGACACGCTCTAATTTAAAATACTGAAATTTCTCTTTTTCTGTTGCCTTAATATTTTCCTCCGCAATTTTCCCCAATTTCCAGTACATAAATCTTTAAAAATCTTGAAGAAAAATATCGTGAACTTTTTCAAAGGATATATAAATTATTTCAGAACAAACCAAACGAGTTCTCAAGTGTATTTAATGCAGTTGATTTAGTCCTGTGTGTACACTTGCAATAATATTTGCGAATTTATTAGACAAACAAACGTCTAAAAAATATATTTATTTTTAAAAAATCCAGGTAACTATTATCTGCCACTAAATGCATGCTCAACTGACCTATAAACAAAAAGAAAAACAATATTACAAACACACTTTGTAGTTCTCCTTAGTTGTGTTGTTGTTTTACTGCAGGTCTAAAAACTAGGCTCGCTGAATTTATTAATCAAAATTAACAAACAGCCAATGAGCGAGGACACCAGTTTTGCTGGTTTATTTCTTACAAAAAGCGAAGGCAAACAACAAGTCTGTTTCCTTAAGACTAGCGCCACTAGCTTTTATAATAATACCTACAAAAATTCCTTGAACAGCGATGTGATATTTTTTGTCTTATACTTCACAGTTGGCGATTGAGATTTCTTTTGCAGTGAGCCTCCGCTTGCGTACCCCGTTCAGAGAAGTCATTCCCAGCCAAACTTTCAAATGAAACCAGTTTTAAGATGGACGGTATTTTGATTTGCACTTGTTTGTTGGTAAATCAAAAGGCAGCTTGTTAGCGGTCAACAACTTGCAGAGGGATTCAACTCCGTGATACACTCACATTTGTTCCGTAACTAAAGCAAATCTTGAGAAGATATGAACAACCATATGAATTTTCTGAATTTCCATGGCACATATTAAGGCATATTTTCTTACCAAAGACCATAAAACAATAAAAAAGACAGCAAAATCGATCCTTCTCTCCACCGACGGTGGATCATTCACGAAAACAACCACACAAGGAATAAGCGCTTTCAACTTCCGGTATTTCCGACAGCCAATCAGATCTTGTGACATTGTTCTAACAGCCAAAATCTGGCCGTAACGAGCACAAACGTGAGAGAGTTTGTATCAGGCCCAATTTTAGCGGTAGCCGTTAGAGAGAATGTATGAGAACTGCTAAAATTGGGCCTGATCTCAGGTTATGGTTTATTGTGCTGGTAAACTCATAGAAAAGTGAAACATTTTCCATTTTACTTAAAGTTATTTATATAAGCAATAGACCACACTTTCTATGGGCACCAGCATTATAACCCACTTGGGATGTTGGTAGAACACTTGAAAAGCTTGCAAATCTCTCAACTTCGGCTCGTGATTTACAAGCTTTTCTCGTGTTCTCCCAACATCCCTCGTGGCGGTATCATGCTGGTAGATCCATAGAAAGTTTGGTCTATTGCTTTAATAAGTGCTACTTGTTACAGGGGCATGGGCCCCAAAGCCTTCAAAAGATTTACAGCTACATCAGCAGAACTGCTCTTCAAAGTTTATATGTTCTTACTACTGAGCCAAGTTAGGTCAAATACATGTAGTGTTAAACATGTAATAAATGTTGCAAATATGCTGTCATGCTGTGATAGACCATTGTTTTACAGCAAGAATCAAAACAATTTGCTTGTTGTTCACTTACTTCATGCTTCAGTGCCTGTCACTGGCTGACAAAGCTATTTAGGTATTAGGAATGCTATTTTACTAGGTACTTACTCCCTAAATTATTAATTGGGGGAAGATATTGAAACTTTACTAAAAAGACTGTTGTTCAAAGTTTATGTGTTCTGACAGGGTCAATTTTGCTCACACAAACCTGAGAATTGCGAGTGTCACACATATGCTAATGTAAGTAAAAAAATGAGTTCATGAAGAATGTTTTACAGTGTGAAAAAAAGGGAATTTTCACATAATTGACCACTTTCCCTCACATGTTGTGTTTTCCATCAACCCACAAGGATTACTGATCTAAAATATTGCTGTAGGAATTACTGGCAGCTTCTGCAAAATTGCAAATTTGTAAACAATTCTGCTCCAGTTTGATTCTTGGACCTGCCACCATTTCCTTGCAAATTGTTATGTGCAAAAAGGTTATATACAATAGTTTGCTCTTTTTTGCATGGACACAGTCAACTTAGATAAAATCAATGCAGATTATGTTACTGTGATGAATTGTACATGTATTATGTTATAGGTCAAAAATAAATTCAGGTTGATTGTCTATTTACTTTGTCTCCTAGTCCTAGTCCCTTAGTCATGAATTAGGGCTAGGAGACAAAGGAAATTGAGAATCAACCTAGGTTCAACAATTTTTAACCTGAATATAAGTTTTACCTGAAACATATACAATAAAGGTGCTCTTTGCATCTTTAGCCTGTGTTTCTTTCAGGTATGTAATTAAACTCTTTTCTCTTGTTACAGTTTTAATTTGGTCAGTTGTGTTTAATACATGTAGTACCTCATGTTTCTTGCTTTTCCAAGACCATTTTATAGGTTCACACCAATTTTTTTATATAAATCGATGTTAACATAAGATGATAAAAAATGTGATATTCTATGGATTTTGTAACCCTTATAAAAAATAAAAATAACAAATAAATTTAAAAATAATGAGCAATTAATTGTAAAATCCTTTTGTTAAAAGTGTTTAAACTTCAAAAAAAATCTCTGGATTTGATATGTATGTTTAGTGAATAATTATTTCAATAATGCACTCTTTACATAGACAATGTACGTATTGATAACTTTTTATGCTTTGTATGTACTAGATAATGGCTTTTAACTGATAATTAGTGAGTTTTTGTAATAAGCATTCTTTATCTTGTGTAAGTAATGATTGATATTTAAAAGTAATTAAGAAGAAAAATTAATATGTAAAATTTAAAATTTTTTAAACATGGAGGAATCCTTAAAACAGGGGCTGAACGCCTTACATGGTCAAATCAAACATTTGAACATTCAAGTTGTGAACATATCTTACATCCTCAAATAAGTGCTCTCATGCCACCCATCACTTTGATAAAAATCCTCTGCACAAACTAGTGAATCAAGACAGACGAAGCAATATTTTTTACAAACTAGTGAATCAAGACAGACGAAGCTATATTTTCTGACTTATTCTTGGAGTTTTGTAATTAGAGGAGCAACCATAATTTAGTACTCTGTGATCCTCAGGTTCTGACATTTAAAACTTGTCATTTGATTATGTATGTAACTTTACTTTTTACATGAAAGTCATTAATTCAAACTGAAGAGAAAAGTGTGGTTTTCCTCTGGCTGAGGAACAAAAGAAGCGGAAAACGTTTTTCTCACACACGGCTGGGAGTATGGGTTCGAGTGTCCAGGGGGTCTTCAGGTCAGGTGGCATTTCAGAATTTAGTTGTTTTTGTTGCCTTCCACCATTGCCTGACCTTCCCCACCCACCCACCCTCCATTTGTTTTTTGGGTTGTAGGTTTTCAAGTAGTGCCTTAGTTCTGGTTAATCTTGTTTGTTAATCTATTGTATCTAGGCTCAATTTCAGCTGTTTTGTCAGCTCTCTTTTTGTGCTGTAACACTAATGATTCGTAGTGTTGGTATAGTAAAAGGTTGGGCTACATGGTCGGCTTGGCATGGCTCCAGTTGTGTGTGAGAACAGATATTTTTCTCTCTTCATGTTGATTTAATTTACAGAATTTTATTTTTCTTAATGCTGTTTGTGTTGTTTCCATTGAACTGGTGCATGGTTCTTTGCTTTTACAACAGATTGCTGGGAGAGGAGAAGGCCATGTTGATTTTGAAGGGTTTCGCAAAATTTATGATGAGATAATGACTGTGAAAGAGGTAAGTGTAATGATAAAGATCTGAAAATTGATGGAGCATGGTTGAAATGTTGCTTTAAGATTATATTATATATAAATCATTAAATCTTGAATAGTTTCTAAAATTCTGTACTCAGATGAATAATTTGTGTAAATGTATGTGTAATTTATGTTAAACATTTGAGGCTTCTGTTGGAGTGTTTTTGAGGGTCAGCTCAAAACAGTGCCAAATTTAAAAGTGTATATTAAATGACGTTTTGTTACCTTTACAGCTGACTTTGAGATTTAATGATTACATAGAGAACAAGTAAGTAGCAGATTTTATTGTTTTTTTTTTTAGAGTATTGTTTATTTTAGCTGTTTAATACAATGTTTTTCAACCCTCCTAACTCAGTGTTAAGACAAACAATTCTAGTTGGAAGTAATTAATGATATGTTGTCTGTTTTTACTGCAGCACTTATGTACCCTTAGCCAACTTTCAGAGGTTTCTTTTGGAAGAACAAGAAGTAAGGATGCTCTAACAAATGCGCTCTAATTTTAGCATTATTGTAGTCTTGATTGAATTGTGCTATTCATGTACAGTACACTCGCTCAAAGTAGACCAGGTTCCAAGTAAGAGGTACTACTTGTCTCAATCACCCAGTTTCCAGTTATCAAAACTCATATGCACTTAGCCCAGAGGCTGACAGGAGTACAGTTGTATAATTTAAAAGAAATGCGCTGAATTATTCATCCCTGAATCTCAATGCAATGGCCCATTTTACAGTTGCAGGTGAAAACAAGGCTGGAGTAGACCTTGTTTTGATACAGCCCTTCCTGCTTTATTATGTAAATCATGTCTTTCTTATGCTAACTAGTATTTTTTAAGCAAAATTTACATTAGAAAAGGATCGAGGTTTTTATCAAAACAAGGTCAACCTCAGCCTCACGTTCACTCAAAGGCTAGGACACTAAGCACACAACTGTAAACTGGCCTATTAGAGCCAAGTATGATTTTTTTTTTTCAAATCTAGCCTTATTATTATCAGTAGATAGCATCTTCTCTGTGATTTTCACTTGTTTGTATGTTGTCGAACTTTCTGAGACTGCATGGCTTAAAAACAAACAGCACTGCACGCAAATGTATCAGAGAAGAGTTTTGATACAGTGGTTGTAGGAATTCTTGAACATGTGAACTAAAATAACTTAAGGTGGTCCTTGATTATGCCAAATCCAAAGTTTTGGAAGTTCATTTTAAATAATGTGATAATTATTTGCTTTGCAACATTCCATTACATTCTTGCATTTGCAATTTAGTTTTCATATCAAAAGTGTAGCTCAGCTGTGATTATTCTTCAGGAATCTGGTGCTATAGACATTGAATCTGTCCGAAGCTATATGTTGCAGTATTTAGCAGATGGTAGCAGAAGCTATTCTGAGCCCTATTTCACTGTTTCAGAGGTAAATGATTATTAAGTATTTAGCAGATGGTAGCAGAAGCTTTTATGAGCTCTACTATGTGTCTGTCTTAGCTAGAGAGATGTCAGTCTTAGAAAGAGTCAAATAAAGGGATTAAAGAAAGGCAGGGACCAACTCTAGGTGTTTGTTTTGCAGAGGTTTCTATCTTCCATATATAGAGGTGTCCATTAAGGAAGAGTTGACTTTAAAACTTTTTAATTGAAATAGAACAAGATGTTGATGTCAGATCCTTTCTTCTCCAATGAACTTAAGTCATAAAACAGTGCTTCAAGCTGGCAAGTAGAAAAAAATTTTGGTGACCAAAATTGCTGTGAAAGTCACCAATTTGGCAACTTGTGTTTAGTAGTCACTTGCCAAGCTATTCCCAAGAAATTCTTGATATTTTGTACTATTTCACAGAAGGTTGTAACATTATACACTTAATGTCAGATACCAAGGGAAACAGTTTGTTTTGTTTTCCCAAGGGTCCTGATGTTTCCCTAGACAAATTTGTTATATTTCTAGATTTTCACTTCAACAGCAACAAAGAATTTCAGAGCAAGTCAAAACAGTCGACTTGTTACTTACAGCAACACAAAATAATTCTCAAAACCATTGAGTGAATGATTTACAAAGTACTTTCCTTATACCATTTGCATCTTTTTCCTCCACTAGTTGCTGTTTCTCTTCTGGGATAACTTTTAAAATCATTTCTTTTTAGCTAGAGGCTTCACGTTTGAGTTGTTGTGTTCATTCACAAAAAAGTAATGCTGTAATGTATCCCGAGTGGGGTACAATTCATGGGTGGACCCAGGGGCAGGGCCCAGGGGGACTGGGCCCTCCCCTTAATTTTAGACCAAACTGAGGCTGAAGGGCCCCCCTTATCTCAGGGTGTGGATAACCGGGCTTCCCCCTTACCTGAACATCTGGATCCGCCATTGCAATTGCTCAAATGTGTCACAATCGGGATACATTTGATTTTAGTCAAGGCCATGTGAGCAGGAATCAACCAATGGCAGTCCCTGTTTAGTTGAGGGAAAGTCTAGGAATATAACAATATCCATTGTCAAAAGTTACCTTCTGCAACACAGGGGAGTAAGTAAATTGGCTGAAGAACTTTTAGCTGCAGTAAACTTTCAGGGCGGAAAAACGTTCTGCGCAAGCTACTGTGCATCCTTTATCGCAGGCTCAAGGCGGCTTTTCTGTGTGTTGACAGTGTTCGACAGTTTGTTTGTTTGTCACTGAGAGAGTTCTGATTAAGACTGAATGAAATGCACAAGGTGTGATCGTTTGCTCCTCGAAAAGCCTTTTTACTTTTGTGTGGTTTTTGTTTTTCGTCACTTGAAAATTACTCTGGACTCGGAACAACCAACGTTAAAGGAAAAACGGATCATTCCGTCAGTCTGAGGTGGAATAAAGAGTTTTGAACATTTCCAAAGAGGCGAGTATTTTTTTGATTGTTCATTCGATTTATTTGTGAGTTGATTTCGCCTTCTTTCGCCGGTAGAAGGCCAGTAAACTTACTCTAGAAAAAAAGAATCATTTTTCTGTTGTTCAAATACTATAAGTAGTCAGAGTTTTCTTCACTTTTAATTACATAGCTTTGTTTTCCACTGCACTGTGAAAGTTTCTCTTCTTTATAAGAAATAACTTTCTGTACGCAAATTTTCCATTTCACTCGCTGTGAAGTAGAGGACAACTGCCGGCAGTCACTTCAAAACAATTGACTCTGCCCGTAACACTGAATTGCTGGAGCTGGATTTGTCTGAAGCGAGCAAAACAAATACCCTTATGTGCAGTTTTCTGACTTTTGTAACGATTGGCTGAGTCTAATTTGCTTGAATGAAGACCCTCACATGGACCAGTTATTCACTGAGTTAAAAATAAAGCGAGGAGAAGAGCTACATGGTGAACCATGGTTTAGCTGCGAAGCTCACTGCAACCGATCTTTTGCTTTTAAGATCTTTAGGTAGGTTGTTTTCGTACAAAAAATTCATTTCTTCATTGTCAGCAAGAAGTTTTTGCAATAATGTAATTTTAACTTTGTTTGAAGGAAATCCTACTTACATGTAGGTTTTTGACAGATGTTATGCATTTTCAACTTGACAACACAAAGCATAATTTATATTTATCTCTTAGTACGCGAAACGATCAAGTTTAAAAATAAACTATAGTTGCTTTAAAACCGATTTTTGGGAAGATTTTACTAGATAAAGATTGACCTTTTTTCTGCCCGCATATCAACGCAATAACTTCTACATTGAGGATTTTGTTTATATTTTAGTTACCTGCGAAACTGCGAGTGTCCGATTGAGCGAGGGTTTTAAAATATCAGCTCGAGTGCGACAAGTTCAGTGCCTTCAAACACATTGTGGGCAAGCGTTAATTTTTTTGGGCAAATCACTGTCCAAAGATATGTTGTTTTTGTGTCCACAGTGGAGCTCCGGACCTTATATATCCAGGAACTTCCTTATATGAACACATTTTGTGAATGCATCTTGAAAAAAATAGGACCTACGCATCCACATTTCCAGTACAACGCAAGGAATTTGATGTTGTTAAAGTCCGTTTTACTATGAGGTATTCTTCGAGAAAATTAAGTAACGACAAGGTTATAACCACAGCTTGCAACTTTTGAAGACAAATATGCCAGTTCTTTCCAGGTTTTGAGTGGCAACATCATATTTTTAGGCAATAAAATATTTGAAATCCCGCCATTTTTTCAAACCCGGTCAGGGGATGTGGGCAAAAAAGTTCACGCATGCTCATTACGTTTTTCCGCCCTGAACAGTAAACTATTCTTCCCTGACTAAATTTTTTTTCTAATGTCAATGCATTTCTTTTAGTTTCTAGATTACTTGATGTCAAAAGGCAACAGTGCATTTAATTCATCACATTGTGAAGTTTACCAAGATATGACCAGGCCACTAGCTCATTATTGGATTGCATCTTCACATAACACGTATGTTACACTTTTTTCAAACTTATTTCATTTACCTATTGCAGGGGGACCTGTAACTGTAAAGACAAATTTTGGCAAAATTTGAGACCCTTGGTTGCTGTGGTTACACTTGGATGCTTTTTTAAAGTAATTTTTGCATTTTTTTTATAAAGTATGATATGCCACTACATGTAAAAGCAGCACAAGGTTTTTTTTAAAATAATACATAGTGTTTTTTCTCTCTTTGCCCCACAATCAGACTTGCTCTTCTTGCTAACTAAGCAAGTCCAAGCACCATTTAAATCAATCTTTCAAGAACTCAATTTTACTTTACCTTTGCTGCTGCATACTCTTGTACAACTGTTTCTATATTACAATAAGGCTTCTATTTAGGAGAATCATCTCCTCCTTTTTATATCCTGCATTTGACTTTTTTTGACAGTTACCTGACAGGAGATCAGTTTCAGGGTGAAGCATCAGTAGAAGCGTACATACGTGCTCTCAGGATGGGCTGCCGCTGTTTAGAACGTAAATATGGAATAAATAATTTGCTTCATTCACGTGTAGTTACAACCTATTAGTATAAAAGTATTTATGGGTAAAAATTGTTATTTAGGAACAATATATGCAGTAATTGATTAAATCACATTTAATGTATAATTATTGGTATGTCTTATCCTCAGTTTTTCTCTTTTTTATAACGTACAGTAAGCTCATAATATGATTGTATTAGTCATTTTACTTGGACCCTATTGTGACATGTATTGTTTTTTTTTAGTTTTTATGTGACATTTGCATGACATAAACAATCACAGATTTCTCAATTGCATACTAGCTACTTAGACCAAGAATCACCTAGTGGAAGTGCTACCTCTAAATCATTATTTATTTGTTTGTTTATATGTTTATATATATATTTTATTTATTTACTCAACTTGCAGTTGATTGCTGGGATGGTCCAGATGGACAACCTATTATTACCCATGGACACACACTTGTATCCAGAATCAAATTTGTGGAAGTTGTGCGTGCAATCAAGGACAATGCATTTGTTGCATCAGAGTAAGAAATAATGTGTATTTGTTATTTTGAAGAAAAGATGCCGAAATTGGTATGACTTTGTACTGTTGCTGGTAAGATTAGACTGACTTGAAAATGAATTTTAGAATATCAGGGAGAAGAAGATTGGGGACCAGCCCTTATGGACCATCTCAGTCCTTGAAAATAATAATTGTATAGGTTTAGTTTGAATGAGTTATTTCCACCTGTTAAATCTCGTTAATTTAAGTTATTTTTGGAAGAATTTTGTCAAAGTACAATATACAAGTTTTATTATTTGTAGCTGCCACCATCTCTTTTAGTTGCCTAATATTCCTGACAACAATTCTCACCATTGTTGTAAATGATGTTATTGTCATTTTCACCATCATTGTCATCATCATTGCTAACACTGTCTTGATTGTCATCGTCATTTTCATCTATTAAGACATTTGCTTAATTTTCAGTTATCCCTTAATTTTGTCACTGGAAAACCACTGTAGCATACCTCAGCAGAAAGTAATGGCACAGACATTCAGGGATGTTTTTGGAGGTTTGTAAAAAAAAGTTAGGTAGTTACTTCATAGTGTCCATCCTATAACATTGAAGTAATGAGGAGCTGCCAATGAAGTGTTGAGGTTGAAGAAGGCCAAGGAAGGCAAGATTTATGAGTCACTGAAATAAAATGGATGGGTACTTTCAGCCGACATAATTTTTGAATGTTAGTTTTGTACAACTAGTTTGTCAAAACTTCTTCATGTGTACTGCAAGCAATGTGACTAACCAGTGGCAATTAGCTGACAACTAGCCTGACTGGCATGATAACTATTTTGTTTTTTAAATGTCATTGGTTATGATAACTTATCGTGCCTGGATTGATTGCAGATCTTCTGTTGACGCAACCAATTGATGCCAATGCAAAAGAGATGCCATCACCAAGTGCTCTGAGGCACAAAATCATCCTTAAGGTACTGCTGCATCCAAGGGTTTTCCAGAAAATTTATAATAGAAGGAGAAAAATTCAAGAAGGTTGCAGTAGGTTAGATAGGAGCATAGTTCCCTTTACATGTACATGACAATTAGCCAGGTTTGTCAATAGATACAGTGTATAGGAGGAGGGATGGGAGGGGCAAGTCTTGCCACCTTTCTATTGGGACCTTGAAAAGTACATAATTATGAGTGTATTTTGAGTGACCATGGAAAGAATTTTAGCTAAGAGGATGGTTTCTCTTACCCGCATTTGTTTTTTTTTTACATCATAATAGTGTATTATTTTCTTCATTTAATAAAACTGTTGTAAGACAAATACAATAGACTCACTATACAACATGATAACATGATAATGATAATATTTTCTGTGTGTAGCTCACACTTCTGAGCAGACTAAACAATGATTTTTCATTTCATGATTGTTGGAGCTGTCAGAAAACCTGGACAGCCTGTTTATGACCTTACTTATCCCCCACTCTTTAAACTACTTAGTTCTTCAAACTTAAAACATCAAGAAACATGTGCATTTGTTAATTTCCCTGCTGATGTGAATGAAAATCAAATAATTTACTGTATGTTATTTTTGCAGCATAAAAAACTGCCTAAAGACCCCACTCAGGTTACAGACACAAGTATTGGTGACGCACGTAGGTTTAACTATATTGTTTTATTTATTTTTTGCTGTTATATGAAATGAGTTTTGTTCATTAATGCCTGCGTCACAAGTGGAGGTTGGGTGCCCATGTGCCAGGGGGCTGCAACCGCAATACACCCCAAAGCGGAAGAACACCCACAGGCCTACCAACCCACAACCCAGCCATGAGCCCCCTGTGCCCAGCCCCCCACTATAACACCCGTCACACTGAGGCCAGAAGCCCAGTGGAAGTAAAATGAACAAACCCCCGGAAGAATAAATAACTAAATAAATAAATAAGAAAGAAAGCGGAGGGAGGGAGGGGAATTAAGAGAAACGCTACGCTACTGGAACGCCACGCCACGCCACGCCACGCTATGCCACGCTAACAAAGCTTCGACAACAACGCAAACACACCGTAGGCACATGGCCTCTGCATGCGCCAAAGCGACATACCGCTGGACAGGAATCTGCCCCCCATGCTCACGAACAATGGTAAACACTACAAACGCAAACATAGTCACGCAACAACGTTACAGACGACCAACACGCCACCAAAGAATGCCAAAAACACCCGAGACCATAGCTCCTAGTCGTTAACTGCATTAAATATGATTTAATAGTGTTAAATCTTTAAGAAATGACCAACATCTACAATGTCTTGGACATTACCTTAAGTAACTTCTCAAGAAAATTATGTTATTTATGTTAAATTCAGGTCAAATTTGTTTTGCCCTAGGTTGGTTCTAAATTTGCTCTAAATTATTCATGAAATTTAGAATCAACCTAGGTTAAAAATTTTGACCTGTAACATTATACGTGATGAAATGCTAGTTCATTGTTGTTTATAAATAATTTTATAGAAAATGTTCTTTGCTTTCTAGTAGTAGAGGATGATCTCAGTCAGTCACTGAAGAATGGATACCTGTTACTCGAAGATGAAATTGATCATGTAAGTTCAGTTGTTAAAGTGTGCAGGAGTCTATGCAGACTTAGAATGGGAATCATTGAAATACTGCTTTGCCTGTGGACATGCATGTGCTACGTTTACATCAAGTGACAACAAATGATGTAGGATATGATTTTTTCAGTGTTCTTTAATCAGCCACTGTTTAATTTGGAGGTATGATGAAAAGTAAACTATTAATTACTGTAGCAGCTATAGCTGTACTAACTTTTCCCCTTTTTATTTACCTCTCAACAAAAGGGTTGGAAGCGACACTTTTTCTGTTTAACCAAGGACAAACTCTTTTGGACAGAAGAACAAACAAAGTCTAATGATGATGATGATGATGATGAAGGACTGGAGGGAGGTGGCACTGGAGAAGTAATTACCTTTTTATTTATTCAGTTTAGGGATGACCAAACATTAGACAAGTGCAAGTGTTAATTGGTCTCTAAAGCCTGACTGCCTTCAACAACAGCATAATAAATTATTTAGCAATTAATGAATGAGGCTGAGTAGTATATTATGAAGGATTAAGCAGATCGAGGAGGGTGTTATCCACCGAGGCCAAAGGTTGAGGTGGATAACACCCTCCAAGATCTGCTTAATTCTTCATTTCCTATGAAAGCCAAATTCATTAATTGTTTTATTATTCATTCAAAATAATTTTTAGTTTAAAAACATAGCTAAAACATGCTTACCTGCATCAATGTTAAGTTCATCTTCGATAGTGTACGTTTAGGTTTGTCCAGCTCCGCAAATATTCTCCAAATAGCAGATGTCGCCCTCCGGGTTGTCTTCTTGCTTTTTTTGTCATGTTTTTAGCTATTATTTTACCTAGTTCCAGCTGTTGTTCTTACTCTTAAAACGAGTGAAATGTCTGCCTTTTTTTTCACAACCAAAACAACTCGACATTGTCCCCAGGTCTTCTCGTTAATGGTGCCTTAACCCGTAGCAGGCTGCATTTTTGATGTCATTTCCTTGTTAAACACAAATTTCTTCCAAATTTGGTCATCAGTAAATGGTTATAGTGGATTATGCGTGTGCTTTTAGCCAATCAGAATTGGGGGAAATATTTTGTCTGGGCCAGGTTGTTCAGAGCTGGGTTAACATAACCCAGGGTTAGTGTGAATTAAATTTGAATTCAGATTTGGAAGCTTAAAAAGTAAATTCAGTTTAATTTATTTCGTCAACAAGTTGATAATTGGATGCTCTAAAAAATAACAGAGAAAATTATGTGGGAAAATGCTTTTGAACAAAAGAAAAAGAAACCCAGGTTAAATTTATCACTGGGTTAAGTGCTAATCGCCTTTCGAGCAACCGGGCCCTGGTTATCAGTTAATCACATTTTTCATGACTGTATATAAACTCATGTAAATATTTCAAGTTGTAACAGATGTAAATATTTTTGCCCCACTGTAATTTTATTGTTGTATATTTGTTATTATTGTATATTACGACAGAATAGCCCCATATAGAGGGGTTGTAATAAAGTGTATGTTATGTTATGTTATGTTAATCTCTCTGTAGCAGAAATTTTGTGCATTGGTATATGGATATAAGCTTTAGTTTTATGTTTCTTGTTGCAGTCCTCTAAAGACGAACTTCACTTTGGTGAAAGGTTTGCTCAGATTTATTTTAGTAGAATTACAAACAGTACTATGTGAAGCTTGATGTTTGGGTCTTTGAACTGGAGTTCCAAAGACATGGAGGGATTGAAGATATGAAATTTCCACAGGGGACAGACAAAAGTGTATTCCTTGAAAAAGCTTATTTTATGGACTTAATCATATCGCAAATAAAGCACAAACTGACGAAGCTGCTGACAATGGCAGGAGCAGGATACAAGATCGACTAACAAGCATCCTTCAATCTGACCAATCTGGCATGTGTTCATGTTCATTTGCTAAAGAAAAACCAACAAAACGTGGGCTGTACAGCTTCATTGATTATTTTGTCCATTCAATTTGAAACATGTTTTTTTTTTTTGACTGAGGACACCATTTTAATTTTTGAAACTTGTGGGATTAAGAGCGACTGCTGACCCAAAAAGCTCAAATTCAAGATGGCAGAAATACTCAATCCTCTTTATTGTAATATTTTCTGAGTGTACACATGTTCATTAATGTTCTGTACCAGTTTGTTGCAATGTAAAGTTAATGTAAGTTGCATCTGTTGAATCCGAAGGGCTTGTTTAAAAATGGAGAATGGAAACGGAAGGGGGGAGTTAATAGAGAGATTAAGTATAATTCACGTTTACGGCAAACAGGAAGCTGATCACATGATCAACTAATGCAAAAGGCCTATTATCATTTTGAAATGGAAAACTCAACACTGTAAGGGATTAAGTGGGTGGTATTTTTACAGACATCTCTCAAAAAAATATATGATGTCTGAAAATTAATACTAAGATTGTTGTCTCTTGTCTTACCCATGTTTAAATTAGTTAATTTTAGATACTCTTATAGTAATCTAATGGCGTCTGTTTTAGATGGTTTCATGGCAAGCTTGCAGATGGACGAAAAGCAGCTGAAATCCTTCTAAATCAGTTTAATCGTGGAGATGGCTCTTTTCTGGTGCGAGAAAGTACAACTTTTGTTGGGGATTTTTCACTGTCATTCTGGTAAGCTAGTGACTATTTTTGGAGGAATGAATACTGTATTCCAACTTACTTTTCACTAGTAGTTTACACTCCATAACTTAAGGCTAAAGGTTGTTTTTTATTAGTTGAATTGTAGTGTTTATTACTGGCAATAAAACAGTTCTTATTGTCCTTTCAGCATGACCATTGATTGTAATCCAAATTGTTACAGTTTGTTTTATGAGCTGATTAAAGTAGTTTTCCCTCAATAAGTAGGATTATGCCATTCACTGGAGTACAAATGCTTTTGTATGATGCAATTTTAAATGCATCAGGCCTACTTACATACTTACATACTTACATAATGAGTGTGGGTCCAGCAGGGAAGTCATCCTCTAACAAAACCATTATAAAGACCAGTGAGATGTGGGCCTAGTGGAGAAACAAAATGTGAGAGCTTCTTGCCCAAAGGACAAGATGGAATTAAAAGTTTTTCTTGAAGACCTGTAGAGATGAACCTAAATTGGAATGTTGTGTTTTACATCTGTTCATTGTTTTTCTTTTTCCCTGAAATAATCAGGCGAAAAGGCAAAGTTCAACACTGCCGTATCAAATCCAAGCAAGAGTGTGGACAGACAAAGTATTACCTGGTTGATCAAGTGACGTTTGACAGTTTATACAGCCTCATCAATTTCTATCAGTCTCATCCTCTCAAAAGTATGAACTTTGAACTCACATTGACAGAAGCAATACCCCAGGTGACTGATACTATTAAGTAGGTGAACATTAATTTACCCAAAACACTGATATTTCAAGAAAAATGTTGGTACTGATTTTTAACAGTGAATATGCAAACCAAAAAAAATCTGTCCTGAAAATGTGTCACTTTGACACCATAGTAATATTTCATGGATGCGATATGGTATTGATTTTAACCAAATATCATAATATTTACAACATTGAATTATTTTTTTCTTTTCCCTGCATCATTGATGACATGTACATCAGCCAAATGCACATCTTGAAAAAGAGTAAGTACACTGAAACACATTGCTTTGTTCTACAAGGATTTTCTGTATCATTCACTAACATTTTTTACTTCCATCTAAATATAAGTGCTTAGTTTTTAAATTTTGTAGTTCAAAATGAAATTCAGTCAATTCAATGACATAATGAAAGTACTATAAAGGGTTATGCAACAGATGAAATTGAGAATCAAACTACTGTAGGTTGGAAGCACCTGGCTTGAAAGATTAGGCAGCTGGAAATACTGCTTTTAGTGCTTATAGAACTGTCAACTGCTGCAGGGCACCCAGGATTTCAAACGTGCAATGTGGGCACCCTTTAGCTCTTTGAAGAGCTGAACCTTCCATGAAAATATCTTGGTTCTATTCCAGTGAGGATAATAAAATATAGTTGCCCACGTGCAGTGTATTCCAACAGATGTGTAATCTTTACACGAAACTCCTGCTTAAAAATTGTTAATCGCAGCTATACACAGCAATTGTTTGTTCTGCTAGTACAGTCATGCATGGCATCTTATTTTTCTCAACTTTTAGTTGGTACCATGCTAATCTCAAAAGAGACGAGGCAGAAGATATGTTGAAGAGGGTGAGAAAAAATGGTGCCTTCCTGGTGAGAAGAAAAGAAGCTGATCAACCAACAGCAGAACAGTCAGAGGCTGCGATGCAGCGTGATGAATCATATGCCATCTCATTTAGGTTAAAATTTATTGCAGTTTTCCATTTATTATTATTTGCATTAGTTTAATTCAATAATTCAAAACCAACAACAACAATAACAACAACAGTCAATATTAATTAGTGCTCCGGGAAAAAGAAGAGAGGTAAACTACATGTTGACAATTAGCAAGGTAGAGAGCACAGCCACATAGAAATAACAGATGCTTGTCGTGCTAAGTGGCTGACCATTCTGAGAAAAGTATTTACATATGTATTAAATAAAGAAATACACACATAACACACCTAAAGAAAAAAAGACAAAACAAAACAGAAACAAAAAACTAAGCAGCATCGCCTCTGTACATAATCAGCTGTGAAAAAAGTACATCAAAGAACCAATAAACATTTAGAGATAAGAGATTCTTTTAAGAGCTTTTTGAAACAAGAACGACTCTCTGATTTAAGATCTTCAGGAACAGAATTCCAAGGTTTAGCACTGCTGAAACGGATATTAAATTTTCTGCAATTGGTCCTAGCTTTAGGTAAATAGTGAGACTTCTTAGAGGCCAGTCTTGTTTTATATTGATGTACTTTTTTAATGGTTTTAAAAAAGTTATTAAAAGTGCTAGGAAAACTGTTTTAGTAAAATTTGTACATATAAAGAGCATTGTCTAGATATATTAAATCACAAAATTTAAATAGCCCTAACTCAGGAAAGAGAGGACTAGAATGAAAATTATAATCAGAGAAGGTAATTCTCCTAACTGCTTTCTTCTGAATGGTAGTAAGTGTCTTCAGAGAGGTTTGATATGTATTTGCCCAGGTAATTTAGCTATAAACCAAGAAGGTATCTGTATAAATTAGCTAGTAAATATAACCAATATGTATATGTATATATATATATATATATATATATCTAATTTTAGAATGTATTCCAATACAACATGGAAGTGGGACTCATAATGTAATTCTAAATATTTAATGAACTTTTCTTGTCTTATCTCCCGTTAGAAATACTAGTTTAACTATGTGATTTGTTGGCTTTTGATTATTAATTATGACCTCCAATTCAGATAGACTGCGATTTGCAATAAATTAGTATCATCTTCAAAAATGTGAAAGTCAAAGAGTTTGCTATCATTACGGAAGTCATTAATAATATACAGAAGAAATAAGAGAGGGCCTAGGACAGAGCTCTGAGGGACACCATTAGTAATAACAAGGTCATCATTGTAACTAATATATTATTAATAAGATTTTCTTACATGTATGACTTCGTCATTTTGACTTAGTTATCTGCATAACCAAACTCAGGACTTATAACCACATCCACACTTTAATGTGTCCTAATTCTGTTAAATTGCAGAGCTGAAGGCAAGATTAAACACTGCCGAATAAAGCGTGAAGGTCGCCTTTATACAATAGGCACAGCTCAGTTTGAAAGTTTGGTTGAACTGGTTGAGTTTTACATGAGACATCCACTGTACAAAGGAATGAAACTCAGATACCAAATCAATGAAGATGTAAGCAACTTGAGTTTAATTTGCTTTTATACATTTTGCAGTGCCACATGCTGTAACTGGGGCCACCTAGACAAAGTAGCCAAATCGGATTACAGGAAAATAACAATACATTCCAAGGAAGTGGGTTGTGAGCCAATCAGCAGCTCGTAACAAAACAATAAAGTACTCGAAGCACATGATTTGAAAATTGATAGTAAACATTTTTTAAGAAAGGGAAATGTTTCACCAGACAATGTTTTTATATTCGAAACTTTACATACAACACCCAGGAGATGTATTTGTTTGACACTAAGCTGCTATTTTGTCATCTACCAGCAATTTCTTCGCTACCATTGCGGCATTTTGCAATATCAAGTGACCTCAAGTTAAAAATATGACCAACGTTTACGTTTTTCGCCTCAATCGACACCCTAACGGACCTCTTAGGAAACTAGGGCTATCTTCAGGTTCAAAAGGTCACATCTGTAGATTGTGATTAGTTGATTTTGATCCATGTTGTCGATCTTGTTTCGTGGTAATTATGATTTACAAGTAACTTTCTTGGAATGTATTGTTATTTTCCTGTCATGCAATTGGTCAACTTTGTCTAGGTGGCCCCAGTTATATAGTCGCACTGTAATGTAGATTTTATGGATGTAAAGCGATCTTTATGGTTAAAATTTTTTTCAGATCAGTTGAATGTAGTGACTTGTCAGATTATGGTAATGAATTTATAAGGTGAAAAAAGAAAAAAATAACTTCTTGCTGTGTGATATTTTTCATTGCAAAAGTATCACAAAATGTAATTATGATAAAGACCAAGGGCTGGAAGATATATGTTGCTTGCTCACTTGGTCAATATGTCCTGCTTTATTTGCCTCTGTTGTTCCCTTACATGCAGCTGCCACACTATTATAATTTACAACTGACCACTAGAACTTAATGTCAGGGTTTTAACACTGTAAGGGACTAGCATCACATCTAGGGGAAAGTTGAAAGGTTGTAGTAGGGATAGAGGTTGTATGTTTTCCTGCCGCTAGGGGTCAGTCTCACATTGTTATATCACTTTATTTCTTCTTTAGGTGTTATCAAAAGTTGGTCAAGTAAGTTTCTTCTTTGTCATCAAAATGTTTTGGATTTGTTGATCACTTTTTTGACAGCCATTTATGAAGAGTAAAAGGATTTCTGATTTGTTTGCTTGGTCAGAAAGAAATAAATCAATTACCCATTCCCTCCTCTTCTGGGAAAAGAGGAAGAGTAACATTAATTTTACCATAAATTTTGAAAACTCAATTTCTGAACACAGTCTTGTCTAGAAATGAAAAAAAGAAAAGAAGGAAAGAAAAGAAAAGATCATTTGATTATTTGAATCTCATCATACCTTATACCCTTTTGATAATCCTTTACCTTTTCAAAGGAAATTAAATTAATAGTTCATTAATTATTTTATTGCTAAAAAGATGGGAATTTCTTTTAGTCACCAGAGGAAGAAGCAATTTATGGAAGTGGAACTCATTATCACGAGCCTAATAAGTTTATAACCAAGGTCAGGAAAATGCACTGAAATTATGCTATTTTTTAATTAATAACAAATTTTTGTCTCAATTTAATCAATTAAATGTTTAAAAATTATCCAACACAAAGTGCAAAGATCAAGTTTACTTTACTAGGGGTGATCTGTAAGGGTTATGTTGAAATTAAGCATCTTTTTTCAATAGCCTGCTTGTAGAGCATTGTGGGATTATGAAGCTCAGAATCACGATGAGATGTCATTTTGTAGAGGAGCATTTATAACAAACGTGAGCAAGGAGGATGGAGGATGGTAAGAACTTTTACCTGGCATGATCTTTCATGTTTCAAGTTGTTTCTGCTGTTGCCTGGCTTGCATAGTCTTGAGTGAACCTTCAATTCATTGTGCTAACTGCGACATACTGAAATCATACAGTACGATTGATCGTAGAAGTAATGCTGAGTACGCATTAGGAATTTGTCCACAGGCTCTCCAGTTAAGCTACATCATAACATAACATTTCTGTATTATCCACTTTGATCTTGAAGGGAAGGGATCAAGGACATCATTTTAGGGAGTATCATCTAACAAGATCTGTTTGATCCCTGTGCTTATTCAGGTGGATTGGTGATTATGGAGGCCAGAAACAAAAATTCTTTCCAGCCAACTATTGTGAAGAGATCAATTATGTTGCAGAGGAAGAGGCCAAGATGAATAAATTCCAGAATGGCTGCACAGATGATTTTTCAGAAGTGAGTAATTAATGCAACATTTGTTGTAATTCAATGTTCTTTTGTCTGGGCTCACGGAGATATACAAAAAGTATTATGTGAAAGCAGTCTTAAGCCAAAGAATCGTACCTCACCCTGTATTGTACAAGAGGATGATGAACAGATGATATGGACGTGTAATTAATTGTCTTTGTTGCTTTTATGTAGCCTCAAGAAGTGTCCCCATTAGGTGATCTGCAAAAAGGAAGCATAGATCTTCAAGGATGTTCAGTTGGTATGTAAATTACTGCATGGTACTAATGAAGGTAATAAGATGTAGCATTTCAGGGCTTCCTGTGTTTTCACTTATTATAATTATGTTGTTTAACACAACTTGAAGTTTTAACTTAAAATATGAATACACTCTTTTAACTGTCGAGCTGTCAAGCATTTATAAAAGTAGTACTACCTTGTTTTCGTTTAATGCTCAGGGCAGTCTCTTATATCTTAAGCTACACTGTAATGCGTTATGATTCTTAACTCAAAAAGCTGTTGTTCTGTTTTGTTGACACTGTATTTACTTATGGTTAATTTGCAAACAAAAACGTTCTTGCATTGACTGAGGTCATTTCAAGCATTTAACACCCTTGCATCTAATATTAATTTTGCTTCCCTGCTTATCTGTACTATTACCCTGAACTTCATAGAACCATTACCACCCAAAGGAGGCCAGACACACATTATTCGAATTTCCAGACGTGATGGACAAGTTCTGCTGGAAGCTGCAGGAGAATCTCAGGAGGTACAAAGTAAAACCGTGCGTCTAAAAACCTGGGTTTTAAGAACCCTTTAGGCTAAATTTTGACAGTTAAGCCTCCTCTATTTAAGAACCTGTTTAGCCTAGAATTTGAAACAGGTTCTTATTTTCTAAAATCTATGAAAAACTTCTGGATACTCAGACAAATATAAGATATGTCAATTAAACCACCAGATACTCTTAGCTATATTGTATTTTTTCTTCTTTGGAAACTAAGAACTTATTTAAGAACCTACATAGCCTAAATGTGTGCTAACTACCATTTATACAAGAACTTGTTTAGGCTAACTTGGAAAAATCCAGGTTCGTAGTCGTGGGGTTTTTCTGTACTGAACTTCACACACATGACTGTTTTCCTTGGGACTAGTTCAAAATGTACTGATTGTAAGCAGTGCTCCCCTTCCTTGACTACCCTCTAGACCCCATCGGTTGTGAAAGGAGTGATAATTATGAGGGATTATATTGAATAATGGTGAAAATCAACTGACATACTGCAGGTACAGCCAATTGGCCTTTATTTCCGCTGCCCGGTTAGCTCAATGTGATAAACGCCGGTCTGCTGAGCGAGAGGCCGTCGGTTCAAACCCCGACCGGACCAACACTCACGGACTTTAAATAACTGAGGAGAAAGTGCTGCCTTTGTAATAACATCTGCAAACGGTTTGACTTTCTAGTCTTCTCGGATAAGGACGTTAAACCGTAGGCCCCGTCTCACAAGTCCTTGCACATGTAATAAAAAATCTGTGGGACGTTCAAGAACCCACACACTCTTCGTAAAGAGAAGGGCAGGTACTGCCTGGTGTAGTGGTGTCTATCTCACTTTCACTCTCATGTATGGGCATATCATTACTCATTCCTTCATTACTTGTAAACTGCACCTTAAGCAGGCTGGCAAAGTCCCCGAACCAGTGTTGTGAATTATCCCTGAAAAGCCCTGAGGGGAGTGGATAATATGTTATTTACATTTACATTTTACATTTAGGATTTACATGAATGGTTACCAGTTCTGCAACAAATGGCAGATGAGAGGCAAGCCATAGTACAAAGAATGGTTAGACAGTCAAACTTGAGCCAGGAGCTGTCTGACTTGGTGGTCTACTGCCAGCCCATACCATTTGATATAGAAAGTAAGTTGAGGCTGTAATGAGGAAACTGGAATGATTCAAAATGTATCAATAACTTTCTGACACCTTATAACTCATTTTTGTTTTGCTTGCATTAACCTTCAAGCTCGTAGTAATAAGGGAGATTTTCCCTAAACCATATTCACTGGACTTGACGGGATCTCTTATAACAAGATTTTTTGCTGATTTATTATTATTTTTGTTGTGGCAGATGTGTCTGGTAGACATTATGAGATGTCTTCATTCCCAGAAACAAGACTAGAACGGTTTGTTAGCAAGAGATGGAGCAAAGTGTTTATTAAATATCCTTTCTGAACTATTTTACAGAAAGCAGGTGATAGTTATTATAGGTCCTTGTTTTTCATAAGTCTTTTTTATTATTATTTTAAATTCCAACCCAAAGATGAGTATTGATTTCCAAAGTCATTTTTTGCAAGGCAATTTAGGGTTGCTGCCTTAAAATTACGCAGAGAAGCACACAGGGAACCAAGTTGAGTTACTAGCCCTTTCACAGGAAAAACATTTTTGTCTGCAAAAGATTGTTTTAGGTGCTATAGGTTACTGCAGTTATGCTAGGCAACACAGTGTTTTTGTGGCGTGAATCAGAATTCTTTAACAGGAGTGTAGATATCATAGGAAACAGTTCAGCAGAGTGTATCCCAGGGGGAGCAGAATAGACTCATCCAACTATGATCCAGTGTCAATGTGGAATCATGGAGTGCAGTTGTGTGCACTCAATTACCAAACACCAGGTAACAAAATCTTGGTGCAGTACGGTTAATTTACTACCATTTATGACACTATGGTTAAAAGTTTGCACTTTTCTTTCTTCGTCTTGAACCTTGTCACTCGTCTTGTCATATGTTTGTGTATTTTCAGATCGAGCAATGCAGCTGAACCATGGTAAATTTCTCGACAACGGAAGGTGACTGTTTCTCCTTCTTTGTTTTTTTTTTATATAGAGTGGATCCGTGGCTGAATTCCAACCATTTTGAACAAGTCTGGTTACCATCTTTCCCAGAGGCATTGTCCTGGGGGAGGGAATGCATGCAAAACAGCCTGCAAAATTATCTGAATTTTGCCACTCTCTAGAACTCTTGATTGCTGAAAATAAGGGAGGTTTCAAGCAGAGTTCTCACTTGTCTGACTGTTGATTTCTTTGTTTGAACATTGTAGGTGTGGCTACGTTTTACAGCCTGAATGCATCAGGAATGATAAATTCGACCTTTATGATAGAGATGCTGCTGGTGTCGAACCATTGACTCTTACACTAACAGTAAGTCAGTAGCTCCTCTATTCTCATTAGGGAAAACACGCACAAAAGCCCAAGTTAGCATCAAGTCACTTCCTAAAATTGTCAGCATGGCCCCGGGGAACACACGGCATAGCCTGCTTGATTATTCAGCCAGTTCTAGTAACGTTTAGGTCTCGGCACCCTCTATAGCAGTTCTCGCCCCTTCCCCCTCCCCTCCCCCACCTCATCCTAACTACGGATATTGCAGCAGTTTTTGAGTGGGTCCCGTTAAAACAAACCATTCATTAATTTTGCTCAATACGATAGCTAAGAATGTTTGAATAAACCAGTGATATTTAAAATCCGTTTTAAGTCCTGATTAATTTGTCGGCAAATTGGCGCGAGATTTGCTGTCAGTTTCAAACTTTCTTTCCACACTCAAAATGAAATGCTTTTGCAACATTGTTTGTATTAAATCCAACGAGATTGTGCCGCTAATTTAAGCTGTATGTAATAGTTGTTTGATTACTCATTTTTTTGCTTGTGAGTAGAATCATTAGTCGCCTCTAGATTAAATGAAATACCTTGATTTGTCTTTTGCAGATTATCTCAGCAAGACATTTGGTGAAGTCAGGGCGTGGAATAGCGTCCCCCTTTGTAGAGGTTGAGATTGTGGGGGCACCATATGACAACTTCAAATTCAAGACAGAAACTAAACGTAAACTCCCTTTTCTTCCAATATCATTCGTTAGACTGTGTAATAAGAACCAACGGACCTTTTCAACTAAAGATTCCAAGAATGAAAGTGTCTCTCTTTCTTTTTTTTTTTTTTTTAATCTCGTGTGATTTCACTGTGACCTCAAATCTGTAAACGTGCCTTTGCCAAAAGACAAGAGAAACAGAAACAAAGGACTCACATGACATTGACTTGTCTGACTTGTCTATGATGAGCAAATTCAAGAAATATTTGCTTGTCTCCCCTGTACTCTGAGGCCAGTTTCTTGAGGGTTAATTAGGCTAGCTCCACCCCTACCTGTTTTTTCTGGACCTTTTTGGGTCATTATGGCTGGGTCTCTGATTAAACGACTCAATTACTGTTTGTAATCTGCACTTGCATGTCCTTACACAGGGAAATATTTTGTTATAAATTTCTCTTAAACCTGGGTCGTTGCACTGGCTTTTCAGCTAAATATTTCGTCTAATCAAAAGGAACTGAATTTCTATAAACGGGTGCTAAAAATTCTTACTGAGTTTTGAAAGAAGCATGGAGGTCCAGACTGTAATAAAACGTGGCTTTGTTTTATTTTAGCTGATAATGGTTTGAATCCTGTTTGGTGGGTTAAATTTGATGTTGATGTTATCAATCCTCCTCTTGCCTACCTTCGCTTCGTCGTCAATGATGAAGATATGTTTGGTGAACCGAATTTCATCGGACATGCCATCTTTCCTATGTGTAGCTTGAAAACTGGTATGTATTTGTTAGTTAACGTGCCAGAAGAAAATATGATTCCTTTTGCATGTTAACCGATAGGTATATCGAGACAGGACTTATTTGAAGTTTGAGGAAAAAATGCCTTTTATAGGTGACCTAGCTGCATAAACTCCCTTATATAATTTGTTGTCATAGTCACAGTAGTGTTACTTCTAACCAAGGGGGAGAATTGTTACTTTTACAAATTCTTTGAGGGCAAAGAAGGGTTACAACCTACAGAACTTTGAGAAACATGCTTTGCCAGGTTAGAGTGGTCAGCTAAGGAGCTCAATCTTCTTTTTCTTAAATCAAGTCAGTTTGAATTTTTTCCCTATAGTTACAGCATTGTTTTCATATCCCAGCAAAGGTAAACAAAGGTTTGTCTTCTTGTCGTGGTGTCTTGAATCCCTGACAGGATTCGAACCTCTGTCGTCTCCCAAACGACGGGAAGGCGGCGCACTACCTTTGGAACTATGAAGACTGAGACTCATGGAGGGCAAGGGGGCGGTGCGCCACCATGTTCATATATCACGTACTTCCTGAGAGCTGACTGTATGAAAGATGCCGATGCCTGTGACGGGACGGTTATCGCATCTTTGTCTAGAAATTAATCATCTTGTCATGTTTTATTTCTTTGCACTTTTTTGTTGTTGTATGCAGGTTACAGGTCCGTTCCACTGAAGAATGCTTACAGTGATGAGTATGAACTGAGTTCCTTACTGGTTCATATTGACATCAGAAGTGCTATGGTAAGCTGGCATTAACCTCCTCCCCTTCTTCAGCACCCTTCACCTGGAACCATGCATTGGTTACATAATATGAGCATAGAAAAATTACTAGAATATAATCTTCCGTATGCCTCTTGTGAAAGGTAACAAATTAACTGTAAAATAAACACAGACCAGTAGAAAATTCCAATCCACGTGATTCAAACACAGCACACAGTTGGAGAAGTTACAAGTGTACGTACAGTTCAAGTGATTTTTAACCTTAAGTTTTCATTCCCTACTCTAAACGTATTATGGACACTACAGTTATTTTCTCTTTGAAAACGTCTTGCAACCTTTATCTACTGTCTTCGTCACCAATTTTTTCCTTCATTGTGAGTTAGGGTTAAGTTAAAAAAAGAACAAACGAAAACTCACAGGAAAATCAAGAATGTAATTACTGACATTCTGTATCGTATAGAATGAGTAGAGGACTGGGGACCTTGTGGGTTCGTTCTGTTGAATTGTAGCAGTGGTCAACGGTTCCTGTTAATTTGTGCTCCTTGTTAGCTTCTTGTAACCTTGCTTTGATATTTTTGACAGGGTGGAGATGAGAACCTGTATGCATCTATCCAAGTACTGCGTGACAAGGTTGAAGAAATATCACATCATATGCAGGACGAGGAGCTGAAAGCTCGTGTAACAATGTCCAATTTACTGAGTCAACACACTGGACCTCAGTCGCTAGAACAGTTTCAAGATCATCATGAACATCAGATGGAAAGTCTTGGAAAACAGCTTAAACAGCAGCAAGATGATCTACGTAGATTGCAGAAGGAAAGAGCCGCCAGGTATGCTGCTGTATACAATTTGAAATTTTATTTCAGATCATTCAGAGATTCATGTTGATCATAGTTAGAACTGAGAAAGTGATTCAGCAGCAAATAAAGACCATCACTACCTGTAGATTGAACGAGATTTGTGTGTTTTTTTTCACTGTGACAGTAAAGTGTAGTGGCACTGCTACATGTGAAACGTAAAGGAAATGAAAGAATTTTATATATTTAGTCTTTTTTATCAATTATTTGTGCCTTAAGAATTATGTTTAGAGCCAATGGCAAACGTCAGATTAGGAAATGAGCAGCTAAACACTGTCCAAAACAAATTCTTATTGATAAAACTGGCAT